TATATATATAATTAATATAGATATAGTAAATTTCAAAAATAAGTTTGTATTGTTTCGTTAATTACATACCTTACTTGCTCCTATTAAGATTTTATTCAGCAAGTCATTTTGACCCGTTCGTACGTAACCGTTACATCAAATGAACGAATGTCCAGCAGGAATGCTATATGCAAGGATTACAAATTAATTGTATAAATTAATATACCCTTATAATTAATATATTAGATTCTGTTGAGTTTAAATCGATTTATTCATAAAAATACGAATTTCATTTTGAATCTTGTCGCCTACATCACATAACAATTTCTTGTGTAATTGTATACAGTAGATGTATATAATCATATCATGTGAAATCAACTCTTAATAAACGTGAGAATAAAATGAATGGAAAAAAAAAAAAAAAAAACGCTAGCATAGATTTTCAAAGATACGATACAATCGAATACATAATTATTCTTATAAAATCATGATTACAATCATTATTGTGTAAATGAAATAATATGAAGATTTAAAAATGATCGACGGTACAAAAATACAACTCACAATAATAACAGATCAACATACCCTGTGAACAAGATGTAATGAATATATATTTAGTTCACAATTTGAAAAGAAGAAACCTTTGATGGTTAATAATAGTAAAAAAAATCATCGTAACGGAAACTATCAAAAAGCATTGATATAATAATAATAATAATTGTAATAATAATATAAATGACAAATGACATTCGATACGTATGTATTTAATCGTTAACTAACCAGGCATAAGAATATATTTTGATGTACTACACTTTAGACTCGTTTGTTCATATTCACACTCTTAAATATCTGTATTTAAGACTACTTGCAGCGGCAATAGTAGTAAGTTTTGATTATAATAATAAACCCACCAAAATGAGCGCAATGTGTCGTGCGTTTCTCTTGGGTTTGTATGCGGTAACTATTGATAAAAAATACCTTATTCGAAAAACTAATAAGGCAGTATGGTAATATGGCTAAATTTGTCTTAAATTAGGCGCCTCTTATTTTTCTTTTTCAAACACTTATTCTTTTTTAAAACACACTCCACACTGAATATAACAACATACATTTTAGTCACTGCACGATATGCGAATTCTTGACATTTTTGACTTGATTTCATGGAAAATACGCGTAAAGTCGTAATTAGGAACGTACCGCACAAAATAACAAGAGAACATTTATCGCAATAGACGCAATAGGATCATAGTGTATCGTTATGATTAAGAAAAAAGAACAATTAATCGATATCATTGATAGACATTTTCAAAGATGCATACAGAATTTACATGAATTTTCATCAGTAAAAAAAAACTATTCGTAATAGATTATTCAAAGAAATTGAATCGGTATTATTCATAAATAAATAAAAATATAAAAATACGAATGTAAAATAGAGATTAAAAAAGATGTTTCAATTTTGTTCATTTTCTTCTCACGACGATCATATATCATTATTTTTAACTCGAATGATTATTTAAAATATATAGGAAAATCAATAGAAAAATACTGCTACTGCCAAAGTCAGTTTTGATGTTAATATTAGGAGACGATAAGTTTTTCTTTCGACAGTTTCATTTGTTAAAGAAGAAAAATAACTAAAAAATAAAGCACTACGAATAATGTAGTCAAACGAAGTTCTATCAAGTGGCGGCGGTCTTACTACAATCGGCCTCCAGCATGGCAGACTCAAATTGTTCCAAAACGCGCATACTTTCTAGAGAAACGGTGCTAATGCCTAGATCATCTTCATCGAGTTCTTTCATGGAGGATCGTCCTTCCTCAGTGATCGAAGTTTTATCAGAAACGTCACTGTCAGGAGTGCTGGACGACGACGACGACGACGACGACAATGATCGGCCACCGTGTAAGTCTTGTCTCTCGACGTCAGCCTTATCATCAGGAACTGATACCTCGTCATCGGGTTTAATGGGATTAACTTGTGCGGTTTGGGACTGTGAAAAGGACATTTCCTCTGAGGACCTCTTCTCTAGGTCTTTTACGTTAGATATTGCTTCTTTAGGTGTAACAACCTTCCCATTATCAGCATTACCTTTCGTTGTCATCCTCGAACATGATTTTTCGTTCACGAGTTTAGCATATTCGGCACTTGGTCCCACTCGTTCTTCTTCATCTTCATCTTCATCTTCGTCTTCATCTTCGTCTTCGTCTTCGTCTTCTTCTTCTTCTTGCTCGCGAGGAAATTTGTTATGGGAACTTTTGCTACAATTCTTTTGGTCATGTTGATGAAATCGGTCGAGCTCTTCGCCGATTTCAATGTTCGTCGTGCTCTTGCACGCTAGCTTTGCTCTAGGTGGCGCTGATATATGCGCTTCTTCCAATTTCACGTGTTCGAAGAACTTGGAGATGATTCCGCGCTGGTGGTGTTCGTTTGGGTGTTGTTGTTGTTGTTGTTGTTCGATTGATTCGAAACGATCAGTTTTGCGATACGATTGTTGGTGCACGTCTGTGCAGTCTTTGTCGTTTGTATTACAGGTGGTTCGCGAGAGGACAATACTGGTATCGTCGGCGATGACACTGGAGGAGGAGGAGGAGTCGTAACTTGAGCTGTAAGATTTGAGTATCTCATTATTTCCTGGTCGTATTCGATTCTTTGACCAATTACCGAGAAATGTCTCTTTTGCGTTGGCACTGTTTGACATTGGTAATTGTTCGTTTGATATTGTGCTACTGTCGTAGGCGGGTAAGAGTAACCTCTTGTTTCTTGTTGTTGATCGTAGATTATTGATACCGAGTTTGATTCTCGATTGTCTGCTGGCTCTGGGCTTCTTGCCGTTGCAGACCGATCGTTCCATCGGACGGTCGTCGGTAGTAATGGAGAATTCTTCGGAATCGATGATGCGGTTGAGCCCTGGTACTGCTCGATTTGTTTTTTTACTTCGACCTCGGTTGTTGTTGTTGTTGTTGTTGTTGTTGCTGCTGTTGCTATTGCTATTGTTGTTGATCGGCTCGGAGAAATGTTTTTCAATGTAGATGGAAGGGTAGGTGAGGGTGACCTCGGAGTGAACGTGTGATTCGTACCGAGACGTGGTTGGCAGTTGGGAGTCGAAGAATGTTGAAATACTCTGTCCTTCTGGTTGTGTTCCAATGTTGGCAAGTTGCTGCTGCTGCTGCTGCTGCTGCTGGCCAGACCTTCCGATTGGTTCTTTGATTTTTTTAAGGATAAGGTATGATTGATGCTTTTCTGATTGGACGTTGTTACCGATTGGCAACTGGTAGGTGGTATATGGCAACTGGGACTCCGACTGCACGTAGCTGATGTTTGACTGTGGCAAATGGTTGAGGACGATCGAAGAATAGGATCGGCCACTACCGTTACCGTTGCAGTTATTGATCTCTGATTGCTCAATGTCAATTCTTGGTGCGATTGTTGTTGTACTGATTGTCGAGTACTCGTGGTTTGCGGTGGCGACATTACTCGGGGCGATTGGGATGAGAAAGGTTGAGGATGGAAGCTGTCCGATTCCGAGCGCGGAGGCGAGCACGTGTCTTTTCGTAGTTGCATCAGTTTTATAAAGTCCACAAGACGTTTTATGGATTTCTGTGTCCTCTCCTGCTTTCCTAATAATTCCTGACGCGTACGATGTTGTAGCTGAAGGATAAAAACAAAACTAATTATTATATTATTCTAATGATAATTACTTTAGTACGATTATTTTTGTATTTTGATTTTTTTTTTTTTTTTTGCTTAGAAGAATATAATAGGAAAATAAGGAAACCTACTTTTCTATAAAAAAAACAAAAAAAACTTGTATATAAATGACACGCATGCTTTTGGTGCATATATAGCTGAAGTAATGATCCAAACTAAATTTGTACTCACTTTGTGACATATAGATAATAATTGTTTGAACGATAATTATAACGGACGTTAAAACGTTTACAATAATTCGCTATTAATTCGCGAAATTTCAATAGTGTAACATCGTATGAAATTTCTTTTTTGTTTGTTTTTTTTTTTTTTCAAATGAACACTTGTGTCTAAATAAGCAAACAATCTTCATTCTCTATGAAAGCTTACGGATTGAATAAAATGATGAAAATAATGTAGCGAAGAAGACTGCAAAATAAACAACTACTTAATCGAAAATATTGAACTATCTCTGATCGATTAGCAACGTTTAGTTAAAAACTACCTTGTTGAAAATTGATTGAACGACGATATATCAAATTGACGTATACTAACACATGCTATAACATTAAACTATAGATGGTCCAACTGTACGAAATAAATGAAATAAATGAAATGAAATATAAAATGCGAACGAAAGGAGAACTAAGAAAAAGAAATGTGAATTACTTAGCGGATTTGTCGTTGTTAACGAGGAACAAAGAAAGGAGAAAAATGAACGAAAGAGCCAACAACGAGATAAACATCCGAACGGTTCGAACGAACTTAATAAGGGCATTCCAAACGAAAGTATAAGTCGATTAAACTGCTTTTTGTTTGGTTCTATGCAGGCCACTAAACGAACCTCAAGTGACTGGCCAAGTAGTTGCGAGCGTTTTTCCAACTCGTAAACCTGCAATCTTAGATCCGAGTTTCGCTCGCGCAGCTCATATCTTTCTCTCTCTTTCTCCTCTGCAAGATATTTCGCGTTCAATATACTTGTTTTGGGTGCCCTATTGACGACGATCGACCAAAAAGTTCTTCTTAATTGCAAATTCTGCTTGCCGTATTCTCAAGGAGCCGATCCTCGACTCACACGCTGACGCTTCTTGCGACAGGCTGCCATCTCGCGCTTATTCATTCACTGCGTGCACTTATGTTCATTAGAGTCTGCGGCAACGCTGCGATACCTCGTCGAACGTTAAATCTAAAAGTGGTGGAGCCATGTTACACAAATTCTCCCACCGCTTTCGAGCGACGTATAATGCATCCAAATGTTTATATGTCACTCTAACTTTTGAATTGCTTGCATTTACTTTGTAACTATTCAAGGAAAAAGATACGCGCCAAAATTGCATTGCATCGTAAAATTATGGAAATGCTCAATATATATACATATGTATTTTCTTTACACATACATACATACATACATATATATATATATATATATAATTTTTTTGTTGTTGGTCTTTTTCCCTTTTGCGAGGAGGAGAAAAGACGATAATAATGTCACGAGGCGAGAAAAGCGTATCGCGAACGTTCGCAGAAGCTAGTCTGCAGAAAACAAGAACTTTTTTGTCAATCACACGCACGACATTAGAGAGGAAAAAATCATCAATGGCATCGAGGACGATTTACCGAGCTCTTCCTCCTTATTGCAGGATTCCCTTCCATTAAATTCCTCCCTTTCGTCTTCCTCTTCGGCTTCTTGGACCACTGCGTCTTCCTCCTCCTCCTCCTCTTCTTCTTCTTCGTCATCCTCAACGAATGCACACTTTGGACAAATTCTTGGGGGTGCTGGTGAGACGGAATGACAGGATACATGATAGTTGGCCGAACAATTCTCGCAAACCGTTAAAGTACCTGCGAATGATCGCCAATTTAATTTTCGCATTAATTAAATTACAGTAGATAAAAATATAAAATTGATAGAATAGAATGTTTTTGTAATTGTGTAGACTGTTTTTTCTAACATGCAACACTGACCTGGATTTCTACACCTTATACAAACAATCGAATCATTTTCGATCCTCTCTATCGTTAAACACGAAGGTAATCCTGGTATATGGACAGTTCTACTACCAGTTGATTGGATCGTTTTCGTAGGAACGATCGGTAATGACATGGAGGAATTGGAACCATTTTCAATCTTGCCCTTTCCAGGATAGACTTTACTTTCCGATGCGTTCCTAAGAATGTTTGGTCTCGTCATTGACTTTTGCAAGGGAATGAGAGATTTTCCTATCGTTGTTTTCGAAGGCAGCGAAGTAGATTTCGGTAAGGCTGTCTTACTAACTGGAGGTGGTGATGGTCCGTTCATGCGAGCTGTCGTTTGTCGTGTCTGTGGTGCGCTTCCACCAGATTGTAAATACGTGCATTTTTTTTTTTTCTATAAACAAGGTAAAAATGCAACAACAAATGTTAACAACTGACTAATCATTTAGCAAGTTAATCTTAGATTAATTCTTAAGTACCATCGGTGCTTCAAAATTGGAATAGACAAACTGCGGATTAGCCGTGCTACGTCGTTTCCTTTCTACCCTTTTGTTTTGTAATTCGGAACATCTCGATTTCGTGATCAGGCTTAAATTCGATAAAAACGTTATCTTTTCCTTAACATCTTGTTTGAAATTCTTTTCATCAAGTTCCTCTTGCGTCTCGTTTGAATTTTCATCCATGGAGACTTCAATAACGTCATCCTCGCCTCCTGATATCGTCTCCACCGAGCTCGATCGATCTCTGGGAAAATAACTCGTAAGTATATGCATGCAAAGGTCAGAAATTAATAGAAAATCATATCATCAATTTTGACTAACTTGGAAGTTGAGTTCTCTTGCGAGGGGGAAGGTACGTCGTCGCTGTTGCGCACCGTGTCCTCATAATCATCTTTCGATATTTTAACATCGAGATTGTTGCCGTCGTTTCCCACCACCTTACTACTTTTCTTATCATTATTATTCGTGATATGATTATTATTATTATTCAAGCCAAGCAACGACGCTAGGGAAACTTTTGGCCCGTTCGCATTTTGCGCATTGAATTCATCGACCTCTTTGCGCAATCTATCTAAAACTTGTTTCTGTAAATGAAAAAAAAAACAAAAAAAAAAAAAAAAAAAAAAAAGAAACCGTTTGTTGTCATTAAAACGATTACCGTCATCATTAAAGATCCTTGCAAAAAGTTAACTTGTAAAAAATAAATCGAATGGGAAGTTTTATTTGTAGAAAAGTCTTTCAATTTCACTTGATGGAAAGAGAAAAATGCGTACGCTTTATTCAAGTGAAAAAAGAAGAAAAAGGGATGAAAAGAGATAGAAAAGAAAAAGCGTAAAACGATATTGCGCGAGATATTTTATCGATTGGGAGGCTTCTCTCCTCTCTTTTCTCATCCTCCGACTCGGTTTCTCCCCTACTTATATAGTTGCTTGCTTCCTCTCTGTCACCGTCGTCACCGTCGTCACCGTCGTCGTCACCGTCGTCGTCGTCGTCGTCGTTGTCGTTGTCGTCGAAGCACCCCATCCCATCCCTATTGCTAGTACTCATTTCGTCCATAGTTCATCACCGCGAAAAAGAAAAAAAGTTTCACTTTACAATTAGCTTAGCGAGAAAAAAAAATGATATCTCGATATTTGGAATATAATTGAAAATTAGCGACATGAATTAAAATGAACTTGTAAATGGGTCAAGTGTTTTTCTTACCTGATTTTTATTCAGGGAGATGATGCGCAAATGGATGGCCTGTATTTGTCCAAGAATAATAGTATTCTACAAAAGAAATACCTCTTATGAATACTTAAGTCAAGATCGAAGAAAATATTGCTTGAAAAAGATGAAAAAGTTACTTACGTTTGGATCATCTTTCAGTTGGCCAAAGTATATCTGGAATTTATAAGAAAAAAAAGGCATGTCAGTAAAAATTCAACACATTATTACGAGAATTCCTATCCGTCTTTTTAATGACTGCTTCGAAATAAATATTAAAAAACGTATTTTCACAATTTTCGAAAGTGAAAAACAGGGGGAGTAATATCCTCTAGAAGAGAATTCTCTATTTCTTGGTTATTTGCAACAATAATAACATAGAAGTTTTTCAATTGCTGCTGGTAGTAAACTATAACAATACACTAACCTATTTTTCTCAACACTTTGTGTATTTATAAAAAAAAAAAAAAAACAAAAAACAAAAAACACAGTTAAACATGAAACACAGGATCTATTAGCGATACTCTATAATATAATATTACGCAAGTATATAAATATTCATAATTTTCATTGCGGAACATGAATTACAAGTAACGATTGTGACTCCCATTTATATAATTTCAACTAATCATGGATCGACATAGTTCAAAATGTGTAAGTTAAATACTGTAAGTTATTTTCTTTGAAATAACAGAATAGTAGTATCGACGATGGTGGCGATATCGAATAAACGAGAATATTTGTAGTAGATATCATTACCATCGACCCTGAATAAAGAAAGACTTTTATTTAATTTACACACAAAAAAAGAGGTAAAATGCATCTTACGGACATAGACGACATACTTTTCTAAATGTTCTTTCATTTTGATATTTAATATATTAATACAGTTTCATAATGTTCTGTTTGTAAAGATCGATCGATATATAAGAAAGAGCTTCGAAAAAAAACTGAATAATTGCGCATCGTATTTAACTATTTTCCCCTTTCTCCTTGAGATATTAAAAGTTGGAATTATTTTATAAAGATAATTACGCGAGCAATTCTGTCCGTTAGGAGCACGAAGGAAGTAAGAAATACGAGAAATTGTCTCTTGTAAAGTATAAGCAGGGACGACGGACGGAGAGAGCTTGGCTCGTCTCGACTACACCTATATATCTAATATATATATATATATATATATATGTATATGTATATGTATATAAAGTGTAAATGACAAACGGACGAGAATACGCGTTTCAATTAGTTCTCTTATTCTATTTTACATTCGTGCAAATTCGAACGCTTTTATATACGTAGAAAGAATCGATCCTTCGAGGCCATTTTAATTCGTTGACTTAAGACGACGGAGGGAACAATTGGAAGAGAATACTGGAAGAACGAAATGAATATGCGTAGGAAAGTGACAAAGAGACAGAAGTTCTTTGCTAAGAAGAAGGTTACAGTCGTTGCCGGTGAAAAAGCAAGGACGATTGTTTCTATGATACTCTACTACATTCCTTTTCGTTGTAAAAGAAGACATATCGAACGAATTTTTCTTCTTCGAAACTCGATCCGATATGATATATGTCGATATATATCTCGATATGCATATATATAGATATACATAAGCATGCGTGTGGTCGTTGTTTCGTCTATTATGACGAGAAAACGAATGCGGAACTTTCGATCGAAGAATCTCTTAAACGGCGTGATTTGCAAGAGCAGAGCAACAGCATTTCTTGTAACCCCCGCTTGACGGCACGCACGCTTGCTTTACTTTACTGCGCATGCGCTCCGACAATCCGAAATCTTCGTTCGAAATTTCGAACATAACTAAAGTCCTTTTTTCTTCATCTTTTACTAAGGTATATGTTTCAACGCGACATTTTTATTTTCATGCAAAGTTTGCCACGAGGGGACATAGATATCTCGTACGTTTCTATGAAACAACAATTGGAAGAAGGGAGAAAAGAGAGAAAATAGGAGGGGGGGGAGAGGTTAAAGACGCGCGCGAACGGAAAGACGCGAGCAAGGAGGAAACGAAAGGAGTGAAGAAAGGGGGGAAGCAGATATGCTCTGTGTGTGTGTGTGTGTGTGTGCGTGTGCGTGCGCGCGCGCGTGTGTGAGCGAGCGTGAGCGCGAAACAAAAAGAAAAGAGGCACTACGCTATACACTAGTGTTACTCTACATTAATATGACTTTTAATAAATGCACGCATTTGCTTGCTCGCTCGCTCACTCGCTCACTCGCATGTCCCCGCTGCTCGTTTTCTTCACAGAGCCAGACAAAATTCAAATCGACAAGATTTTATTTTGTCGATTGTACTTTGTTTTGAAATTTTCTTTCTATCGAGTTTCGAGTCTTCCAAAAGACGATCGGTCTAAACGATCGTTACGTATTTTTACTTACATCTTTATATACAGCTAATAGGAAAAGAAAGAGAAATAAAATGAAAAAAAAAAAAAAAAAAGAAAAAGAAAAAAAAAGAACGAACCGGTAAAGAGAGAAAGAAGAATAAAAATAGAAATAAAAAAAGTTTTGATTCGATCGTCTTGAAGTCTTTTACTCACGTCACTATGATAACTGATTGACACAGATTATTATCGAGATTTTCTCACCGTATGATCACGTATGGCATTCTTCATCTTGTTTTGCATATCGTATATTTGTTCTTGCACCGTCTTAGGTATCTCCATACTCGTTGATGGTGCAGGTATGCGCGTTTTTCGCATCCAAAAGTATATACAGGATAACCGTAGTAGGGTGAACGAGAGAAGGGGAGGATGGGGAGCCTCCTCCTCCCCCCTCCCAGCGGCCAAATCGACGAGAACCGCGATGTACGAACGAACACTAGCAGCATGCACTGCCACTACTAAGAGCAACAACAGCAGCAAGCATCAGCAGCAGTGGCAAGCAGCGGCACCAGCACCACCAAACACACCACTACTACTACCACCACCGTCGACAAACACACTAAAGTACCACACAGCTAGCACTACAAGGAGAGAGACAGGAGCGAGGCGCGGACGAGCAAATCTTTTCATATAATATTACTTTTGACTTAACTTTTTACGAATGATACTTTTCTGAGCGCACGAATAAACAAAATGGAAATTTAGATTGCAATGAAAGAATACAAGTGTATTAGCGTTCTCTCTCGCATGCAGCACCTTCTCGTTAATCGCGTTGTGTTACCCTTTCGTAACGAGAGTGTAATGTAAATCGGTGGGACACAAGAGACTAGCACGAGAGCACGAGCACGAGCACTAGCACGAGTACTAGCGCACGAGAGCACGATACACGGGGTACAGACACCACCGCCGATACCGAAAACCGCCTCCTTCGTCCGTCAGAGAACGTACGTGCTGCCACCACTTTCGACGCGCGCGCAATCACGTACCGAACATTTCGAGCGCCCCATACTTTCCTCTCACCCCTCTCTCCTACCGTCCATCCTTTCTTTTACATATTTTCAGCAAAAAGAAGGAAGCGAATCTTTGGTACATCATCGACAATACACATAGATCACTATCCCCAACTGATTTTCGCGCCAATTTACCTACCTTCCTTCACTTTCTCACTCGAATCGAAATTCGAAAACTGGCTTGACTTTCCGGTTTCTTCAATGGACGAATCAAAATCACTTTATTGCCACTTCTAACAATAAGATGTTCTTATCGATTTATGACAATTTTTTTAACTTTATCGATTCTTATCATTGAATCTACGCACTTGAAAGGGTTTAACGTCTCGCTGCTTTAAAAATATTTCTATTATTTATGCCTTTTTTTTTCTACATTTAACAAATTTGAAATTTGGTATATAGGGTGTTATGCTAACGGAACGAAAGTCTATAAATATATATATATATATATATATACTTTGGTACGAATTTAAGCACACTATGTTATAGTAAGAACATATTATACATATATATATATATATATTCGTGAAATTTTACATTTATATTTATAAGAAAAACAACGCTCTGTAAAATAAAATTAATTTATAATAAGACTACTAATCTATTCCATTTTCGTATAGTGCTTTTTTATCTTTTCAATATGTATTATAGCATATATAAGTAACATTGTGTTATTATTTTCTTCGGAAAATACGTTATTTGCATCTTTTTAGTATTATTAGTTGAGTTAAGTTTAACTTTAGCCTTAAACTATCACACATATACACAGATGCATATATATATATATATATTCCTTATAAAATATCATTTTTACCGGATCTTTCGCCTGTAGCCTGACGATACATTGCATATCTTATGACGGTATAAAGTATCGGTGTATGGTGGATTAGTTCAAACACTGGAATGCTGTAAACATTATATCTTTGTAGTCGTTTTATAAATCCTTATTGATAGTTATATTTGATTTCTTATAACCGTAAGTTTTGTTTGAACGTTAGTAATGTATAGTATTTGTTTAATATGATCAATATTTCGTGCGTTTTAAGGTTATTTGATCAGCATCATTAATTTAACTTAAAAAGTATTTGAAAATAAAATAAACTAAACAGATTATTTTATTCTTTATCATTAGAACTTTGTGCTTATCATGTTTTTAGATATTTGAAAATAAATTGCTACTCTTTACTTGCTTCATTTTCATTTATAACCTCTTCTTTTCATATTGCCTATATTGTAGTCGATCAGTAACAAGTCGAAAGTATTGTATTGTATGTATTAAAATTTGTAAGATTTAATTGGTAACATTACAGATGGCTACTAAACGTACAGCAACTACAGAGCTAAATCATGAAAATTGGAATGAAGAAAATGAACCTGAAGAAGCAGGAACATTTACAAAGGCCTCAGATGAAGTTCTTCAGAAAAGAGTAATTAAAGCTGCTAGGCGTAGACTGAATTCTAAAGATGTAATACATATTTGTTAAATATTTTCTATTTGCAATAATGAATTAATAATAATTTTGAAATTGCATATATTTCAGGAAGCAGGCAAAAGTGCATTTGGTGGATTTACAGGTTTCAAAACTGCAACTACAACGAGTTCATCATCTCCATTCAGTTTCTTAGCCTCTACGAGTAATACATTACAATCGATATCTTCATCAACATCAAACTCAAATAGTGAATCTAATAAAAATTCGGAAAATGGAACTAGTAAGACAGAAAGTACTCAACAAGTCAAATCACCATTAGCTGAAAAAGATAAAGATCAGTCGGAACAAGAAAATGAAAAAGTTTCGAAAAAATCTTCAGAATACTTTGCACAATTAAAAGGATTAAATGAAAGTGTAGCGCAGTGGATTAAAACACACGTAGATGAAAATCCATTTTGTATTTTAACACCTATATTTAATGATTATACTAATTATTTAAATGAAATAGAATTAAAATACGGAAATGAATGTAAGAATTCTAAGAAACAGGATGAACAAACTTCATCTGCAATGGACAATACTAGTAAAAATGATAGCAAAGATGTTAATAATAAGAAGAAGGAGAATGATAATAGTGCAGAAGGTACAAGTAAAAAATCATTTTCTGGACTATCAGATTGGAAACCAGAAAAATCAATCTTTGAAAATGTCAAACTAAATGCTAAGTCAATATTTGCTAATACAGACCAAACACCGGAAACTCCTAAATCTATTTTTAGTAAGACGGAACAACTTACTAATGTACAAAAACCAATTTTTGGTAATGTAGACACAAATACATCCAGTAAAAGTATATTTGACAAAGGAAGCCCTGAAAAAAATCCACTATCAAATAAGCCAACCGCAAATTCAGAACTTAAAGATAATAATGAATCTAAATCTGATAAAGTAGGCAGTGGTTTTTCATTTACATCTTCTAATTCAGCTACATTTAGTTTCGGTCAAAATTCTACAACTACTAATCCATCTGCTGGTTTTAGTTTTGGAAAGTAATTATCTGCTGCTATTCTTTTATAAAAGTATCTCCTTTTTTTCATTGCCAAATATTTTATATTCATCTTGAAAATTTGAACATTTTAGTACAAAACCATTTTTTTTTGGTGCTCAAGTCGCTAAAGCACAACAAGATAATGAAGAAAACCAATCTGACAATCAATCTAAAGATGATGATTCTGAGGAACAACCTCCAAAACCGGATTTTAAACCAGTTACCGAAGAAGGAGCAGTCTTCGAACAAAGGTAATCTATTAAAGGTATTCTTCTATTAGAAAAGATTTCAATTGATGATCTATTGATCTACTTTGTTGTTATATTTTCAGATGCAAGGTATTTATTAAAAAAGACGGAAATTTTAGTGATAGAGGAATAGGAACATTATTTTTAAAACCAACGCCAAATGGAAAGACGCAGTTAATAGTACGAGCAGAAAATTCATTGGGAAATTTATTATTAAATACTTTATTAACCGAAAGTATTCCAACACAACGTCTGAATAAAAATACCATAATGTTGGTTTGTCTGCCAGATTCTCAACCTCCACCTACACCAGTTTTGTTAAGAGTAAAAACTAGTGAAGAAGCAGATGTTTTACTAGAAACTTTAGATAAACATAAAAAATAAATAACAAATAAAATAGATATCTAGGTATTATATTTGACTCCGAAAAAGAGCATAAAATAATAAAAAAGGAGACGTGTTAATTGTTGCATCATCTTATAGTCTTGCTATGTTATGTTACTATCTTTTATGAAAAAAAAAAAAAAAGAAAAAAAAAAAAAAAGATACAAGATTGCATTAGCAAGTATTCATATGATAGAATACACATAAAGATTGTAAAATAAGATTAGTGTCTGTGCAACATTTATTATGGGACTCATATTATACTACATAATATCATTGGAAACTTATCTCATGTTAACACAGGTAATATATTTGATATTTTCTATGATTTTAATGATAATAGTATTTGCAGTTAATTATTCTTAAAAAAAAAAACAAAAAATAGCAGAATAAATGATTCAAAAATCATGTATATGTCATTTAAAAAATAAATCTTTGTATAGATTGTTTATATAGTCTTTTGCAATTTTTTCTAATTACTTAGTTGACATTTCTTAAATGTTCAAAACATTTAGGCATTAGGCTTATTATTCTAATTCAAATAATTCATTTCAATAAAATAATTGATTTGATCAATTTTGTACTCTCCGATAAGTATGCTTATTAAAACTATTACATTTCTTTAGCTATTAAAGAATGATCATAATGTATCAGTATAATTTTTTATTATATCGAAAGTGAAGTTGTTATGTATGTCTTTTGATGAATAACATGTTTTATAAGTTATATGATCATATTTAGTAAAAATTGAATACAAATTATAAAAAAAAAATAAATACTATTTTTTTCTTAGAATAATCTCTGTTTATTAATCTCCATGTTTTGCCCAAAATAAAAACAATTCTATATATATATATATATATAAGGATCATCAAATTCCCGCCTATCAGATCAGAATCTATACAGTAAAAGAAAGAAAAAGCGTTGGGTTTGCCATTAATGATTTATACTTACTTAATATTAGTATAACGTTCTTTTGTAATAATGCTAAATTATCAAATAAAATTGTTAATATGTGACACAACAAATATATAAACAATATTATTAATACATTTTTATAAAAAAAAAAAAAATTGTAAAATATTAAGAAGAATTTGAATTGATACAACGAAGAAATCAATTAGCAATGCATCCTTCATTATCTTTATGTTTGTAAAATAAAGATGTAGGTTATACAGTGAAGTTTATACAAAACAATAGTTTCAACATATAATTTTTACTTTTATTTTACATCATTATTTTCACTTGCTGTTATTGTAAAATATATATATATATATATATATATATATGTATTGTAAAAACCAATTTACTATGTATATTATAAAATTTATTCTAATTTAAATTTTGTATTTTTAAACAATATTTATCTACTTATATCATATTTACTCTCAATTATTTGTTGTATTATAAAATGAAATCTACAATAAATGGTGAATGCATTATTTGTGAAATTGTATATACAGAAAATATATCATTAGACTTAATTTTATGTATACATATCTTGTATTTTATAAAGAATCTTAATGAGCAAAAGTACTATTATATTCTATTATATTAAACAGTGTTAAAATAAATGGTTTTTTTTTTCTTCTAAACTATATAGCACACATTGTGCATATCACTTGTTCCATTAGGGATTGTAAATTCAATAAATGAATTATATGATTTCACGTATGTTAAGCTCTTTGAGCCATAAAGGGTGTTAAAGCACCCATTTGTCCTAATCCTAATTGAATGTGTTGCATGTGAATTTCCACACAATTTTGAAAAACTTGTTGATTTTGTGGACTAAGCTTAGATCTTATTTGCTCCATAGTACCTTGAAGTACTTTTAATTCATAAGCATTTCTATCAGAATCAGATAAACTCTGAAAAAAAAAAAAAAAACAAAACAAAACAAAAATATAATTATTTAGAATAAAAATCAAATTTGAAAGTTAGTACATTGCATTACCTTGACTTGTAACATAAGAGCTGTGAGATCTGTTACTAATTGATTCATTTTTCCAGGTTCTTTATCATGAATCATATTATTTCTAGCAACCATATCCGCTGCTTCCTGTTTACATTTTTCTCGAAGATGAGATGGTGCTAACATTGCTGCAACACTTGGTTCAGGAGCTATTTCTTGACAAAGTTCTTGTATGTTGCTTAAGTATTCTTGTAAAGCTGTATTCATTTTTTCCAATTCAACTATAATTCTGAAAAGATATTATAAATATTGATAAGATATAAGCTAATATAGCTATAGACTATAGTATAATTAATGATATTTTGCGTACCCTGCATATCTTCTTTCGAAATCTTGAGGAAAAGGTTCCCCAAACGATCGTCGTTTCTCCGCTTCACTATTCATATCTTTTAATTTTTTAATTTTTAATTTTTTAGCTGCTAATATTTTATTTACTTTGACCATATACTCGAGCAAATTGACTGGGTAGCCATTCACAGTACCACCAATATGAGATTTTTTTGGAGCTGATACAGATGCATTAGAAATTAATGGATCATTGTTTAATCGCGGAGACAATAATTTCATAGCGTATGGTGGTGAAGGTACATATTGCACGTGTCTTGGTCGAAATTTTTGAGCAAAGGAAGCAACGCTAATGGTTTCTGGTGGTTCATTTGACTACAAAATAAATTTATTAATATTATATTGTTATATGATCAAGATGTTTCTATTATGAAGGAGATTTAATGTAAGCTTACCAATACTTCATAATCAGGAACACTATGTGTTCCAAGACCAGCTCTCTCAAATGTAATTCTATAAGTATTATTACTTGTATCTACCGCATCTATACTACCAGTAAATAATCCATCTTGCGGTTTTCGTAACCTTGCTGTTACTTTTGTACCTATAACTAATTGAAGTGGTATTTCTGGCGGTAAATCTTTGAAACTGTTTATATCTGCAGTTTTTCTTTGTTGTAGCATTCTTATTTTTTGACGTTTTCTTTCTAATTCTTTTCTCTCTTCTTCAAAAAATGATTGTGAACATCTACGTGGTTTGCCCATCATTCTTCTGATTTTGCACCATTCAACACGAGTAAGTTTACGTGTTTTCAATTGTGGAAATGATTCTTTTAAACATATCATGAAATCATTATCTCCCTCAAATAAAGTTCTGTAGACAAAAAATATTAGAAATAAGATAATATACAACATACTAATGTACGATTCGTGAACAAATGGTGCCTGTCGCTGAGTCGAGTGAATTAGTCAGAGTTAAACAACAGCAAGAGCAAGAGCAACAGCAAGAGCAAGAGCAAGAGCAACATCAAGCCAACGGCCCAAATTGTCGCGAATACGATAATCGATAATCGTAATAATACACATCAATGATATAATATAATAACACTTACTTATCGATATTACTATAAAACCATTCATAGCAAACCCATTTATGTGCTTTGGGCAATTTTAGCAAATTTCTTAATCTCATTCCAATCTTTTGTCCAATCTTTCTATCAGGTGAAGGAGGTTGCATAGATTTGTCAGGTTCTTTTTCTTGTTTTACCGTAGTCATGACATTAGGAATATGTGAAATATTGCTATTGATTTTCTTGGGCTCGTTTGCTATTCTATTCTGTTTTTTTGCTGGCGATGGACGAATTATTTTTTTGGGGGATTGCTTAATATCTGTACTAGAAGGATCCTTCTTGATCCTACAAAATATATATATATATATATCATATTCCAAATATGAAATATCATATTTCAAATAATTGAACATTGAATGACAAATTTATAACAACATACCTATGATGTGGATGATTAACTAAAATATCATCGTAAAATAATTTATTCTTTTTCCTAATTCTCGCTGGCATTCCTCTACGATTTAAAACTTGGACCGGTTGAGTAGGCGGATTGGGTTTAGGTGGTGGTTGAGTGCCTACCCGTTGAAGTCCTAACGCTGCAGGTCCAAGCTCAGGTATTGGCTCGGATTCTTCTATATCCATATGCGAATCCATTGAATTATTTAACATTGGTTGATCATCCAGATCCATTAAATCGTCATCTTCTATCTCGGTTTTAATTTCATCCACCGTAGGATATCCTCCATTTTTAATAGATAGTAATGTTTCAGCCGATTCATCTAAAAAAACATTCATTATATTAATTTATCTTTTTTCATCATTCTATTTTATTTAGTTCAATGTTTATTGTTTACACTGAAAGCTAAACTATTAGTATAAATGATTATTATCAGTTGATAAAATATATTACTTTTGTATATTGAATTTGACAATTATTAGAAAATGTCACATTTATAAGAAATTCATGATATTCAATTGATTATATGAAATTGTAAGAAACATTTCTAAGAAGTGTATATCAATCATTTAAATTTAATATTATTTTCCTATGTCTGTATGTATCAAAATTGATGAAAATACATAATTTACCTTCGATTACAAAATATAATACAATTATGTATCACATAAGATGTAAGCATACTATGAAATATTAATTGATTAGGCACATTACTATCTTACGTAAATTCTTCCGCCTTTAACGGACCTAAATCATTATATCTTAACTTCAAAATACTAACATAACCAAACTTGCAACGAATTTTGTAATGATTATTCTCACTTGTTGCGCCATTTAAATTAGTACTTTTATGAAAATAATAATACATGTTTCTAAGTAAAAGCGTAACAATATCAAGCATTAGACAAAATTCTAAAGGTTAAATCTAATATCGCTTTATGAATATCTTGTCGTCCCGCTTCAATTATGCATTGGTCATTTTTGAAATTTTAAACCAGGTCGTCTCAACCGTAACTTAAACGTTGGGTAATACTTTGTCTGCAATCAATCTAATACCTTATCCTATTATTAAAAACAAATAGATAATTTGGTGTTTTTTATATCGTACTTTGAATCAAGTAGAAACACCTTTTACGCTTAGAATTAGATCAAAAGTTATTTGAGTTATACTTACTTTCAATCGTGTCCGCCATTTTGATATACTGATGCATCATGGGATTGCATTTAAGTCATAAAGTCTACGTTCTAACTAGCGCATACGAATCGTTTATACAGTTATCAAATAAAGAAAGCATATCTAGGTAATATTATATATTAATGCACAAATAATCATTTTATTAAAACAGATATTTTGAATAATTCATTAAACACATTTTAATAATACTTTTTAGTAATATCTTTTAATGATGCCGCGCACATTTTACAATATCATAACTTACTTATATATCTAGTATTTATCATTATCGCATTAGAATTGTTCATTTATAATAATAATGTATTTCAATTAAATAGATTTTTAAGGCAATATTTGTACAAATAAGATCTTTCTAACTCGCTAAATAACATTTTTCGAATGTTTCCGGAAGGGTTTTTTTTCACGCATACATTTTGTTTAGAAAACATTAAAATTCCACCAAATAATATGTTGTTTTTTCTTATCCACGCATTTTACTAATATTATGATTTTATGGAATCGCTATAATTAATCATTTTATACAAGTTTTGATTATATATTTTTTGTAAATATTAGACAATGGTGCTATTTGATTGCTTTTATAATTAAAATTTATTGGTCGGCGGGCACAGAGGAAGTACGTTTCAATCATTTATAAATATTCGATGTTTAACGATCGATTGATCGACTTTTAATCGATCATAGCTGACAGGTTATCGTACGATAGCAAACGTAACCTATACCTCGATAGCAGTGGTTTATACAAATAATAGTGCATCGTAGTGTGCATCGTAGTGTGCATCGTAATTATTGTGTGCATCGAATGTGCGTTAAATGTCAAGTTTTGATTATATGCAACGTAAGAGGGTTAGTTTTTTATTTATAATACTTCTTTCAAAATTCATAAAATCAATATTTTTGAGGTTAGATGTTTCATCGTAGAAAATATTCTTACAAGATAATTTCATTATGATATTTTACGTATCATTTATTGTTTTTCTATATACGAGTAACATTTTATCCATTTACATAGACGAAAATATATATTGTCGTGAAAAAGATAGATTAATTACCTCAGAAGATAGTGATGAATATTTGCTTGCGAGTGTAGAAATAAATGCTATGGTAAAGTTACTGTGTCGATATTGGTATGTATTTAAAAGTAATTAATAGTAATTTAGATAAAAATGTACAATGTTAATATGAACGGCTAATTTTAGTAATGATAACGAAGAAATACAAGCAAAAATATGGTATTATCAAGACCGTTTACAAACTTTAGCAGAAAAAGAAGTAGAGATAGGAATGGACAACAATGCATCATATAATAAAATTTATGTGACATTAGATCTTTCATTAGTTATAAAGAATATTGAAAAAACAGATGCCGGAATTTATCGATGTCATGGACAAGAAGGCCAGGACGAAGAATACAAATTTAATTATAGAATAGAGCGTAATATTATTCTGTTAATCTAATCTGTTAATCCTCTTCTTAATGAAATTAATTGATTGGAAGGGTTAAATAATAACATAGGAAGTAATATTTTAGCAATACTCAAAGATCAAAGCGATACTTTTATCGAAACAGGCAACATTACCAAATGGGAAGAATATCGTGTGATCAATTTATTATCTGTGACTACGCGCTTTGCTGTATGAATATATATACATATATATATATATATATAATTATAATATACAATTAAATAAGAAAATATGAAATATTCTACTAGATACCCTTAATTGTATGAATTTATACCATACTTTGCTTTAGGTATCTAAAATGGTTGATCTTGTATATTTACGACAGCAAGGCATCATTCTAGAAGTCATTTCTGAATGGGGACCTTGGAGTCAATGCCAAAAATGTATACGTAATGTAGGAATTAGAACCCGTACAGGATATTGTAGATTGAAGCGTCAATTTGATCAAGTAAACTATCAAGATAATATTCTTTAGAAATGGAATAATATTCATTAGTAATTGTTTATGAATAATTTTGCAGACTGTTATATTGGATAATACAAGTGAAATTGTTCAGTTTTTTAATAAAACCCCTATGCTACCTTGCAAGTAAGGATACTTACTTTATCTTGATACAATATCAACTAAAATATAAAAGCTCAAAGATTATGCATCTTATTATAGATCTATACTTCTCCAAGAAGATTTTCCTATTATCAGTAGCGCAGTTAGATATTTGCCTGAATTTCTTTTGGAGGAAGCATGTAGGAATTGTACTAGAGTAAAAAAAAAGAAAAAGGGGAAAAAATTTAAATACAGAAAACAGTATGTGTTCTCAGAGGGTGCTCATTTTGCTATTTCTTGTCCAGAGTATGTTACAGTCTTATTTTATACTATTATTGTATATTGTCGGATCTCGTTACAAGACTACTTATGGGCTGTAAAAGAATAATTTTACAATTTGTTAAGTTATAAAACGAGGTCCGAACTTATTCAAAAACAATCATTTGTTTTGATTGATAAATGTAGATCAGACCAGCAATCGCATGTAATCTGGAAAAAAGATTCGATTGTTTTAAAGCAAGGTGTTAGTAGATCTTTTCGCAAAACGGATCTTGAAGCTCGAATGATGGTTGATACATTTTCAACGCTCTACATAATTGGTCTTATTTTCTTTCCAAAAACATATACTTTAATTTATTAATCATTTAATATTATACATTTAAATTGTTATTTTTTTTTTTTTTTACATGTAATAGATATTACAAAAGAAGAAGAAGGTAATTATACGTGTTACGTCGATAACGTCAATATGATGCAATTGAAGATCATTGTTGTCTCTAAATCGAAATTTTGGACATTAGGTAGAATAATAAAGATATTCTTTCTTATAATTTTCATTTCATAATTTCTCCCTTTATTTACATCATTATAGCTCTTTTGCGTCACATGGGTTATCTTGGATTTATATTATTATTAACTTTATTTTGTTATTGTACCGGATTGATAATAGCATGTAGACGAAAGGATACCTTCAAAGTGATATATCCTGAAAACAAGGATGCACGTAAAAAAGGAGACCATTATTCGAAAGAAATAAAGAACAAAGAAAGCGTGCCTAAAATATCTGATGCCAATAGTAAAGAATAAAAAATAATACTTATATAGTTGTTAACATTACTTTCATTTTCTTTCATTTCTAATGTTTTTTAACAGCCAATTGCAGTCGATTGTTAATAACAATTTGTTACACATATAATTAATAAATAAAATCTGAAATGAATAGAAAACGGTGAAAAAACGAGTACTCAATTTGTCGAGCGAACGTTGAATAATTGTTCCAAAAATCAATGGAAATGTTAAAAGAAATAGTAGACACCCGTTGAAGAATTCGCCAACGTGTTTATGTTATTATAACGTCCGACCTGCAACTACCTCCAATAGTTTTACAATTCGGAGAAAAAAGTAAATAAAAATAGTGATAGAAGTAGGGATAGAAGTAGGGATAGAAGTAGGGATAAACATAGTTCGATCTTGAGAATAATTCGGTGATCATTATTTACAAAAGAGCTTTTCTATCGCAGTCTAACGGTAAGACGTGTTCCTACGCGCGAATTTATTTTGTCGTTTAATTATTCATATTTTTGATTTAATTTTCAGTCTCTGCAGCGATTCGCGGTTATTGTCCATCTCTCTCGAAATAATTCCTTTATATTGTTGTCATCAGATTTACATTAGTTGAAAAAGCATTCACCGTTCTTTTTTTTGCGGGAAACATTTCGGGAGCTAACAAAGGGTAGATAATTAAAAAATGCAATTACATAAAAGAAGCCAGTGTTATACATTTTTTATATAAAATACGTTTCTTTTCATTTGAATGATTAATTTCATTTGACATAGATATTTATTGTAATTTTTATTTATAAAAATGAAGAGATCATTTGTGGACAAATTTATTATATTATTCATATACAACTACACAAGGTGTAGTTCCGTTTGCCACTGTATATAGAATAGACATTTGTTGTGTTGGAGTCAAGGTAAAAGCCAAGTGAAAGGAAAGGAAAGAAGGACCGCGTGGCACTTGCAGTCTTCTCTGGTGAGTCCGTTAGTCGTCTACCGGGTAATTTCAAAATGGCTGTGCTCGATCGTTTCTCTTTGATATTTTACCTTGCGTTGTTCTTTGCGAGTTACCACGCGTGAATTTTTCAATTCCTGTTTATGCAACGAAATAGAACGATCGATAGGAGGACAGGATGGATTTAAGGACGTACATCGTCGTATTCTTTTCAATTTTATACTTCACTTTACTTCCAACAACGATTGGTGAGTCGATCTTTACGGTTCTTAGTTGGGACCAGCAGTACCACAAAGTGGCACTCTTCTACTTTCACCTGAACGCTGACAAATCCTCTATGGTATTCACCGATGCGCGCTCAATTGCTGCGTTTTACCCTTTATTTATTGCTACTACAATACTTTTTTACTTACTGTATGTACACAATATACATATGCAATGGTGCGCACGATTTCTTTCTCATCCCGTATAAGACAAGACAAGACAAGACAAGACAAGACAAGACAAGACAAATATTTACTCGTTGAGGGACTTAAACGTTTGTTTAATTAACAAAATGTAAAAATATATCAGCTGTATTATTTTGTTACTTCCTTTAGACGCACTTCGAAGATGCGTTCATTGCAGATCAAGAGGAGAGCAAGGCTCCTGCAAGGATCCATTTACGATGAATTCGACGCAAATTGAGTTAGAAAGAGGAGTAGACATGGTACCCTGTGTATCCGGTTGGTGCGGTAAAATAATCGAGAGTCAAAATTTAAACAACGGTTAGTATCATTGATTATTTTATATTAAAACAGTTAACTGTTTAAAATGAAAAGGAGGATCGTTAAAGCATCGTTGCTGTGTGTCTACTTTATAGATAAAATAGCATTATGTTTAAAATATTAGCAATCGTATTTTTCAGAATACGGTACCGCCACGCAAAGACTCTGCTTTCAAAGAGGACCGGATGACGGCGAAGAGAGATGCGCCTACACTACGTGGAACTATAGAAAAGTTTACATGTGTCTTTGTTTAGGAGATCTTTGCAACGGAGCGATTAATCCCAACACATCTTATTCGTTATTGCCCTTAATATTATGTCTTACCGTTAGATGGATCTTGTAATTTTGTCAAGTTCGTCACGAAAATCAACATCACGACATACGAATAAATCTAACGTTACGGAACAGGTAATCTTGAGAATGCTTTCAATCAAATAACATCGATGGAATTAAATCATTTTCCCTTGTTTCGCAATTGTTTATTTTATTTCTTCTTTACACTTGAATTGTGAATTAAACTGTTCCGTAATTAATGAGATATTATTTGAAATGTAATACAAATATAAGATGTAGACAACAAATAATATGAACTACTCTTATTAAAGAAGCCGCGCGTCAAACTAACAACAACATAAAAAACAAATAACATAATATCACTGATTTCTAAAATATTTCTAATTTATTTCATTGTAAGTATATGACTATGTGTTCATCTAGATTTTATTATAGATTAATATCATTTTATTGTTAGTTTAATTTAAGATAAAATGTGTCTCACATGAGATTGTGTCGTGATGTTTGAAAATTAAATATTGACTTTGAACGATATTTTTTTGTTTCTTTGCTCTATATAAATTCGTATAAATATGGCTATTAACTTTTCATCCAACAAACAAATTCTAATGCACAAGTTCTTAGCCCTGGTGCCTTTTGTAGAAAGGCGAGCTAGGTCTTAGACTGTTTAAAATATGACCGTGTAAGCCATTTAATCTTCTCTCTTCTTGATTTCGTAATATAGCACGTACGTGTGGAAAATCGTCGTAAAATAATTCACCGCGGCCATAAAGGTATTTCACTGCCATCATTGCCTCGGGACCAATTAGAAGCAAAGGATCGTGATATTCTGAATAAATTGAAAGGGATTAGTTTTTTCAAAGTGTAATTATTTGTTCTTAATATTATTGAAAAGTTTAGTTACCTAAACCGTTACTGTAATCCGGCGTCATATGTCTAGATTGTTGAGAACCATGGCCAAGATCATTCCCGTCTATGGGAGGAAGAAATACTCCAACTGGCCATAACGACTCAGCATTCTCCGGTTTTATTATTGTCGCATATTTTCCGATTTCGGGGAAATTTTGTTGTTGTAAATTTGGATCAATATTTATACGTTCTCCTAAAAATGAAAATATAATAATTACAATCTATAGGTAGTATATTTTTGAGAAATCTTAGAAAGTAGAAATATATGACGACGTACCAAATTGTCTTTGTGGATTCGAAGAAATACTTCTTCGTCCAATTGAAACAAAAGATTTTTGATAAATCGTACGATCTCCTATTAGACAAGAAAAGCAGGATTTAACTTGTGCTTCTTGTAATAGTGTTTCAATTAGTTTAGTGAAATCACTTGGACTATATACATATGTAGGTATTATATTTATACTAACCGTCTGTCGTAATACCATGTTCGTATACGTGAGGTCTCGAAATGAATTTCACGTGAACATTCGCAATTGGTAAAGCTTCGATCGTTGCTATTACCGATAAAAGGACTAACGCTTTTGTCTGTAACTTAATATCATTCAATAATATAACATTTATCGAAGACAAATATATATAGCGTGTGTGGGTTTTATGTTTTGTATGTGCAAAAGAGTCATTCCTTGCACGCACTCAAGCGCGTAGATTGTTTTATGGATGTTGAGTACGCATAGATAGATTGTTCAATATTACCCTTCTCTCTATATGTTCGATTACAAATACACATAGATTATACATACACATACACATAGTTACACCTTTCGAAGTAACGTAGAAGCGGTCATAATTTCGTCACGCGCGTGAGTGCACTCCTCAGGGATTCTCAACTTTTGTGTCTAGGAAGATACAAATTCAAGCCACCTCGCGCGCCAAGTGCCTTATCATTTAGACAAATATATTACCAACTAATTATATCAAATGGTAACGTGTTCGATTAAATAAATTGCTCGAATATATTCTACGTATATACGTTGTATATTTCGTAATTTTTATGTTTTGTAATGGAAGTGTATAGACGACGATGACGGTTGCTGCTAACTTTCCTTCATTCGAATAAATGTTTCCAAATATTGTATAGTTTCCCAGAGCAATGACTTTCGTTACGTATGTTACACAATGCGCATTACATACTCGTACCATATAATTTGGATTAAAACATTTTGCAATTAGAATTACGTAAATTACGATTATTTATTTGTATGTGCAGGTATTTTTACATAAGCGCATTTTTTTTTTTCGATAGTTTTTTTTCATAGATTTTGTTCAACGGTGCATATCAAACTCTTTCGCCGTTCATTTAACTTTTATATACTTCATTTAATTTTATTATTTGATTAAAGATATCAATTTTACTTAGCGCTGTTTGATTGCTGCCCGCAATAGGGGGCATATTAAAATATGCATTAGAAGCGTAAACATATAAAAGCCACATAACTTATCATTAATACTTTCACTATTTCCTATCCAAGTAGCGAAAAATTGAACAATTTCAGGATATCTCCTTTCCACTAATCCTACATTTGATTTCATATTTTATCAAAAAAGAACAACATTTTTGCTGCCAAATTACTTTCCAAAGTCAGAAATATACAAAAAACCTTGAAGGTGAGAAGAAGAAGAGATTTTGTATAAGAATAATAAAAGGATATGATCCTAAAATTGTAAAAAATCCTTGATACAATACTTACCATGAGTAATTTGAAATATGGCGGTACTTTTACCGCGCTTCGATATATGTATATTTCAAATATGTTTGTATGTATTATTAATACGTTTTTTGTTTTTGTTTTTTTTTTTTTTTTTTTTTTTTAAGTCTTTTGCATGCACGATAATATTTTTATGTTAAAACACCATAATTATTCGTTAGGACTATGACACTGTAAAGAAAATCCGCAAGGTTTCCGAATTGAAGCAAATTCAATAATTAGCTATTGCAATGAAGAGGACGAAATTGGTGCAACTTAGCGCGGTTATTTCAAAGAACTGATCCAGTTTGAACCTCTTGGGTGAATGTCGACGACGATGCATATACTCCCCAACCCAACATCCCCCTTCTAGAATATACAAATACGCCACCTGGTTTGAAAACGTTTGAGAAGAATATTTTAAAGAGGCTAAGGTATACACGTATATACTTATGTACATAACTTTCATTTCAATTCTCTCACACTTTCTGGTCCTTGAAAATAAAACGTCCCTGATGGGTAATGGCTCGCGGTATAATATCAAGTTGAATTTCCGATTATGGTTATATCGTAATTAAATATTCATTTTGAAAAACTTTATGTAAGAAAATAACTCTATGTGGTAGGATAATGCATACTGTTGATATACTGTTTTAATAAATAATTGTTTTTCATAGTGGCAAGTAGAAAATACTTGCGCTTTTTCTTTCTTTTTTTTGACTATATATTATGGTAAAGTTTGATTCGAAGCGTTGTGAAAACAACGCGCGATGATCTCATCTCAAGAGGTGTCCTTGAGGCTCAATGAAATTTCTCATTCAGGATACTTGCTATCATATGAGATCGCTCTACTTTCACAACTATAACTTCCTTTTCATCCGGAACTTTCAAACAACAAATTATATTTGTAATATAATACTAATTAGAAGAAATACTGATTATATAATATGTTGCTAAGAGTTGTTGTTGAAACTATCGTAGTACATATGTAGTATATTGTTTCAAATCTATATACAATATTACATATGAAATAAATGATACGAAAAGGTTTGTTTAAACTCATTGTTGAAATCATTCTATTGAAGAATTTGCGTAATGAATTATGGTTTGGCGCGCGCACACGGCGGTGCATCGACTTGCAGTCAGAAGTGTAACAAGGTATTTTTGTGCCCTAGGCAAGAAATGACACAACGACGACGCTACGAGCATTCATTATAATTATAAGATAATGAATTTACAAATAAACGTATTACACGATTAACTACATAATTACATTGTCGAATATATTTGTAATTGTAAGTGAAATATTTTTCATGCATTTGTTGTTTCTTTCTTTTTTTTTTTTTTTTTTTTTTTTTTTTCTCTTTTTCCTTCTTGAAGAGAATCCCTGAGAATAATTTGGTGTTAGGTGGCAGCACGGTTGTTTCTGGATCGCTCGCTTTGGTTAGGAAGAATATTTCGCGGGTGTCCTGAGTTTATGGGTAATATTTCCCAAGATTCTTTGGTGTCCAATCGTCAGGTGTAGAAAATTCAGTTTATCCGCGTAGAAATTTTGATGGCATATCGATTAAGTGAGAAGCGAAAGAGAAGGATAAATATTTTGTTCCAAAAAGAAATGCCACTCAGCACGGTTTTTACCGATCCCGTTGTTGACATACTCATACGGGAAAATGGCGAAAGAGAGTGTTTCATTGATTTAACTCGTGTTTTAAGGTTTAATATTTATTATCGACAAATTTCATTGTGCATTTGCATTCCTACGACATGAATATCGAGATAAATAATAAACAATTTCAATTAAACTTATTACCGCGTGATATTTCTTTAATAATGCATTAAGCATCTGAAGAAATGTATAAAATAACGACGAACCGGTTTACGCGGTAAAAATAATAAATAACACATTTGTTTTTATTGCATTGCGTTACGTTGCCCTGCCTTGCCTTGCCTTGCCTTGCCTTTGCCTTGCCTTGCCTTTGCCTTGCCTTTCATTCGCTAGGAAGTATTCCCTCTAAACTATACTTCCCTTAGTATTCATCAGAGTTCATGGAGATTTCTTTGTTGTTCTTTGTTGTTCTTTGTTGTCTCAAAACAATAACGTTATATTTTCTAGCTATACGCCGGTAAGAAATTATGTCAACACAGGATGAAGAATCATCAACGGGTTTTGTCACGAGTACTATTACCAATCAGGATGAAACCGGTACAGTTTTACACGAATTATCGGTAAATACAACTATTGTTGTTATTTCTTGATAATACATAAACATTGTTATCATTGTCAAATCATATTGTTTCTTTTATTTTTAGAATAATTCAAATGACGTTTTGGAATGTCTATCGGTGATGATCGACGAGGGAAATGTGAATAATGTTCAGGTACAAGAACTTATTCTGGATGAACAGCTGCTTGGTACTACTACATTGACTGCAATAACATTACCCGATGGAACCCAAGCATACTTGACAAACAACTTTAGCGACGATGGTTTCTGTTTTATGTGTTTAATTATGAATAATTCATTGTATATTTATATATATATATATATATATGTATATATAGTTACATTATATTTACGTTGTAACTCTACAGAATCTCCGCTTAATGGGGATGCAGCCTTGGAACTGGAAAATGGAGACACTATTTTCCTGAGAGATCTATCCGAATTTGCGGATGGTAAAACACTTCAATTGGAGGTAGATCCAGCATTTTTGGATCAAAATACATCTGTAGACATTGCATCTGTAGAAAATACATATCCACAAGTAGAATTTATTAATGGAACAGCGTATGTGGTTGCTAGTCATTTAAATGTTGCCGATGACTTATGGGAGATAGAAGATGGCAAATTAAAAAAGAAAGAACCTAAAATTTTAATGAACAAATTATCTGAACAAAAAATACGACACCCTTGTCCTAGAGAGGGATGTACAAAAGTGTATAGTACACCGCATCATCTCAAGGTGGTATATTTTTCATTTCACAATGATACTTGAGAATATACTTGAGAAGATACTTATAGAAATATTGATGTTAGGTGCATGAACGTTCTCATACCGGACAACGACCATACAGATGCACCTATACAAAATGTAAAAAAGGTTTTTCCACCGGTTATAGTTTGAAAGCTCATTTACGGACGCATACTGGAGAGAAGCCTTATAAATGTCCTAATGATGCATGCAATAAAAGTTTTAAAACATCGGGAGATTTATTAAAACATGTTAGAACGCACACAGGTGAACGTCCTTTTGTGTGTCCATACGAAGGATGTGGTCGATCCTTCACAACGAGTAATATTAGAAAGGTAAAAAAGTACTTTAATAAGAGGGAGGAAGGGAGGGAGGAAGGGAGGGAGGGAGTATTCTCCAAAGTAAATATATATCTGATAAATGTTTGAATAATTCAGGTACATGTAAGAACACATACCGGTGAACGTCCATATAAATGTACGCAACCAAAATGTGGTAAAGCTTTTGCCAGTGCGACAAACTATAAGAACCACATTCGTATACATTCTGGGGAGAAGCCATACGTATGTAACATAGAGAATTGTGGAAGAAGATTTACGGAATATTCTAGTCTTTATAAACATCATCTTGTTAGTATGAATTTAACAATATCGTCAAGTTCTTCAATCTAAAAGGTGGTGTAGAAATGTTGTTAATTCTTTACTATTTTTTCTAGGTTCATACACAAGACAAGCCCTTTGAGTGTAATATATGTTTTAAGAGATACAGACAAAGTAGTACACTTGTAATGCACAAAAGAACAACGCATCCATTAGTTGATAGCGATGACAGTACTGATATTTTTTTACAAGATACTTTAGATGGATCTATTCAAAGCAAAAATAAAGAAAAACATGGTACAATAATAGAAAATGTAAGCAATAAATGATTATAAGATACATTAAACAGACTACATACGAGATACTTAATAATTCGTTATTTTTATTATATTTATTTTCTTGTAGAAATTAACAATCGAAAAGGAAACGCAGCTTCAAGTTTCTAAAGTTTCCGAAAATATATCAGATTCTGAACCACAAATTTTATTAGTTAGCGATCCATCTCACATAGCCGCTTTACAGGTTTGTATTTTAAGGAATGAAAGTTGATATATTCAAAGTTTATTTTATCTAATCAATAAAAGTTAAAATATAAATATATATTATATCTATATCTATCTATATATATATATATATATATATGTATATGTATGTATATATTTCTTCTTTTGCTTTGACTTTCTTTTTTGTTTAATGAGAATACAAGTGCATAGTTATAGTGGTACTTTTTGTGCAGCAAATTGGATTGGATGATAGTTTTGTTGATCCTCCAATAGACACAACCTTCGAAGGATTAAACATAAAAATCGAAGACATAGAGTTCGGTTGGAATTAGTGCATTATTATCAGGGAATCTTGTCTCTTAGTATAAACTACTCTATATCGATACAGTCTTATGAAGTACTGTATTATTAACATGGTACATCGTAAACCATATAAAAGACTATGGAAACTTGCAGATATTGCATAAAAGGGTTTAATAAGTATTTAGATTTTAGTCGATAAATCGTTATAAATAAAGCCATTTAAATGTATAAAGTCTTATTATAACAATGAGCAAATGACAAAATCAGGTAATTAATCATATTTATTATGATAAGGTACCATCAATTATTAAGTTCAATTGTTATACGCAAAAACAGCATTATTAGGACTGTAGGTATGTAAATGACACTTTATTCGATTATTGTTTTCCTTATCATTATCGTTCAAACGAAGGGCACACTCAATGCACTATTCGTAGCATTGACGAGAAAGGATAAGAAATGAAAGTAACAAAACACATTATATACAAAACATATTATATATATGATATAGTCAAATAATTATCATAATATGTATGTTCCTTGTGTTAGATAAGCAGTCGTAGCGGTAAAGGATTTATTTCTCAATTGGTTATATATTGAAATTTATTTCGTTCATTAACGTTTCATAACTAAGGACATAGATTAGAATTAAATATTGGTTCCCTTATTAATGAATATTTATAATTTAGACAAAAATATATTTAATTATGCAGTATAATTGTAAATTAATCTATCTAATGGCTGTTGAAGCAAAAACAAAATCGGTCGTGTAGATATATATCGTGGATAGAACTTGCGTAAAACCGAAAGAAATGGCGTTTTGGCGTTTTTGTCGTTGAAATGCTATGTTTAAAAAAAAAAAAGGAACAAAGAGAAAACATAACTGTAAATTTTAATAAATATTATAATGTTTTATCTTTTTATTTCGTTGAAAAAATAATATAATAATGGAAATGAAATATATTTATTAGTTGAAAAATATATTTTAAAAATTTCTTGACCGCATGAGAATATTTTGTGTAATTTACATTATTCGATTATGAATATTTAAGTCTAACATACTGTGTGATAAAAGAGAGAGAGAGAGAGAGAGAGAGAGAGATTTATGAAATTATTCTCTAGAAAAAAATGAAAATTTATTTAGAAATGTTATGTGTGCAGGTGTTCAAAACAGAAAAGCAGACTAAATCTTTGTAATTACATTATTTTTTAATAAATCCTTCAGTAATTTTACATTGTAACAATTGTTCTTCCATTTTCCACATTGTAAACAATATCTTTGCTCTACTTATATAATTATCAGATCGCGGTAGTATTTGTGATATAAATTAACAGAAGTTTAAACGCGATAATACGATCGATAATAGGATCGATATATTATCGACAAATGCCTAGAAATTGTAAGATTTAGTTCTCAAGTGAGAAAATAGTTACTGGTAAGATACAGAGAGAAGATATAAATACGAGCGTCAGTCATAAGAAGAGAAAAAGAGAACATCTACAATTATTATCACCACTTTACTAACTAAATAACGCGTTTAACGTATCGCAAGAACATCGCAAGAACATCGCAAGAATGTAGAATAACACTTGTACACTAATCGGATTCCTCACAATTTAGGGAATGTTGATTACGTCATTTCGATTTATAACATTACAAGTCGTTTATATTTATTTTTCTACAAAATTATTTCATTCAAATAAAATGTAAATAAAAAGTCTCGTGAAGCAAATGAATAAAAAAAGTAAATGATAAACAACATAATGTTTAATGAGATCTTTATGATACCGATATAAAATAGGAATTCAGCAAGATATAGATAGGATATCTAATAATTAAGCAACCGGTGATATTCTATATAGAAAATCGGTTTTTAAAAGAGGCGTTTTAGGAAATTAGGAATAGAAATATGTTAATAATGACGATGGTCAATGTTACGATTTCACATCCTCCCACCGTTCGAGAGCTTTTCCAATGGTTCACGCGACTCGATCAACGAATAGTCTTCGTTCGGCCAAGTACTCGAATGCGCTGGTCGGTTCTAACATACGAATTCGATCTCTCTTTGTCACGCGTTTAATCACCAAAATGGACAATTAACTAAAATTCTTAAATAGAAGATACGTGTATGGGTACATATATAGAAATGTACCCTATGACTGATCGATCTTCGTCGTCAAGGATGTGAGATCTTCGGACACTGTGTTTACGAGGTATGAACTTCTTCTAAGAAAATTCATCGATTTAACCCTTGTATGTACCTTGTATTTACGTGTACGTCTGATGTGTAAATCAAATTATTATATATGATCTTTCGATCCGACGTAATCCGACGTAGTCCGACGTCGTAGTCCGACGTAGTCCAACGTAGTCCAACGTAGTCTTAGATGAACGCTAAACCAATTACTACAAATCAAATCCTTCCCTTTGCTTAATATACGAAGAAAAAAAGAAGAAACGAATCTCACTATGATACGGTTTATTTTGTGGTCATCCAACTATCGTTGGAGTTGACGGCACATAAATTTGATAATTGTTGAAATTGGAACGTTAATCACTTGGGACAATCACTGAACGCGACATATATTATTTATACATTATTTGTGTAAATAAATCATAACGCGATGTAAAAGCGTGTAAATCGTGTAGTAGCTCCATTGTGTTATGAAATATCTGTAAAATGTCTTTTCCCCCTATCTCTGTCGCTCTTTATTGTTGCGATAAGAAAATGCTTTTTTCAATTTACGCGCATTATCATCGGCCGATCGTCGATGGAGTGCTATGTGTACCGAAAGATAATCCGATAAATCCAGGATACTTTAAATGGGACTTTGGCTTCGACCACCCAAGGAGAGAATAAAGTTCTGCTGTTCCCAACTAGAAGAGAGAAATTGCTTTTTCAATCCTTCCGAGATTCCCCTGAGTAATTCTTTGCTTTATGATTATAAAAAGAAGATTATAATCATCGTCTTTGAGATCCGATAGTGGAGCGCCTTTGATATGTTAAATTAAATCTCATTTTTTTTTTCTGATTGCGATCTCTTTTTACGATTTGTTTGTATTTCTTTTCATATCAAAATTCAAATTCAAATAAATATCTCGTAACGATAAATTCGCGAATGACTTTTCAAGAAAAATGTTCTTTTATATATTACACGAAATACATACATTTCTATAATAATAACAACCAATGAAAGAAGAGTGAGAGATCAATCTCTAACGTGAAAATATGTTGAATAACGTGTTAGAAATTCATCATGATTACGGCTAATAAATTAAATTCAATCTTTAAAAGAATCTATCGACAATGTTAATATCTATTCGATGGAATTGTTTGATAGTGAGAAGATAAGCTATAATAGTATTGTTCATGTAGAAATAAGTAAAAAAGTAAAAAAAGTACTTCTATTAGTATTATTAAATGGTCAATGTTATCAGAGTTTGAATGAAAATTAGTGAGAAAGAAGATTTCACCCTGTCAAGTCAAGGAGACATCAAGTAGAATATTGCTAATGAAAAATCGAGACATATTAGCGGTTATTATTATCGCGTTTCTATAAATACAGTCGACAATATTGAACATATACAACACCATAGCTTTCTTTGCGTATTTCATTCATAAATGTTATATGTTATATTAATAATATGTATAAATGCATAACGATGCATTATAAAATGCACGTCAGTGTAATTAAGTGTCAGTTATTAGCCGTCGTGATTAATGATTTTTTCATTTCATCACCATTAACGCTATCTCTGGTTTTATTATTATTGTCATTAAACATTTAGTAATATCCGCTATTGATAATTGAAAAAGAACAAGAAAAAAGAAGATAAGTTGTATTATCGACGATGCACGGTACATTTAGCGAAGAAGAAGCAAGCCATCGTATATTTATTTTTTAATTTACGATCTTCCACGTGATCCAGAATGTAATTTAGTTTTCTTTCCTTTTTTTTCCCCCTTTTTTAACACAACACTCACGTTCTCTTTGCTTCATTTACGAAAGGGGGATAAGAAGTATTCAATGTCTTCTTTTGTACACCATATATCACTATGTATATACAGTAGTAGTGAAACGCGAATTACGTCGTGTGTCGGCATAAACCAGCAATGCCCACATTGCTACCTTTGGCAAACAGAGATCGATAAGTAAGATGGAGCAAACAAGGATACTACTTACAGAGTTCGCCTCATAAATCGTCATTGCGGACGTAACTGTTCGCAGACAGGAGATCTTAAACATATGTACATCTTATTATTTTTCTTCCTTTTTTTTTTTGCAAGGACTCTCTCAATTTTTAATATGATCGAATTAAGTTACTTATAATCTTGCAATTATTAACGATAACGATTTTCCATTGAGCAACGAACGATGACGCATACAATTAATTCGAATACTGTCATTGTTTTCACATGATGAAAAGTGACACGATGAAACATTACGAGGACAGCTCTTGTTTGCGCCACAAATCATTCAGTCGTTCAAAGAGATCGATCATCAATTATTCCTTCGTTTACATAAATGATGACTAAAAAGAATAAAAAAAAAAAAAAAAAAAAAAGAAAATAGAAAAGAGAGGACGCACCGTTCTAAGGGAACATTTTTTTACTTTGATGAAGTTTCTAAGTGACGGTAGAAACAAACCAGTCACGTTTCGAGGTAAACGCGTTTTAAACCGAAACGAGCACAAATTTATTTGTCCATTTTGACTCGTCCATTATCATTGAAGTCTCGAGAAAGAAAAGAACGAGATTTTCCGGGATTGAAAAGCCTGGCAGCGTAATTGGCTCCTTTCAAAACGACGCCCTTTTGTCGCCGGATAAAGCTCTCTGTTCTCCATTAACGAGCGCGACCTATTGTCAACCGGTACTCGCATCCATTGCCTCCGATCTTTTCACTAAAAAACTAGTGAGTATATACATACCTTTACAAGTGCAATCCCATACATAATTAAACGTAATATTTTATTTGGTACAACCTTTAAACTAAATACACCGATTTTCTCAATGACCAATGTATACCAAATTACCATGTTATAACGTTATATGTACAACGAGTTTTCTCTCTCTCTCTCTCTATCTACTCATCTACCTAGCTCCCAATCTATCTATCTATCCATCTATCTATGTATATTTATCTGTAACATAACGAATTCGTAGCAGCAACGCGATCGAGCATCATTAGTTTTTTGTCGAAGAACAAATGCTGCAGACATTTGGAACACGAGCGAATGACGAGAGAGCGTTTGTCAATTAGCACTTGTCGCTAAAGCTTACTTTGCATCGCGAAATAACTAAAATTGGAAATTATCATCGTAGACATGATTTGTCCTCGTCGAATAGTCGAGCAACGATTTAAACGATTACACATTTTTTTTATCGTTGTCGGCAGGATCCGAGCAAAAGGGGATTGGACTTTGGATGAAAAGAAGATGAAATCAAAGGCAAGCAAAAGGTAAATAATAATCGCTAATAGGATAGGGTCAAAGAAGATAGGATTAGAACGATAACAACGTCGTCGTGGTCGTCGTCGTCGTGGTCGCTTACGATCAACAGCGTCGATAATCGGTCCGCGTCTGGTAAGGTCCGTCAAAGAGAAGCAAAGAGAAGCACGTGAGAGGTCTTCAGTTGGCTCTGCGGACGTAGAGTCAAGAGGTTCATCGGACATACCAGGGACAACATAAGAAAGGAAGAAAATGGCTACGCTGACCCTAGATCATCGTTATTGTCCTAGAAAACGAGTTTGAACCTCGAGAATTATAAACTGTGTGTATAGTTCCCGGTGACCAATTGCCGCGTTTCAATTGACCGTTTCTCCTTTTGTTTTTCGGAGAATGTCGAAGAAGCAATGGATCGTACTTCTCATGTTGTTCCTAGCTTATCTCCTTTTGGGCGCTTCTATGTTCTATCACATTGAGAGCAAATTGGAGATTGAACACATCGAACTTGCCAGACAAGAACGCATCGAGATTAACGGTAAGAGAGAAACAGGGACTTATATTCATTTACGGTCATTACAAATTACACTTATTACAAAATGTTCATTTATTGTATCTATTTCTTTCGCAAGGATAATTATTTTCCGGAGACAAGGTCCACTCGTTAAATTAGCACCTCGCGCTTACGAGGGTAATAATGTTTTTTTAATCGTTCCTTTTTCAACGTTTCTTAACCGAGTAGTCGTCATACCAATATAATTTGTTCGCTCGTAAGGTCTTATCATCGTAAAAGATTCATCTACGATAAAGAACAAAAACGGAGAAAGAAAGAGAGAGAGAGAGAGAGAGAGAGAGAAAAAAGACTTATCGTGTATTCTTAGAAACGAATGTCCAAATTGTAGTATTATTATTAGAAAAAAAAACATAGAGTTACAATTTTGCACGAGCACAATGTATTAACAAAATATATTAACGTAAATACGTAGAAGTAAGATTAAGAAAAACGTGTTATGTCTACGGGATAAGTTTTCCAATAGGTTGTTCGATAAGAGATAAGCGATACCAAACAGCTTCCACGTATTACGATATTACCTTTAAACGTCAATTTGTGAGAATTATCGATTACTTACAATTGTACATGTATCATCTTGTCGGTGTTTTGCCGGTGTTTTGTCGGTATTTTGTCGGTGAATATTTCCTTGGAACATTTCTATTCCCAATCGAGCAATAAAGAGAACAACAAGCACTTCCGTTTGATTATCCACGAAAATAATGCTCCCATGTGTCATAATACTGTTGCTAGTTTCGCGCCCAATTGATGATGAATGCCAATGGATCCATTGAAGACCCTGTCACACGCGCCTACGTACACTTAATAATAATAATAATAATAATAATAATAATCTGTAAAACAGTGATATGTCCGCCATTAAGAAAGCCATTTAAGCCATATAGGCACAAATGACAACATATTAATTGTAAGAAGCTGCATTTCACATATCATTATGCTCCAGTTTCTACCGGATTCGGGCTTATTCGTTAATTAAATAATGACACAACGAATGACGTGACGACTGAATTGTACACGTCGCGACTTCGCCTACGAGAATTTTGCATAAGACATAAAGGGTACTAAAAGTTCCTTTCCAAATCGATAACCATCAATATTTTTTCTTCTATATTTTTTTCTAATTGTTTCATTTTTATTATGACGACTCAGAGGAAACTAGAAAAATACAGTTGAAATATTTGTTGAAATGTAGTAGCTGTCTTCTTATAGAACACAAGTTAGACAATAAGAGAACTGATACCTTAGGGTGTTACATCATAGGAATTTTAATGAAAGTAGCATAAGAAACTGACAGATTACGGATTACACAATGGTCGCGACGTTTTACAACGTTTTACGACGTTTTACGGACTCAAAGATGATCCGTGATATCATGAACGTTTTCGTATTCATAGTTGTGCCCCGAAACTATTGTTAAGAAGAACAAAAACAGTTGCATTAGAAAGGACGCTAGAAAAAGAAGTTCCAGTGTCAGTGTCGGTATTTGTCATATAGGCTCAATCCCAACTTATCTCTTGCCAATCTGTATTTCATATTACGTGTACCGAATTTACAATCTATTCAAATTAACTTGTCGTCCTTTTTAACATTATTCTCTAATCTTTTTATAGCGCCATAAAACTTTCAAATCTTATTTTACGTTTTTATCATTTAAAATAATACAAAGAAACAACGAAAAAATAAGAATACCAGTTGATTATTGCGTTTCGTTTGATTGCGGTCACATTAGATCATTTTTTTTTTTTCTTTGGCAAATAATCTAATATTAAGGGTTTCTGTATGGTGTAATCCGTAAAATATTGCGATTAGATAGGCAAAAATAAGTTGAAAAAAAAAAAAAAAACGGAAGAGTGGACAGATACGAATGAATGCAAATAGAATATGCAAGATTGCACATCCTACATTGCATGAACAAAAAGTCCGATTTAATTGAGGCAAACGGCCGAGTAACTAGCAAATATCGGCTGATAAGATAATGGTTGACAATTATCTCAAAGATAGTCTCATTTAAAGCGCTAGTCGTGCTACCCTGCGCGAATTAATCGACAGGAATGCAAATAATGAGAGGATAAATTGAGAGGACTAATTCCGGGAGTTATTCGTGAATATGCTGCTATCTTTCAATGCGACCGACCGACGAATTCACGAATTCGTATGGGTGCTTGGCAACGCCCTACAACGCTCGACAACGCCCGACAACGTCATTCAAATGAATACATCGAAGAAATTGCGATAAATAAATCAACAATCATCATCGCTTGCTTACTTGTTCGAAAAAATTCATATAATCGCCGCCGTGTATCGCTTTAACATATCACTTTATCGTGGATAATTTCAAATATTTCCTATATAACTTTATTCTTTTTCTCAATAGATAAGCGGGCAAAAAAGAAAAGATTATCTAGCGTTAAGAGGATTTACGATAGATCAAAGGATCAAGAAGACTAAGACACTAGTTTACGTAATCGTAGCTACTGTCGATTTAAAGAAAAACATCATTAGCTATGGAAAATTGTTTTTATTTGCGTTTAATTTATAGAATAAAGCTTTGATAATTTTTCATTTGTTTTCAGCTTTGCTTCGCAAACATTACATTCCCAGTCGTACGCACAATCAGCACGAGATCTTTGCACGATTGACAGAGTATTGTGGTAAATCGGTTTACAATTATACGGACGGCGAAAATGATCCATTAAAATGGGACTTTTACAACAGTTTTTACTTTGCTTATACAGTCGTCAGTACCATAGGTGAGTCGTCGAGCTTGAGAAAAGAAAAAAAAAACAACTCCTTATCCTATTTTATCATCGATCATAATATATTCAGGTTACGGGAATTTAGCACCAACCAATATGCTGAGTCGCATATTGATGATATTCTACGGATTGGTCGGTATACCTATGAACGGCATTTTATTGTCTCAGTTGGGAGAGTTTTTTGGTCATGTCTTTGTAAGGGCTCACCGCAAATACAAATCGTACAAACAACATCAGAACAATGACTATGCGAAGAAATTAACACCGCTTGAAACAAGGAAAGCTGGTCTCGCGGCACAAATCTTCATGTATCTCATTCCTGGATTCGTCATGTTCATCTTCTTCCCGGCTTTTCTATTCTCTCATTACGAGGGTTGGACTTACGACGAAGCTGTTTATTACGCTTTCGTAACGTTGACAACGATTGGCTTCGGAGATTACGTGGCAGGTCAGGGGAACAATCATTATTTTTCAATGAAATAAGCATTATTTCGTTAGCAACTAAACGCTAAATGAAGTCTAATAACGAACAAACAATAGCATACAATTAATTACTATTAACAGCATTATCGAGCATACAATCAATATGCAATCTAGAATAATACCATTAAACTGAATTTCCACGCATAATCGTAAAGCGAGAACGCAATGAAAAAGGAACAAAGCGGCAAATAACGCGACAGACTCGTACGGGTCAATTGATGTTACTTGATGCTTTCAATTCTACAAGATTTTATGTCTGATAGTCGATTCGTAACTTATGCATTTCGCAATCAACTTTTCTATGCTGATTCTCTATGCTGTTCGAACTATATATACATATATATATATATATTTTCTAACACTCTCTAACGCTAATTGCTCAAATTATATTTCTCTGTTGATACATGCACCCAATAGAGAGAGAAAAGAATTTTCTATCGGTAAGTAATATCCACGAATCATCACAGAGATAGGCAAAATATTTACGTACTTGCGTTGCGTTGCGTTGCGTTGCGTTGCATTGCGTTGCGTTACGTTATCATCAAAGTATGTATCGAAGAACTGTATCGTGTTCACAGGACAAGACAACACAAAAGGTAGTGGATTCTTTTTCGTAATGTACAAAACCTTCCTCATTATATGGATCTCCTTCGGATTAGGCTACATCGTCATGATCATGACCTTTATCGCCCAAGGTATGCGCAGCAAGAAAATCATCAGAATTGAGCACAAATTGGCAATGAATCTGAAACACACGCAAAGCAAAATATGGAATGAGTTTAACAAAGAAATCAGCTACTTCCGAAGAGTTTTTAATGAACTGCAGCTTTCCAAAGTCAAAGTACGTCTCTCTCATCTGCTGTATCAATTATTTTCTCACAAAATCCAAATTATCCTTTACTTTATATTTTAGAGGGTTTACGTCGATGAATACAACTACGAAACACCGCCAACTAAATTTTCACGGAGTAACAGTTTCCCAGATCTCAGGAAGTTGATATATGGTGGATTCGACGCTCCAGCACCTTTGCATCCTCGACGTCGTGCCAATAGTGAAGTAGTACCCTTGGTATGTATCAAATCTACGCTATATCTTACGAGATATCTTATTTATTATTTTACTTACAAATTGTACGTCATCCAGGAGCCATTAACGCGAGTGGTGTCGGAAACCGATCTCCAGCGAATTGACAAAACGGCTACATTCGCTGCTCACGCAATGGTACAACCAGCAGAATTGTTGGCAAGACTGGTAAACGTCCTGGGCTATATACCACCGCCTGATGATGCTAACGATACTTCTGATTGGGATCAGGAATATAAAAACAAAGAAGACACCACGAGAAAGACCGGAATCGAAGGATTCAATGAAAAAAATATTCTTAATAAACAGAATACTTGGAACGAGTCAAGCTGGAGAATCGGTACAGAGAAGATTTCTGGCATTAAGCCACGATCGAGAGCGGCTAGCGAAGTTAGATTGGATATGAGCAAAAATGATTCTAACGTTCATCAACAAAACGGAGAATGGACTTGGTCCGGGCCGACTGCTTCGAGGAAAATTCAAGAACTGATCAAAACTCGTAGGACTGGTCTTTCTAGTATCAAAGACAATAAATCGTACAAATTTCCTTCGATCACGTTACCCAAGTCCGTACCAAAGAATCTCTTCTCTCCGTGGAGGCGACAATCGTCGTCAAACAAAAAGATACCGGACACCGAACAGTCCATTCAAAAGGGTAGTACTCTTCCTGATATCGATCTTGAAGCAGGAGAAAATTATTCATCGATAACAGCACATTCTGATTTGTATTCTTCGAATTTGGACGACGTCAATGAATCTATGACAACATCGAGGCATCATCCATATTACACTCACACAGGCGCCAATTTGCCCAGTTTAATGGAGAGTAATAATATTTTGGAAGAGACATCTTTGGCCGATTTTCTACGAGCTCTTACCGTTCTTCACGCTAAAATTAGCACTGTGCCCAGCGATTATTCGAATATTCGTAAACCTCAAAGAAAAATGGGTACCGCTTCGTTGACCCCGCCTAAACTTCCAAGTCTCTTCACTTTATTCTCGCAATCCGCAGACAGTCAAAGTCATAGTCAGAGCAATCAAAGCACGATGACCGCATCTTCATCGTTGCAAGCCAATAGAAGATACTCTTTGAGACCTAGCGAATACTCACCAGCATCTACGCCGTCTTATGAAAGACGTGGAAGTGTGATGAATCCTGTTAAATCAAGAAGGTTTTCTTTGAGACCCGTTGCTACTCCGACTAGTACCCCACCGGAATATACAGCATCCTACTTGGTAAGTAGATTTTATAATGACTTTTATTATGTTGGATGTTAATTGAAAAAATTGAAAAAATTGAAAAAATGATTATAGAATTCACGAATACACGATGACCAGAGATCACAATTTTCCTATCTGACGGATGCCTTTATCTACGAATCTGCGAAAAAGCCTCTGGTAAAAATGGAAGGAACTCCAGGTGTTTCGTCGCCAATTGCAAAGATCTCAAATGGTCGTCGTTACTCTTTACGACCAATGACCCAAATACAACAAGCGCCCAGTTCGAATCAACAAACTCAAGCCTTTAAAGCTCTACCACGTTGGAAGGCTGGAATGTTACAACGGCAGATTGGTAGAATGAGCGTTCACCGTCGGGTTAGAGCTTTCAGTTTAAGCGACGTCCAAGCAGACAAATCTGACAAATCTACTGGTCTAAGTCCATTAGCGATAGATGATAATGGTAAACCAGTAACTTCTATTATTTCTTCGATTAAACCAAGTGCTTCTGCGGTTCAAAAGACCGTTACGATCGTATCACCAACGAAAGATGAAGTTCTTCGATCGAATAGCAACGAGACGACCTCCAATCCTTTTATTCCTTCTTTTGCAACATCAGAAACACCAGACAACAATTCTATTGCTGACAATTTTCCATTTAGAAACGTTCAAAACGACGCTATAAACACCAATATTGTGTTAAACACTTTACAGGCAACATCTGAATGCGAAATGATTCAATCTAATAACAATGAAAGGAGTGTAGAAAATATCAACAATTCCGACAAAGGGATGGGAGAGAAATTAATTTTCCCTAATGATTCTGTCGGTTCTAAAGAAATTTTAAATGACGAATTGGCATTGTCCAAAGACAATGTAGTATTATCGAATATTAAGGACAATTCAGAAAACGATACGAAATCAATGATTCGTTGTAATACGAATGAGAAACCAAGGATATCCATACATTCTTATAAAAATTCGTTGGATGTTAAAATAGAGAAACCCAGCGTAAATCCATTTTTGCAGTATCAAGCCACTACTAGTGGTTCTCAACGCGGAAACTCTAATCTCACAGACGTTAAGGTTGAAAAAACAAATGAAACGGAACAATTCGTTCAGAGAAAGTTATCAGCTGAAGCAAGAAAAAAATGGGAAAAAGGATGATTATTTATTCCTTTATAGAAAACAAGTAAATAGATTAGCTTATTTTTCAACATTAGAATCTTTTTATCTAACAAGATCTTCTTTGCTAAATTAAAAATTGTTCGACATATCGAACATTAAATCGATGATTTAATCACTTAGATCACTTAGCTGTAACATTGAAAACATTAATTTACTCAAATCATATGAGACTTAGGATTAAAAGTCTATGCTTTAATTCATGACAATAATGAAAGTAACTTTAAATAAAAAAATAAATGAAATATCGAGAGGTAATGAATAATTCACGCTGATCTTAGCAATATATTTTAAGCGCTATCTTACTTTCCAGACGTGGCGTGGTTATTGATTACATATCTAAAACTTTGATTACTCCTAAATCTAAATTATTATATTTTAAATGATTCGTTATTTTTCATTTTTTTATAAGGTCTATATAATATAACAGATAACTGTGATAAATAAATAATATATAAAACTGTAATATTATATATTGTATATATAATATCATTATGTATTATAGTACTCAGTATTTATTCTGTTTATTTAAAGTAGAAAAAGTCTTTTCAACGACACACAACAGTGCGCTTATGTAATAATAATAATAATAGTAATAATTTGACAAGATTTATTAAGAAGACGGTTTTAGTCTTTATTAAGTTGTTAGAAATTTCACATCATACGAATTGTATAAGAGAAGATATAAACGGGTATAGAAAAAATGTCTATTTTTTTATTTAATACATTTGATAAATTATAACGTCATTAAATAAATACATACGTGACTTATTACTGTAAATAATGCAAATTTTTATTTATATACTTCAGATAGAAAAATTCATTGATCGATTAAAATGCAATGTACACATTTGTTGTTGATCTAACTATGAAAGAGAGAGAGAGAGAGAGAAAAAAGAAATAAATAATAATTAGCTTGCTATATTCAGTTTTGTAGCCGCTTTCGAATTTCGTCGATAAGTTGATCTCTTGGAATTGGAAATTCCTTTCGTGTGGTAACTTCTCTTAAGGTGACTTCTCCTCTCGCTAATTCTCCTTCGCCAAGTATTATTGCTAAAGGTATACCATATTCTTCGCAATGCTGCAATTGTGCTAACAGTTTTGCATTTTTTTTGTAGGCTTGTTCAGCCTTAATACCAGCATCCCAAAGATCCGACAGAAGGCGCATTCTTTCTTCGTGTAAATTTTTCTGAGCACTAGCTACAAACACTTGTATTTCTGTTGTTCGAATTTTTACACCGTCATTCGCCATTTTAGCTTCTAAGACACTAAAAATGCGTTCGACACCTAACGATACACCTACGCAAGGCACGGTTTTCTTCTTACTGTCAAACATACCGACTAAATTATCGTAACGACCCCCTCCGGCTACGCTGCCAACGCCAACGTCATCTCCTTAAAAGAAAAAAAAACAAAACAAAACAAAATAGTAAACAGTTGTATTGAGAATCATTCAATTCATCATTGATTGAAAGAGCAGCGCAGGCAGACATACCAATTAAAATCGCTTCATAAATTACTCCAGTATAATAATCAAGTCCTCGGGCAAGACTTAGATCAAAAACTATCTTGTTTATAACTTTATAAATGGTACAATACTTTAATAGTAATTCCATAGAATCTAAACCAAATACTGCAGACTTTTGCTTCATTAGATTTTCGTCTTGTCTTAAATCTGCTATTAAATCAACACCTCCAGATTTAGATACATAATTCCAAATTTTATCAGCAGTTTCTTCGTTTAGTCCTTTTTCTTCTACCATTTCCTTCTTTACTTCTTCCCAAGGTGTTTTGTCTAACTTATCAACCGAAGAACAAATAGTTCGAAATTTATCTTGAGGAACGCCACACGTAGCAAATACTGCATCGAGTAATGATCTATGATTTAATTTAATTATAAATTTGCCTAAGTCCAAAGATTCCAGTGCTTCTGAGACTACACGAATACATTCGGCATCGGGAAGCATAGGATCGTATTGACCGGCAATATCAAAATCCTTCAAATAGACAATTAAAATATAATATATTATATGTCAAATAGAAACATAGAAACATAGAAATATAGTCAATATTAGAATTACTCACACATTGATAAAATTCTCTGTAACGTCCTTTCGTCGTAGCTGGATTATCTCTTCTATAAACTTTGGCAATATGATATCTTTTGATACTAGATATTTTTCCCATAGCTAAATATCTAGCAAAAGGTACTGTTAAATCATATCTAAGAGCAAGTATTTCACCACCCTGATCTTTCAAATCATAAATCAATTTAGAATCTTCTCCATATTTGCCTGTTAAAACGTCCTAATGTTCATGAAAAATCAAATATTCTATTAATAATGAAAATACGTGTGGTGTCTATTAGTGATTTCATGATATTTCTATGTACCTTTAATTCAAAAACGGGCGTATCTATAGTTTCGGCACCATGACGTTTAAATACTGCAATTATTTTCTCAAGAACTCCCAGTCGTAATGACATATGTTCAGGATTATAGTCCCTAGTACCTTTTGGTGTTTTAAGGATGAGTTTATGTTGAACGGCATTTTCCTCTCCTAATTGAGCTTTTAAATCCAAAAGCTTTGAAACCTCGTCAGCTATCTGTAAATATCATAATAATAATAATAATAATAATAATTTGTGTTAGATTCGTTTAATGGTAAAAATAATCATATGAACTACAATTTTTAGGCCATTTATTGACAAGATACATAATAGAATCTATTTATAAAATGTATCAACGGCTTGCCTACCTGCGGGGCAACGACAGACGTGTAGAAATGTTTTTGTGCGATGAGAGAAATTTTCGTACGCATCAGAGATATCATCATTTAGACCGAAAGAATATGTGGCGCAACCAGAATGAAAGAGAAAAGTCCGCCTCAGTGGTGATTATCAAACTAGCCGAAAAAGTAGACATAACATAGGTAAGCAGCAAACTGGCAAGCAGCAGCCACAAATTACTCTTCTTATTCAAATAAATCATGAATGTTACTAAAGAAAAGTACCACGATGAACATTTGTACATTTGTAAGTATTTACATTTGTAATAATGAAAATAACATTATTATGATGATTATTATATCAATAATTAGCAATCTATGGTAAAGCTGCTTGCAAGTGGCCAACTATCTCACCTTTTTGACAAGCAAGTTATTATTACAACAGGAAATATCACCAATATTGTCAAGTTTCTTTGCGAAAGAAGTAACCGACACATCTGAGGCAGGAAAGTTTGAACGTTCCGCATCAGTAAAACTTTTCATATTATTGTACCATCGATTAAAGTGTGGCCACTTTGCAATATCATCATTAGAATAACTTGTACACAAATTGAAAAGCTGATTGTCTTTCGAGGAAGGGATCCAGCCGCATACATAGCTGATATCCACAAATTCATTGTTCAACGTTTCTAAATCAGGCAATATATTTGAAGAAGATCCCTAAGGAATGAAATGTTACAAGTATTTACCATCCCATAAATACTTCATCAATTTGAATCTAAACATCTTTTATCAAGTTTGCATATTATTATTTAATAAACCTAACAATGACGATGATCGTACACTACTATGTTATAAATCAAAATAAAATTATGGCAATTTGGTGAAAAGTATGTTAATTTGACGTGGTATCATCGCAGCGTGGCATTTCGTTTTACATTTCAAATAGATTTATCAAGTTCAACTTATAATTATGCACCATATGTACCGCGCAGATAAAAGTAATTATTAATGTATCCTTGACATACCTGAGTTTTATTTAGTTTAGCAGCTTTTAATTTTCGTACAAGATCACCTTGTTCTTTGACTTGTTGCAACAAATGTTCTCTTGCTTTATCGGCCATCACGAACCATGTGGTCTTTAGTAGCGGTCCTCTTTAGTGTAATTTTCGAACAGCAGCGACGATAGGCAGTTTTGGTTAGGCAAAATTTTTTCCACTACACGTTACAATTAATTGCGCATGCGTGACACATATGATTTCGTTATCATTTAACACATCATACCACCTTTATTATTTAATAAATATTACTTTTTACTTATTTTCTCTTTCAACAAATTGATAATTCAATATCCTTAATCGTAGATTTTCTTTCAATAATATATCTAATATTAATATGAAAAATCTGACAAGGTGCTGCAACAAAAGATATTTGACAAGTATGTATGTACACCACGTTACTACATGTATCGCTATGTGTATCGCTATGTGTATCGCTATGTATCTACTCTAGTGGCATTATAAATGCTTTACCATTCACTTACTTTCGTCAATTACTTATTATTTGAAACAATTACTTTCTATTCTTACCGTTATGTTCCGTGATATCAGAGTTCGAACTGAAGGTTCGAGAGCAGATAAACTCCGAGGTAAGTCAAGATAGATGTTTAAGCGCGTTTTTTAATGTTATCGCTGATGTTGAAATAGCTAATGTTTTTGCGTGTTTTTATATCTTTCTTATTTCTCTTATTGCACGTATGTTTTTCAATGAGGATATCAAGTCTAATTATTCTTGACGAGTTTTTTAAAAGAGATCAATTTCATTTGCAGAAAATAAATATGATGAATCGTGTGCTACTATTGATTTCTAACGATTGTCAAAGATCGAAAATTCAATGTGTTATTTTGAATACTTGCCACTGAATATTGCTTGCCACTTACGAATAACATTGTAAAAGTGTAATAATTATGTGGTCAAAATTATTTGCGGTTAACAAAGAAACATCTTAATGTATTTTGTTCTTCTTGCCAATAGTCATGAAAAGTATTGATACCATTGTGTCATTCGACAAAAACAGGTCATAGAAGAGAGGGAAAGAAATTATTCCCCGTCGAGCGAGCATTATTTCCCCTTGATAAAACCTCACATGTACAGTCAGATATAAAAGTTAAACAATAAGATTATCCCAAATTAGATGAAAAGTTTTGAAGTATCGGATGACTAAACATAAATCACAGCAAAACATAGTTTTAAGGTTCATTAAATCTTCACGTGAAAGTAGAACAATCAGATCAACAGTTTTAATCCTTTCTCTTTTTGCCACAAAATAAGGTAAACCAAGTGCTATAATATTACAATTTTAAAATGAACAATTAAATGTTTGTTAAATGTTATATTAAGGTTTGCTATTGTTAAAACATACACGGATAAAATAGTAGATTTAGTGAGTTTGTCAACAAATTGTGCTTACCTTCAATCTAACAAATCTAACAAATAAATAATGTTAGACAATAATAGACAATATTAATTTTGAGTATTAATTATTTAGATTTCATTTAAATGCGATTCCAAAATGTTAGATTTCAAGTTGTTGAATGCAACACGAGTATCCTTCGCATTGATTCGCAGAAAGTAACCAATGAATAAAGCAGAATATAGTTGGAACGCCATCTTTGTCATATTACATTTTCCTGATTGGTAAGCTTCAGATTTTGATATAGCCTATTGGAACAAATTTTTCAACAAATTTCATTGTATAATATATAAACACACACGATGATAACGATATAGATTATTAACTATGATTTGCATATAATTAAATCGATTGTTATAGCAATCGGTAGTATCATGGACGCGATAAATGTGATCGAGGCGACAAATGAAAAAATGGAGGATATATTTTCTATAGTCACGCGCGTCAAGTAACTAATTTAACTTGCGCGTTTAATCAATATAACGTATTACATAAGAACAATTATTCATTTTATTGATTTCAAATCGATTTGATATCTCAAATAAATTAATTTTACAACTTTTAAATAATGCAAATTATTTAATACAGTAAGTAATGAAAAGAATTTTTATAAATGCTACTAAATGAAAATAATTGTCGAATATAGAAATACAAATAAAATTGAAATATATACCTTAGTTATGTAGATACGTAATGTGTATTTAAACATTGTCTAGACGTACATCATAATCAGTGTTCATAAGATAGTTAAATTTAATTATATTATCGATTTTTGTACAAACAATAAATATTTAGGTACAAGTTACTTATGCATATTAGTATTTGAAGAGATTTTGTTGTTCGCGTGTCGTGTAAAGTATAGAAAAAAAAAACGAAAAAAAAAACGAAAAAAAATCCACGTAACAGATACGAACCACTTGACGTAGTTAAGTTAAAATCCGAGAGTAACATATAATTACTCGTGTATACGTTTCTATAGGTTCTCACGTTTTCAGTAAGAAAGATATGTTACGTCAGATAGATAGTAATAAAGGTTAGGCGCCGTCACAGGAGAACGTGGCGGCTTTATCACGCCGAACAATAGAGAATCCATACTGTTGATTTATAAAAAGAAAATATTTTGATTCGAAGGCACGTTTAAATTGATTCCTTATCATTGTTGGTAATATCGAACTAAATAATTGTGTGTAAATATCAAATTTCAATCTCAGACCAGACAGTTTCTGTCGGCCCGAAGGATATATCAAAATGGTGGCTGTACAAGACGAGTAGTGATGTGTATGCAGATATTGGAGCGCATTGTAATTTCAGGAAAAACGCGTCTAAGCACGCTACGTATTAGAAAATGGGTGATTCTAAGGCTCAACATGGAACACAGGAGATGAAAGGATGGCTCTTTAAATGGACCAACTACTTGAAAGGTTATCAAAGAAGATGGTTTGTCCTGTCAAACGGCCTTCTGTCATATTACAGGTAGTCCGTAGTAAAGTCACTGTTTCCCTTACTAATCTGTTCTTCCTAGCTCGTATTCGATTAAATAACGCGAAATTACTACAACTACTCATGCTATGTTGTATGATCAAAGTTTTTCCGTAGGATAGAAAGTAACTTTGACAAAAAGCAGAGCTTTTCCTTCTACAGGGTTAGGTTATGACCCCATTGATCATATTGATGATGATTTCTAAATAAACCTTCTTTGTATATATTATAATTCATTATCATTTAATATTAGTCTATACTGTTGCGATGAGCACATATAAGGAGGAAAGTTTTGATGACATTTGTCTAAGCCTTTTTTTCAATATGTAATCGTAATAAGAAACATACTTATGAGAAGGATCGGAAAACACAGTTTTACACTAAAAATGTGCAATATTGTGCAGTATTGATTATAAGATTTATGAAAACTTTCCTTTTCTAATTAGCCATTATTCAAATTATTTTGCAGTAGATACATTTCTTCAATTTAAAGCATTGATTTATACAAACTTTAGCTTATTTAATTAATTTCATTAAACTTGTGCTTTGCATCCACAGACATTCTAAGACTTGTAAGTTAATTTGTTAAATTTCAGTTAGACAATAATTACCAAATTTGTTGACATATTGTTCTTTTTTCTTTTTTCTTTCTTCTTTCTTCTTTCTTCTTTCTTCTTTCTTCTTTCTTTTGATTATGTAGCATTATTGGAACAGCTCTGCATTTTATATATTATGATAGATGAACATGCCTGTCATTTTGTTTATTTTCTTTTTGTTATAATATGAATAGCATAAATGATTAAAGCAACTGTTTTAAAATTGCATAAAAGTGATTAAAAAATGCATGACAGTAAGAAACCTATGCAGATATAACTGTACATTTGACATGATGGTTTATCCAAGTAATTTGAAAACTAAATTGCAGTATTTATATCCCAATTTTCTTCTTCTTCACAAATAATCTATCTAAAGCATGCACATATGGGAATACATACTAAATACTAAAATTCTTCAATATTTATTATAGATAGAATAATGTCAAATTATAATGTGAAATTCTTCAATTTGTATGACAAATCTAAAGAAAAATATTAACAAGTCCTGATAAAAGGAGCAAAATGTAAATATAACATGCCCATACAACAAAAAGTTATATATGCTGACCAATCTAAACGTCCTCGTGCTTAGATCATGAGAAATGTTTTGCCTGCTTATATTTGGATACGCGCATCAGATGAATTTTTATTGTATATTGGCCTTTTCCTTTTTTTTTTTTCTTCTTCTTCTTCTTCTTCTTATTTTGGTTGATTTTGGTTGATTTTGGTTGATTTTACAAGATGGTACATTATTAAATTATTCAATGCTTTTTTACAGTCCTCACGCGAGATTGTTAATGTAGATTTGTTTCATGAAAATATTTAGTATAGAAAAGAAAGTTGTCCTATATTATGATATTTTGTAATTAGAAAATATCGTCGTCTAATGCATTCTTGATATGCATATATTTGTAAAATAAGAATGTGATAATAACATACAACGTCTATCGTCTCTATTGATGTTTTTCATAAAGTTGGCGATCTCGTGTTTCTCAATAAACTTTGCACTGCATTTTTAGGACTTTCAATATTTTCCCGCTTGGCACAGTTATGTGATTTGAGTTTGCAATATCTTTTCAAATAATAATGCAATATTCTGTCTTCACTTCGTTTGAAAACACTTCAAATTGGGAAGCCTTTTTTTCACACAGATCATGTTGTTCGCGCAATGATCACTAGTAGTAATAATTATTTTATCGCGCGTTTATATTTCTAAAGTTAAACTTGTGTCGCGCTTAGGATCCTTCGTGTTTCTTAATATGAACAATTTTGAGTGGAAAGAAATAATAAAAAAAAAAAACAAAACAAGTAAAACAAGTAAAACAAGTAAAGCAAGTAAAGCAAGTAAAGCAAGTAAATTTCGCTTGTAACAATTTGACACAATATGAACGGGGTCTATTTGTTTTATGGATTGTTTAGGGCTGAACCAACAGGGGGGCCAAAGATATCAACGCGACGCAAGCGGAGAGCTGGCAGAGCCTCCGAGTAAGTAAATTATCGAAACGTCGAAATATCCTGACTTTTCATTCAAACGAATTGTAATTAAGGAGACAAAAGAAATGTTAGTTTCATTTCATTCTAAAAGTACCTCGCATTCCATTTTGCTACATGTTAATGCGGTCGCCACACAGCATTCCTAATAATTTATCCTGCTTTTTGTTTTTTTTTTTCTTCACTTGTAATTGATGTTTTATAACCCCGATCAAATGTTATATACATGTAATATCACACCAGTACACAAATATCGTAATACTCATATACCTATGTACGCAATTGACATATATACATTCATTTATTTATTTATTCACTTTATCATCCACCACTTTATTCACATTAAATACGTATATGTATACGCACATATATTTTGTCTGAACATTTTTAAGCGTTCGTCACCTGAAGACCTACACATTTATGCGTGTCCTTGGTGGCGTATGCGTGTATGTACGTACGTGCATAATTGTGTGCGTGATTTTAAACAAATGCTTTTCTTCATCATTATTTCAATATAGAAATTCAATTTTAATATTATTTGCTGTATCTCTTATAATTGAATTTCTAGTAACCATTGATTGTGCGTCGAATTCAAGAAGAGGTGGTGGCAGCGAGAGTTGCTGATTAAATTGTTTTAAATTTAGAAGATTTATTTTTGAGATTGAACGATCTACATTAAGTTATTGGATAGCCCACTGGTCAGTGTCTGCCTGCCCCCCCCCCCCTTTGATACTTATACTTTTACTTTAATATCATTTGGACAATATTCAATCTCCTTTATATCTGGGCATTATTATTTTTCAACATGAAAATAAAATAATATAGTTACCATCTATTACCAGATCTGCTTCCATTAACTATTGTGGACTATAATTTGCTACGGAAATATATTTTTGACGCGTCAGCATGATCTGTTCCTTTTTCATAGAAAATCGTATAAGTTTTGCGTCATGTATTAACTCGATTGATTTTTTTCAACTGCATGAAATAATGATTTAACTGTTATATTTTCTTTTTCCATAATATATACCATGATCTTTGTTTCGCCGTTGCTGCTTATATTATTTTTAATGTAAAATATCAAGTGTTTTTTGCGTAGGTCTAGGCAAAATAGATAATGGTATTGTTACGAAGAATTTGGTTGTGGGTTTGCTTTTTTCTAAAGTATCTATTAAAAATGCTAATTCATATATATATATGTATATATATACTCGTCTCCTATTTTGAACGTGTCATAATGTCACAGATTAATGCAGACAAATTGACATTAATTTTGATGAGACGAGGTTGAGTTTTGGCTTGGATAAACCTTGAATATATCGCTGAACGAATTGCAAACTCACGTCTGTCTTTTTCTGTGTCATTCGATTTTCTAACAATAAAAGGATCTGTTCAAGGGACTGTCGCATTTAAATTCTTTGTTTAGAAATCCAACGGAGATGTCTCATACATGCAGAGGCACGATATCCATGCACGGGGCCTTAATACACACTGTAGATGCTTGCACTTTTGTTGTAAGCAATGGTGGTACCCAAACTTTTCATATAAAGGCAGCTACAGAAGTAGAACGTCAACAATGGGTCACGGCTCTTGAGTTGGCTAAGGCCAAGGCTATTCAAGCCGTAGAATCTGGTTTGTATGATTTCATTGCAAAATTCATCCTACGTTCTATTTCATTTGCCAATAAATACGTCATTTTAGTAAAAAAAAAAAAAAAAGAAAAAAAACGTTCTTTGTACATCCAAGTCCATACTCTTGTCATTTTTCTATGTCTAAATCAAAATCTATTTTTAGATGAAGAAGAAGAAGAGTATCAAGATAATGACAATCAAAAAGTAGAACAGGGTACTGCTGTCAAAGATCTGAGTCAACGTTTAGATGACTTGCAGGCTTGTTACGATTTAATCACCAAGAGAGGATTTACTCTTCAACGAGCATTGAATGAATTGGAAACTCTAGAACCACCATATCCTGATCTAACAACCAAAATAAAAACTCTCAACGAGAAAGCTACTCTCTTCCGTATTGCTGCCACTGCTATGATCAGTGTAAGTTCGGGTTTTATCAAATTTGATTAATTATTAAGAATCATGAAATAATATTAATCGAAGGAACAACTACATAGGTGTACAGACATAGAATAAATATGCAAAAATATGATATTTCCATAAAAAAGAAAAAAAAAAAAAGAAGAAAAAAATGATGTTGTGTGCGTGATAAATTACTTTAGGTTTCATACCATAGGCTTCTTGTATTTGTAGAAAGTAGGGTGAATATTATGATTTCAGAAAAGCAATGACTATTTCCAATTAGCCCAGCAACAGGAACCAAAATGGAAGAGAATGTTACAACATGAACGCGATCAGAAGGTGCGCATAGAGAAAATGGTTGAACAACTAGCTAGGCAGCATTCGCACTTGGAAGAAGCTGCGCAACATGCGCTTCCCTCGGTGACACCAGCGGGAGGACACAGACCTTCCCGTAATTTCATTTAGTTTCCTTTTTTTAATGTGATTAGTAGTGTTTTTGCTTTTTCTTTTTATAACCACATTAAATTTGATCATTTTCGATTATGCTTACATTGCAATGTATCTAAATCTGACTATACAAGCTTACTTTTTATTTTTGCATACATATAAGTATATAACTTGAACATTTTTATTCATTCACAAAGAAATTATAAGTGTCAAACAAAAGAACGTACGGGAGAACAAGTTATCAAGATTTTCAATACATCAGATCGTGATGTTATTATTTCATCATGTAATAATTATGCAATAATAGTAATGTTATTATTGTAAACGTAAAATAACAAAAGTCTAATCTTTGTAGAAACATTTTTTAAGTATTATTTTCAAGTAAATTATTAGGATGTTTTTGTTAAGTTGTTAATGTTATAAAATCACGTGCGCTTGTTTTCAAAATTCTTACCCTTTTCTTCATTAAAATGAGAGGTAATTTGAAATAAGGTGGAATATGGCTGTGTACATATTTAAATGATGTCTAATATGTGTATTTGTTTTTTTCATGTCCTTTTGATCTATTAGAAGATTTGTGATTGATATTGTAGAACATTTTCTTCAATATTATACATGCATCATTTTTTTTTTTTTTCTTTTTTTTTGTTCCATTGGTGAAGGCTAATTTTTGTCGTTCATCGTTTATGTTTTATGTTTCTCTATGCATATTTTCAAATATGCGCGCTTTTTTCTACGAAATATAGATGGCAGTTCAGTACTTGTGCTTCGTTGCGTTGACGTTTTTCTCACACGGCGCATGATCTTTGCACGTAAAGCTTTTCATATGTATATACATATATATATATATATATACATGATTGATTACAATCTCTGAATGATCATGTGGTGTATCTGTGTAAGTGTGTGAATATATTACAAAGGGTTTAAATATGCTTTTATTTCTCTTAAAATTGGTGCTTAATTAAGCACAGATGGCCTTGTAAATTGATACTTTGACGATTTCCATTAATAGAATTTTCGTTGAATCTATCGTTAAATTACCAAAGTGAAAAGTATGAAATCAGTAGTGTAACGGTTTGAAATACACGATTAATGAAATCATAGATGATGTCAAAGCAATAATCGAACGACCCAGAGTGAATGTGATATAATATATATATATATATATTATGTATATGTGTGTGTGCATTTGTATATAGATGGAAAAGGATTCATAGAAATGCAGCTTCGATGAAAATTTCAAAGATCCAAATTCGTGGTTTTACGAGCCTATCTTGTAACTTATCATAACCTTCTCGCGATATCTATATATATATATATATATATATATATATATATATATATATATATAATGTATCGTTTTAAGTACATTAGTATATAGTGATATAATAATATGCAATTATTCATGTCGATCGAGAGAGTAGAAGTGTTCGAAAAGTATTATAATATTATGAAAGTATGTATTTAACTAGTAATAAGATTTGTTTGATTGTAAAAGAAATTAAATTAATTTGAAAGGTCAGAATTTCCTAGTTAAACTAGGAATAATAATCTTTTCGATCATATTTTTGTTGATCTTAATATTAAGAAAATATTCATTGAATTAATGATACATTAGATTTTCCTTATTGTGTTTAAAGATTCAGCGATAACTACATCTCCATCAGAAGACGAAGAAGATAATGCTGAGTTTTATGATGCTCAAGAGTCGGACACATTTACATTGACTATTCCAGGAGTAGCCTCAACCAATTCAATATCTCACCAGAGAGATCGAACTGATTCTCAAGGAAGTGATGATGGCTCTAGCTCTGAAGGGGATCCAACACCTTTGCCAGTTTCAGATTCTGCTAGAGCAGAGTCATTTCTTATTGTGACCGATTCTACGGCAATACAACCTTCTTCTCCTGTTACAAATACAGACGAGCTGGACAATGTAATTAATGCACACTATTGAAATATTTCAATGAATCAATTCTTTCAAATATATAATCATTGATGATATTAATATGACGGCTATATTATTATAGACGGCTTGGCAAAGCAACAATGGCGGCAGCAGTGGCACCGGGTTAGCAACCACACCTAGTAGCAGAAACAGAAGAACTAGAGTACCTGATAAACCTAATTATCCTTTAAATCTATGGAGTATTATGAAGAATTGTATTGGCAAAGATTTGTCAAAGATTCCTATGCCTGTTAATTTCTCAGAACCACTTAGTATGCTTCAGAGGCTTACAGAAGATTATGAATATGCAGAAATTCTTGATAGAGCAGCAGAATGTACTGACAGCTACGAACAAATGGCCTATGTAGCTGCATTTACTATTTCGAGTTATTCTACAACTGCTACTAGAACAGGCAAACCTTTTAATCCATTATTAGGTGAAACGTATGAGTGCGATCGCACAGATGATCTTGGTTGGCGAGCGATTTCCGAGCAAGTTTCACATCATCCTCCGATGCTAGCTCAACATTGCGAAGGTAGGAAATGGCGTTGCTGGCAAGAATTCACTATGGCTTCTAAGTTTCGCGGAAAATATCTTCAGGTAAGCCTAAAACCTAAAACCTAAAACCTAAAACCTAATTACACTTTATTACCACCTTCTTCTACTTATACTTATATCTATATATATATATATATATTATTGTACAGGTAATTCCTTTAGGCACTGCTCATTTAGAATTTAATACGGAAAAACAACATTATACATGGCGTAAAGTAACGACCACTGTACACAATATAATAGTTGGAAAGTTATGGGTTGATCAAAGCGGTGATATGGATATTGTCAATCACAAAGAGGGTGTCAAATGTCATCTAAAGTATATACCATACTCGTATTTTTCAAGAGATAGTCAACGTAAAGTAAAAGGCGTTGTCATGAATTCGAGTAAAGAGGTCAAATGGGTTGTTCAAGGTACATGGGATTCAAAGATAGAAATAGCTCCTGTTATTAGTACATCGGGAGCTCCAGATAATCCTGTATATAAAACAGGACCATATATATTAGCTTGGAAACGACGTATGCCTCCGTAAGTAATGATTTCAATTATTAAAATATCAATGTGATATTTTTGTTCATTGAATATTTATTTGTGTCATTTTGTTATAATAGCGATGATTGCGAAAGGTATTATTCATTTACGGAATTGGCCTGTCAGTTGAATGAACCAGAAGATGGCATTGCACCTACAGATTCACGACTAAGACCTGATCAGAGATTAATGGAAGATGGACAATGGGATGAAGCTAACGTTGAGAAACTTCGACTCGAAGAGAAACAGAGGGCTGCACGACGTAATCGAGAACACGAAGCTGAAAAAGCTGCTTCCCAAGGTATACAACAGAAGAGGAGATAAAGCACCAATTGTTTTGAACAATCTAATGATTAATTAATATTATTTCATTTGATTTATTTCTCTTAGGTTTACCATATGAAACTTGGGAACCTTTATGGTTTAAGAAACAACAGGATCCTTACACAGATAGTCTTTGCTATATGTATAGCGGCGAATACTGGGAGTGTAAGAACAAAGGCGATTGGTCAAGATGTCCAAACATATTTTAGTTTATAATATATCACTTTACAATTTGACCGCCCATTTACAGTAAAGAAAAGTTTGGATCTTTTAACGCAAAGTTAAATAGCGATAGCGATATCACGGACGCGAAGAATATTATAATATTCATAAATATGTCGAACGTGTGATATTGTGGGGTTGTTATTGGGTGTGGTATAGTTTTTTTTTTTTTTTTTTTTTTTTTTTTTTTTTTTTTTTTTTTACTTCTTCCAATGAAGTGAACAAAAGTTGACGCTTGCAAATATGACACGTAGTATATTGTATCTTTTGTACTTTTGTGTCATGACCGTGCTGACTGCTACCTGCCTTTCCTATTTTCTTCCTTCCTATTGCTATGTCCTTCCTATGGTTTCGCTAATTCGGTCGGTCATACGATCGGTCGGTCACACATCAAATTCTACAAAACAATTGTCGTCCATATTTAGTGATTTTGTAAAAACCGAGTTCTTCGAATCTCATTGCTTCAAGTTTTTCTATGAGCAGGCATTTTTCAATCCTTCAAAATGTCACCAGTAAGAAACATCCTAATGATTTGTAAAATACGTAATACGTAATATAACAGTTTATTGTACAGTTAGAATAGCAATTTTTCAATAGTACAATTACTAACGACCATTCGTATGAACTATTTGGATTTATGTCATTCAGTATTACTATGCGTCAGTGAAAAATTCACAAATATCATGTCGTTTTCCTCTTTTTAATGAACTTTATTATATTCAGGCTTTAATTGAAATTCTGTCATATCATAGAAATGTCATGTTTTCATATATTTTAATATTACATATTATACATCGCGGAAAGTACTTATGCAAACTGTGAAACGTATGTGTTACTGTGCTTCGCGCGATGTGATTTTTGCAAATGAATAAAAGAAAGGATATTCAAATTGTGATGAAAGCGTTGCTTGCATATATTTTCAATGAGATGGATGGTGTCCTTCTTTGGCTCTATTAAAACACCTACTTAACAAAAAAAAAACAAAAAAAAAAAAAAAAAAACAAAAAAAAAAAAAATACGAAAGAAAGAAAAAGAATCAAAATGAGAGAGATGCTGCTTTTACATCTTTGCGTTCGTCCGACTGCCACGTTTGAAATCATATTTACGCGAATGCTCGAACACCCTCTTGATTATTCGACAATGCGCGCGTGTGATTTGAAGAAACGTTCCTGAATGTGCCATTAGAATCTGTGTGTAGTCATGAGAAGAGAGAGAGAGAGAGAGAGAGAGAGAGAGAGAGAGAGTGCTAGAATAGGCTTCACTTGGGAAATACGTGGGACAGATTCGATGGGTAAGCAAGCGAGACTTTGACGCTTCCAAATGAACGGTGCCCCGCACGCCTAATGAACATTATAAAATATTGAGACAGGCGTGTCGTGTTGACTGAGCCGATACAAGCCCATTATGTCGAGGCGGCAACTATTACAGGATTAATAAACTGGAATCGAACTTGGGAAAGGAGGGAAGGTCTTAAGAGATTACAAGTTCCAAATAATTTGCAGAAAATAAGATATTCAACTATTAACACAACAACAACAACAACAACAACAACAACATTCATCACTACTACGGATTCTTTCCAAACTATAACATAATAATATAATATAATATAATATAATATAATATATATATATAAATAAATACATAAATAAATATGTAAAATACTAAGTAAATATATATGTATATATTTCATACATATATATTTATATATTATATATATATATATATATATAAAGAAAATTACCGCACGCACGCACACATCCATACACAAGCAGCAGGCATACGCGAGCGATTTATTCTCGCGTAAATTGTGCATATGTATGTATGTATGTATGTATGTCCGTATGTACATATAATAACAGTTAATAAAACTTATTATATATTCCTCTATAAAAAAGAGCATATCGGCTATTACGTTTTTAGTGTGTGATTATTAACACTGGACGGTGTAGTAGCCCGCTTACAGCTAATATTTAAAATCATTGTTATTTTCATTCTGGCTGTATCATACTTTTAATAATTTCAATAATATTCTGAGAAAAATGATATGTCTGTATACAGATAAATATATAAATTAGTTATTAAATGATTCATTGAAAATGAGAAATAAGTGACAAAAAGTAAGACGATAAAAATCGAATAGGACAAATGTTTGGATTATAGTGCTTGTACATTAGCCAATCGTGTGAAACGACAAATACAAAATGCTTCGCTATAAAACGATTATTTAACGATGTTGCATTATACCTCGCATTTCCTATTCATCATTTTCCTCAATTATAATATTGCTCCTTAATTCGAAATATTTCAAGATCATGACTTTTTCATGACTTTTTCATGACTTTCTTTCTAAATTCGATTGATAAATTATTCCGGTTGAACCGCGGATATTAACGATTATAATATTATACATTTATAATGATGCATATTATAATGTACATACAGGCTGTCCCAAATTAAGAGAAATATTTTACATAAGTTTATTAAATCGAAATGATAATAATATAAATATCTCGATTTTGTCTTCAACACAATTTGACGCTGGTTATTTTTATAAAAAAGATATTCCAAGAATAATCTCCTTGCATATGAATACGAGCAGCAGACGACATCTTATCAATAATCATCTCACTTCCATGTTTCGTGTTTAGCTGTTGCTCATATTTGCTGAAAATTTAGCTAAATTGTTTCTCTTTCATTGAATAAATGAATAAAAACAAAATTAAATCAGATGTATGTTTATATAAATTGCATTGCAAATTAGCAATTGCAAATTATGCTGAAATCATCAGTCAAATATTTCCGAGTTATTCTGGAACATCCTGTATATGCGTACATAGCGCAACACACACATACACACATTTGACTTTAACGTACGTCAATGAATTTAAGGAAGAATATTACTGACACGAATGCCATCTACTTTCCATTCATTTCGTCGTTCGAATTCCGCTAAATTCGACTATTTCACAGGCCAGAAAAATAATTGAAAAGAAAAACAATGCATGGAGATATATTTGGAGGTATATTGCGTCGTAAATCTAATGCATCCTTTGCTATATTAAATCCACATGATATTGAAATGAAATACAAAATATGGCATCGAAATACACGAGTGCCATCTTTCGAGCAATGACGCATATTCTATTCTACTTCCCATAAAATAAATTTCTAATGATCATGAAGAAATTAGAAAAGGAAGAATCAGAAAAGAAAATAAATAAGAGAAAAATGTCTGTATTGAAAAGTCAGGATTGTAATTAAGAGAAAGATGTTTGCAAGAAAGGAATAGAGAAAGGATGTGGAGAAAATTGTGCTTTTTTGCTTTTTGGATCTTTGAGGAGGGCGCTGTAGTAGTAATGACGTCACGCGTAATGATACACGAAGTTGGACATGCGCCATGCGACAGGGTTTGCGCAGAGCGTCTAGCGGAGTCTGCGCGAATTGGGAACTGCTTTCGATTGTTGGCGGGCGCCGCCATCTTGGTCAGTGAGCTTGCGAGTGGCTGTGCGAGGAGTTGTACGTATTTCGGTGAAACAAGCAATTCGTAAGATTTCCCTGAAAGCCCTTGTCTACTCGTCAAATCCACGCGCATCCAAGATGTCGGAACGGGAGGACAATGTTTACAAGGCGAAACTGGCTGAACAAGCTGAACGCTATGACGGTGAGTGGATATTTTTTCGAGTAAGGGAGCCGGCCTGGGCCAAAATGGAAATCGACTAAATTGTTAGAAGAGTGGGGCTGCTTGACTTTCCTACACCAAACTCGCCCATTCAATTCTTTAATTCTCTTTTTTATTCTCTCTTATTCGGAATTTCCTTTTTTTTTTTTCTCCCCCCCAAGTTTCGTTAACGTAGCTGGAATGGGATTTTTGAAGATACGTATAATGGCATCGAACCTCCTACCAGCAAGATCTGTCAAAAGTGTTGGAAGAAATGTCAAGTGCGAGTCTAGTTTAGTTTGCTTTGTGCCCAAGAACCGGCGAGCTTAGACATTTTTTTCCTTTGGATAACTCTTTGTGTCATTTCTCATTCTTAACGATCGAACGAGCGAAGAAGCAGCTCGTACAGGAATATCGACGGGATCTTCCTTTCTCTCTCTCTACTTTTTTCTTCTCTTTCTCTTTCTCTTTCTACCTCGGCTTCGTCCTCCCTCCCTCCCTCCCTTTTTGCCTTCCTCTCTTTCTATCTCTCTCTCACATACATAACTCGCTTATGCGTTGCTCGCTCGCTCGGTTGGTCGCTCGGTTGGTCGCTCGGTTGGTCGCTCGGTTGGTCGCTCGCTACGACGTCGTCAGCGCTGGAGCAACGATGGCGAGGTAGCGTTGCTAGGCGTACGTATAACTGGTGCTCGGACCCTTTCATCCAAATAACCAGACAGACAAATCGGTCGTCGGTCCTTCAGAACGTTGAGAGCGTTAAGAGCGTTGAGAGCATTGAAAGGGTGACGCATAGGATCGAGAGATGCCGGCTTCTTTACTACGACGTCGGGGACACAACACACGTAGTAACGCGTGTGCCGCTCGTGGCATTTGGCCTTGAAGAGCACAGAGAAATCGCACAACCAATCGACGGGACCGGCTCGACCTTCGGCCTTCTCCTCTGTGCTCTCTCTTTTCTACCTACCTTTCTACCTACCTATCCACAAATTCCTCTCTGCTTTCCTTTCGGACGACCCTTTTGCCTTTTTCCTCGCATAACTGCCTTCGGTTTCCTAAAATCTTTTCTATAGGCGTTAGGTATCTTTTTCAAATAAAATAGGAGAAATAGCTTCGTTTCTCATAACTGACTGACTGCTCGCTCGCGATACTTTTATTTCCATTCAGGACGTATATGCGTTTGTCTGCGTTCATTGTGAAAATGTAATACACACGCACACACATATCCACGCATAGTCCAGTTCATGGATGAGTTATATACATATATATATATATATCTATATACGTGTCATTCGCACGAACGTTGGTCTCTTGAAGCTTAGTAGAAAGTTTAAAGAAAGTTCTGCCAAGTACGTTAGATGCCCATACTTTGTTCGTTTGTATGTGTGTAAAGAAGGAACGTCGTAGGAATGACAAGCGCCGAGTCAAACGCCTTCTGCTTAGTCAACATCGATCGTGCGTGCAATGGTATATGATGGGGTGGGGGCCCAATATTTGTCGCGTCGACACAAGTCAAATAGACCAAAAATCCAAGAATTCGTGCATTGAAGATGAAAGGAAATGGAAGGGTTGCGGGAGCGTTTATGGAGCGGTTATGGAGCGGGTGTGGGAGCGGAGGGCGGGCGGGGTGTGTGGGGTGGGGGCGGGGGCTCGTCAGGAGCGTTAGCGGCGACCACGGCCGAAGGAAAGTATTGATCTGCTGCTGCGCCCGCTACCTTACGTTTCCGTATATCTCGGCCGGTATACTTTGTTCCTCGTAATTCCGTCGCTAATGAGAGTCCGATGATGATGATGATGATGATGATGATGATATACCTTTTATACAGAGACAATTTTCTTATTAAAGATGCGACAAAATGATACAACATCTATTATCTATATCTAGCGCGTTTCTATTCCTATTTGTTTTTACTAAAGATTCAATGATATTGTATAGAAAAGATAATTGAATGCGTGAAATTGTTTTCGAAACATCATTAATAAAGTTGGCATACGAATTTGATTGATTTATGCGAATTCGTGGAGGGCGCGTCCTATGGTAGGACGTGTGGTAGGACGGCGCCACCATAGGTACTGTTGCTTTTTCTACTAGCGAGCTACTATCGATCCTTCGAGAGAGAGAGAGAGAGAGAGAGAGAGAGAGAGAGAGAGCTGCCTGCGCCGAATTTCGACTGTGGTGCTCCTCACATATATGTATGTGTGTACTCTACTTGGGTAGGGAAAAAGATTCAAACATTCACGGTGCAAACGATATGATTTTCTCTCTCTCTCCTTTGGCAGAAGACTTTAGTCGTAATGCGCATGCGCAAACAATTATCTCGATAAAAGAAAGCGGAGATGGTTGACTCTTGTGCTAAAATATACCCTATTTAAAGGCTAAAGCACCGACAAATTTATTCATTTATACGTCTATATATATTATTCCAAATTCAACATCATTTTTATATTATTTTATATACATATATTTATTATATATATTACATCCTACTTTGATATAATTCAGTGTCAAATTTAGCCGCCTGCGCATAATATCTTGCGCACAAGGAACAAAGCAACTTTCTGTCTCACTTTATCGCCGACGAACCTTCCACTTAGGGCAATACTTTAGGCAATAAAAATACATATATATATGTAGGCGTTTTGGGAGTGTTAGTTTAAGGAAAAAACAGGCTTATCTGTATACTCGTATATAGGAATTGACAAGTAGGCAAGTAATTAAACTCTAAACGTATAAGTACGTTCAGAGTCGATAGAACAACACGGCTAAAGAAAATCTCTTTTCAAATAGTGGAAAGCAACAAAAAACACATTGTTATAAATGATTACACACTTATAAAAAAAAAGTCATATTCGTTATCCATTGAAACAACGACTTCCAACAAGTGAGTCACTTTGTCTACTAGTACTAGATTTTGTTGTATTATCAATCAAAGGGACGTTAAAAAAAGAAAGTAGCACAGGCAGGTGTGTTAGAGATAATGTTTATCTACAAAAATACGTTTGCATTCAATTGATAAACATAATCGTTTATTACAATATTTTCTTTATTATTTGCATTTTTTAATTTATCTTTTATTAATAAATGGACAAATCATCAAAATGAAGAATATATATTGTATGTTGACAATTAATAATCAGCCGTTTAACGTAGATTTTCATTTATCTTTTATCGTCAACGACGACAACAATTCAAGCTATAACACGCATAATTAATAAATAAAATCTGAAATGAATAGAAAACAGTGAAAAAAAGAGTACTCAATTTGTCGAGCGAACGTTGAATAATTGTTCCAAAAATCAATGGAAATGTTAAAAGAAATAGTAGACACCCTTTGAAGAATTGAAGAATTCGCCAACGTGTTTATGTTATTATGACGTCCGACCTGCAACTACCTGCAATAGTTTTACAATTCGGAGAAAAAAGTAAATAAAAATAGTGATAGAAGTAGGGATAGAAGTAGGGATAGAAGTAGAGATAGAAGTAGGAACAATTTTGTCGTTTAATTATTCATATTTTTGATTTAATTTTCAGTCTCTGCAGCGATTCGCATATTTTCGTCGTAAGACTTTGTTCTTAAATGTTTGATTAATTAAATATGTTAATTATATACATATATATATATGTATATATATAGATCTTAGATAGTAGAATAAAATATCGTGGAAGTATATCGTTCGCGCATGACCAGTGATATATCTAAATAGCGAGAGCACCTTTACGAAGTTCAAGGGTCACCGGGTTAATATATATATATGTCAGCGTACCTTTCTTACGCGATAACGGTCGAAAAGTTAAATAAAGTATACGAATAAAAGTGATATTGCTTCCGATCAATGTGTTGGGAAACAGGTACGAAGGGACGAAGGGACGAAGGGACGAAGGGACGAAAAAGGAAATGTAAATCAATGTACAAATTTTTGACTGGGGTTTTGCTTGTTGTTTCTTTTGCAGAAATGGTCGAAGCAATGAAGAAAGTTGCCTCGCTGGACGTAGAGTTAACCGTCGAAGAAAGAAATCTACTCTCCGTTGCGTATAAAAATGTAATCGGAGCGAGGAGGGCATCCTGGAGAATAATTTCTAGCATCGAACAAAAGGAGGAAAACAAGGGTGCCGAGGGTAAGCTGGAGATGATCCGCCAGTACCGATCTCAAGTTGAAAAAGAACTCAGGGATATTTGTGCGGACATACTTGGCGTTTTGGACAATCATTTGATACCTTGCGCCTCCACCGGAGAATCTAAAGTATTTTACTACAAAATGTAAGAAATCTTTCCATTTGTTTCCGCCGATCTCTACAGAATGAGTCACGTGATTGTTCTTTTTTTCGTCTTGAAAGTTTAATCAACTCTACTACTACTACTACTTCTCTTAGAAGAAGTAGTAGTAAGAAAATCATGAAATCGTTAACGTTTGACGATCACGTGACGCATACTGTATGTCTCATGTTATCCATCATCGTATCTCTAAGTATGTACATGATCCTAATGAAAGGATTTATCAATTGCATACAGGAAAGGAGATTACCATCGTTACTTGGCCGAGTTTGCGATCGGCAACGACAGAAAGGAAGCTGCGGAAAATTCCCTGGTAGCCTACAAAGCGGCAAGCGACATTGCAATGACCGAGCTACCACCGACTCATCCTATTCGTTTAGGATTAGCACTTAATTTCTCCGTCTTCTATTACGAGATTTTGAACAGTCCTGACAGAGCGTGTCGCTTAGCAAAGGCCGCCTTTGACGACGCTATTGCGGAATTGGATACTCTTTCCGAAGAGAGTTACAAGGATTCTACCTTAATTATGCAGCTCCTTAGGGACAACCTCACGCTATGGACGTCGGATATGCAAGGGGATGGTAAGTATGCTTTTCCGATTTTGCTCGATTCAATTCCTTCGTTAATGTTGTTGTCAGTAAGATGGTTGGTAGTAGAAGGTAGGAGGAGGAACCTTGTTGTGTTCACCTTTACACCTTATATTCCACTAATATTTTCTTCTCTGTGGCGTTTGCAGGAGAAGGAGAGCAAAAGGAGCAACTGCAGGATGTGGAAGATCAGGACGTATCGTAACTCTAGCTGTAGTGAGTGTAATTTGCGCATTTAAACTGAGACACATGAAAAAAAAAAAAAAGCAAAAACTCTTAATAACTCGTAAGCAAAAGAAAACAATTCAAGCAGGTGACAGTTTGAAGTGGGAAGGGGAGAGATCTTTAGCGATCGCGTGATTTTAAGCACGCGCAACGTATGGTTACTCAAAAACAAAATGAAAATGAAACTAAATCGTATCATTCGATCCAGAAACACCACACACACACACACACACACACTTATATAATACACAACATACACAGGCGTGCGCGCACGCTAACGAACACGCGTACATATATATATATACGTACATATACATATACATATATAAACGCACACAGAGACGCGCATAAAAATACATACATCGAGTTACGGTGCACAGCAGAGAATTGTTGGAAGAAATAAGTTAATAAAAGAAAAAAAAGGAAAAAAAAATATACACAGGCACCTTTGGGTGGTGGTTACCAACGCGACTGGAAAGGGGTGAGAGAGAGAGAGAGTGAGTATGGGGTGRGTGCGTGCGATTGTACGTTCGTGTGGGTGTGCGTGTATCTACGTACTTACGTACGTATCTATGCGTGCGCATGCATGTGAGAAAAAAAAAAGAAAAAAGAAAGAAAGAAAATACCGACTAAATCACATATACATAGGGTGTTTTACTTGGCCCCTTTATTACTCGATCAAAATTAAAACATGATTTACGAATGTCGTTGAAAATAAGCGCGTTCTCTTCAACAGATTGAGCGGAATATAATAATAATAATAATAATAATAATAATAATAATAATAATAATAATAATACTTAATTAAAGGTGACAATGTTGAAATGAAAATAGTGCGTGCGCGTGTTGTTGGTTTGTACGGCTCTCATTTTAACGGTATTATTCACACATGGGACGAGCAAGCGCATCAGAAGAAGAAGAAGAAGAAGAAGATCAACAACAACAACAACAGCAGAAGAGCAACAACAACACAACAAGAAGTTAATAAGAAGATGAAGAAGAAGAAGAAGAAGGAGAAGAAAAGTTCGTCGTGTTTGTCCCATTCCTATTGTGTATACTCTATTCATTTTACAATAGAAAAAAAGCAAACGGCAATCGAGCGTACAATGTGTTCGATTATTCGTTCGATTGTACATTCGTTTATTCGTTCGCGTATTACCCCGGCCCTAATCTCCTCCTCGTCCTCTTTCCCCGCTTTTTTACTGCGCGCATGATCGTCTCGCATGCCATGATAATAAAACGGTGTTATAAAGTCTATACGCGTAAATTGAGCGTACAATGATCACTATATGTATACATGTATGTGCGTGCGTGCGTGCGTGCGTGCGTATGTGCGTGCCGTGCGTCTAATATGTATGTATATGCATGTATATGTATATATATATATATAATATGGAGAAGCTTAAACACACAGGAACCAACCTTTCTCTTGAAAAAAGCAAGCGCGAGAGAGAGAGAGAGAGTGGGAGGGAGGGAGGGAGAGAGGTAGAGAGAGAGTAAGAGAGAAAAATCAATCGCGTCGTCGTCGTTCCTCCGTGTGAAACCGACGACGACGACGACGACGACGACATCATCATCGGCAACAATAAGAGGAAGGAAAACAGAAAAGACAAAAATAACAAAATAATAATTAATAATAATTATAATAATAATAATTATAATTATAATTATAATAATAGTAATAGTAATAAAAAACGAGACCAAGAGTCACGCATTCCGTGAATAGAAAATTCTTTTACCGAAGCTTAAGATTTCCTTTTTTTCATCGCCGTCTAAGAGAAGAGCGCGCGCTTGTTAAAAGAAAGCAAATGAGAGAGAGAGAGAGAGAGAAGAAAAAAATAGAATAATCATCTTTATCTATGATGGCAGCGACAGCAACAAGAAGGAAGGAAGGTAGCCTCTCCCAAGAATGAGTAAATAATGAAATAAATAAATAAATAAATGAAATAGTCGATGCAATAAAGACGCCCATTCAACTTAAATAATGGCTTTTTTCTCGAGAGCAAACTTTATCGTCTAATAATAAAATATTATAAATAATAATCTTCGAAAGAAACTATAAGTATTATTATATCGAATTTTAATATCAGACTTTTCATTGTAACTGCCTTTTTACGCTTCTCCGAGACAAAAGGGGGGGCAGAGAGAGAGAGAGAGAGAGAGGAGGAGGCGTTTGCGCATATTTAGGTCAAGGAGAAGCGTTGGAGAAAAAAGAAAACAAAGAAAAAAGGAAAGCAAGGAAGGAAGGAAGGAAGGAAGAAAGAAAGAAAGAAAGAAAGGAAGGAAGAAAGGAAGAAAGGAAGAAAAAAGGAAAGAGAAAATGATCGCGGTATGCTGTAGAGGAGACCTCTCCCCTATTTAGCGTTACGTTTCACAGCAAAGAAGTAGCTGTTTAGCTAGTTTGTAATGTGGTTGTACATTTTCATACGCCCTTTGTGTAAACTATTATCGATTGCTGTGGTATATAAATAATAACAGAATAAACGACTCTCTGTACCCTACTTTGAAATCGTCCGCGAACGATTATCGTCGCCTATATATCCTTATCATCTTTTCTTCTTCTTGTTCATTTCATTGGCACGCGCATACTCGCCAAAGGACAACCTTCCACCAGCAGCCCATTTAGTTTTAATCTATTTCTTCTTTGGCTTGAAATCTTAGGCCGTTGCGCTTACTACACTTTTCCTTTTAAAAACTATTTCTACCTTTCATATGCAAGTTCTACTTTAAAAACTACTTTTCACAGTTAATTTAGGAGCTGATTTTAATTAGATAATTCAATTTGTTTTTAATATCATGTTTATATGAAAGGTCTTGTTGTTTTATTATTGATTAATAAATGGAGAGTAGAGTATAAGATCAATGTTGTTTATATGACGACTTTCCATAAAAGGAAATTGTATTTATTACGAATATTGAATACAACATTGAATACAACGTAGGGTGTTTCAATTACAATATAGATTTTTATCGAAAGTCGCGAGTTTATTAAGAATCATTGAAGGTACAAAAAAATGACAAAAAAGTAGTAATCGTAACGGTGCAGGATTTTCGCATTATGGATGAATAAAGAAGAGAAGTAAGATTAGGGCGTTGCGAGACGAATAATAGTATTGGCGATCGCTAATGTGATTCTTTTTACATATCATTTTATCCTTTCGAATGAATTAGGCTACTCTTTCTAATTTTAGCTCAGTAAATGAAATAATTCATAAACTTGGTTTGGAAATGCATAGAAGAAATTCTAAGCGGCGATGGCGATCAGTAATAGCTTTGTATTTAGATATAGTCATAGAAAATAGACAATTATATACACAGCGTAATCTCTTTTTATCGATTAATCCAAATATCAACGAGATTGTTAGAGATACGAACAAAATGTTAGTATTCAATTCAAAGTTATAAAAAAAACATCAAATATAAACAAGTGTATTTCACGATGAAAAAACATTCATTATGTTAGAGGGGAATTTGACAAAAAAGAAAAAACAAAAAAAGAAAACAACCACGCACCGTAAGTATATATGTATGATGCATATGCGACGACAAATCTTTCCAAGCGTTTAACAAAAGTTTTCTCTACAAATCTATTTCAATTGAAATGATTTTTTCTCTCTTTGAAACGTACCCTCGAAGATCTCTCGTAATAGATAAGCTTTTGACATAATGTAGCTTCATCAGCCGATGATATCATTTATAAGGTTATGTATGTTCCATATGTTGAGGGATTTGTTGGTAGCATCATTTTCCTTTGCAAAATGTCTCTTCTCTCGATAATTTATCCAATTTATCATTTTAATAAATTTTCAATGTTGTATTATTGAATGATTTTTCCGAGGGGAGCGCATCGATTCGAATTAACTTGACAAGTTGTACGCGCTTCTTTTTCTCTTTCGATCTATTCCAATCGATTGTTCTATCGATTTTGCCCCTTTTCTCTCTACACGCACGCACACACACACACACACACACACAACACAACACAAACGTGCGCGCATCCCAACGCAGCGTCAGTTAACTCTTACGTCACTTAAACGTAAATCGTAAGATCGATAAGCTCGGTCGATTCTTTTGCGTATCGAGTTTACTTTGGTGAATCGTCATTAAAGATTAATCCTAACCCTTCCTACGAACGAGTATTGGCTTAAGTCTCAAGACTTTACGCGTTTGTTGTATTGTTGTGTTGTTTCGATTAATAATCATCTACTTCGGACTACGCGCGTTCTTACGCTCTGTATTACAACAACAACAACAACAAACACGATTATACATGGGTCAAGTACCCTTCTTTTTCTGTAAAATTAAACATTTTAAAGCTATAAATAAACGGACTACAAATGTCTGCTCTTTGTTACACCTTATTGCTAATAAGTAGAAATGGAAAGAAATTCATTCTAGTAAAGTATCAAGCATTAAATAAATAAATAAATATTACTATAAATGCTATGAGTGAAACTTGTTTTTATTTCAAACTAATAGTTTTTTTTTTTTTTTAATGAAGATACCATTTACTGTTGTTGAGGATATGTTTTACAACAACGGAAGGAGAGCCAGCCAGCTAGCCAGCTAGCCAGCCAAGTTGACAGGAATGAAAAAATACAAAATATATAACTACGAGTGGGTTAATCCTTTTTTCTTTGATAGAATGAATATATAATTTACATGTTATCTTCTAACAAATATGACACATTTGATTGTTTGTTCTTTTTCAAATGTCAAGTATTTGACAATATTGTGTGTTGAATCTATACTTATCATCTAGCATGATCAATTTCGAACATTGAACCACCATATGCCTGCCTAGTTGTTTCTACAAATGAAAATGTTTGATGAATATGTCGTAACCAGTTCCATTCATCACAAGGCTAACTCTCCTTCCTGCTATCCAAAGAGTCGTGGTGCTCTACAAATTCGGCTCGTATTCATTCACTTTTTATTTACAAAATCTTCTCCCTTTTTAATGTTCTTCTGTAGCTCTGGAATGGCAGCTTCTAGAAGTTTCTTTTCATAAGCATTAAGTTCACCAAATCCTAAAACTTTTTCGACTCCATTTTTCTATAACACATAGAGAATAGTAGGTCACAAATGTGTTTGTACTTATTCAACATGAGAATGAAAAATGCATTTTACTTACACCCAAAAGAACGGGAGATGAGAAATATTTAGTATTACATATGTCGGATCTAACATAAGAGCACTCGACTATACCCTGTTGTCCGGCCAAAGCTTTGAGCAGGGAAAAAGTAAATCGAGCTCCAGCATATGCCATCGATAAAGTAGCCGAGCCAGTACCAGCTTTGGCTTTGACAACTTCTGTACCAGCTTCCTGGATTCTCTCGGAGAGTTTTTTTGCTTCACTTTCAGAAAAACTAACGGACGGTTTTGTTTGCGAAAGCAGAGGAATAATGGTGATGCCGCTGTGACCTCCGATTACTGGTACCGTTACTTTTTGTGGATCTAACGACTTTACAAATAAACAACAACAACAACAACAATTTGCCAATTTATTCTTTTTACCTACTAGTTATAATAGTGATGGATATCCATCCTTACTTACCTTAGCTTCGCCAACGAACGCGCTGGACCTGACAATATCGAGCGTAGTTACGCCAAATACTCTCTTAGGGTCAAATACGCCTGCTTTCGCTAAAGCTTCGCAAGCGATAGGTACAGTACTGTTAACTGGATTAGAAATAATAGCAACTAATGCCTTTGGGCATACTTGTCCAATTGCTACAGCAAGATCACGAACAATAGAGGCGTTTGTATTAAATAGATCATCCCTCGTCATTCCTGGTTTTCTAGGCACACCAGCAGGAATTACGACGACCTTAATATGAAATATATACATATATATATATACATACATATGCATATAGATGAAAAATCTGTCAACTAACTGATGTGTTGTACATATTTGTCATTTTTTACCTCAACACCTTTTAGCGAATCTTTTAATTGGTCTGGACCAGTGTAGCCAGTAACTTTGGATGCAGTGTCAATATGAGAAAGGTCAGCCGCGACACCAGGAGTGTTGACAATATCGTATAAAGATAACTCGCTGATGAGAGGAGATTGCTTGAGCAACAGCGACAACGGTTGCCCAATTCCACCGCTGGCTCCCATGACGGCGACCTTGACATCGCGCTGTGGATATATGTAAGAAATTGTAATGAGTTGACGAAAGGATCATCCTACCATGTTTTCTCACACTACAAACTAACTAACTTTATAGTTTTCAGTATCCACCGTTTGAAAAATTTCGAAAGATAATGTGTCACTGACACACGTTCATCCTTTTTCTTTCTTTCTCACTTGATTGATCATGGAATTATAGGGATTATTCGCTGCTTAAATCGCTGATCAAAATTTCAATTAGAATTTCAAGAATTACGTAACGAATTTTTCTCAACATTGTGTGCACGTAACATGCGAGATAATGTCAATCGAAAGAATAATATCTCGCGAGGTTGGATTTTTAAATATATGTATATATATATATATATATGGATGACTTATTTAATGAAATAATTTACCTTGGCGCTGGTCGAAAGTCTTTTCGCACCTTGTTGAGCGACATTTATAGTCGGTCTTAAGAAACGTGGCAGCATTGTTGGCGAACTGATGATACTAGCAAGTACAAAGTAGAAATGATTAGTAAGACGTCGAATATTCGATAACCCTCGTCAAAGACACACTCGTGACCTCCGTACTGCTGGTATATTCCCCCACTCGCTTGGTAACGTGCAACGATCTAGCGCCACGATCCAAAGCCATCGGTGGTCGCCGTCGGTGCTCGCCATCGGCAGACATTTGGCGCGAAAATACGAATTCAAGCAAAAGAAAAATAGCTTTTTCAAAGCGCTATACTCGAATCAACATTTGTTGTTACGATGTTTCGCCATCTTTACTTTCTTCATTGTTACTTCTAACGATTTATTTTCATTTGCTCAAAGAGAATCAATAAATCAATAAATTCTTGGACTCGTGGAAGTTTCCAATGACACGTGCCATTCATCGTTACTCTCTAAGCATATTATATATTATTAGACGAACCTTCGTCGCGTGACACAATATTCATTCGATCAGATTTTCTTTTCTTTTTATTTCGTTCAACTTACGAAAGTTTATACGACATGGCATGTTATTTTTTCAATAACTTTCCTAATTTATTCAATTCAATTGCACGTAGCGCCTATTATATGATAACATTTGTAAACAGTAGCGAGAAAACTATGGGAATGCATATATTTGATTATATGCAGTTGGTAGTAGTTTAAATTCTCTACAATATCGGCGCCACGATCTGTTTCCTTTAAAGATAGTCGATAACATCACCTGCGACTGAATTGATATTAAACATGAAAGTTGAAAGGAATTTATTTTTAAAGAGATGCACGCACACACACACACACACACACACACACACACACACACACACATCGGTTAAGGTAAAGCTATCATCATATCGAAGTGGAATGATTTGACGTAATCAATCCGAAAATCGGAGGAATCAAATGCATGGTATATTGGATAATAAGAAATATTTAACGATTTACATAGACAATATTCGATTGAATAACGATCGGACATTGATGATTTGTATATTTTATTATTGCGATGAATTATCGGATAGCAAAAAAAATAAAAAGTGGAAATATTGTATATGTATGAGAGGGTGTTTTTTGTTGATTTATTATAGATAAAAATGAATATGTAGTTCGGATCTCGGAGTGCACCTGCGCTCGTACGGTGGTGCCACTCGGTAGGAAACGCGCGAAGCGTTAAGGGGCGGGGTGGGATCGGACGGGGGATTCAGAGGAGGGGTTTCGTCCGCTCCCGGCGTCGTTCGTGCGGTCAGAGACACGAGAGAGCTATAGACGACGACGACGACGACGACTACAACGACTACAACGACTATAACGACTACAACGACTACAACGACTACAACGACTACAACGACGACGACGACGACGACGACGACGACGACGACGACGACGACGACGACGGCTCGTCGTCCGAACAACGTAATACGTGCGACAAGGATGGAGAGAGATCATCGAGTTCGCCAATGGTGGGGATATTTCGCGAACAGTTGCTGCTTCCTCGATGGTTAAGAGAGGGGGACTGAACGAACCCAACGAGTAGAGAAAGAGATAAGAGAGAGAGAGAGAGATCGTCAAGCGTGCACAGCATGAACGTTTAGTAGTGGCATGTTTCAAACACTCGACATGCTCGTATCTGGTGCGAGCTGTTAAGCCGTTTGTACATATCGTTGTTGCCGTTGCCGTTGCCGTCGCCATATCGTCGCTAAATCGTCGCTAAATCGTCGCTAAATCGTCGCTAAATAAGCAACAAATCTTACGTATTTAGGTACGTTAGTAGTAATTAAATACGTAAGAGAGAAGGACGAACGCAATTGTTTGACGCGTAACGACGTCAACGTCAAGAGTATTATAGCAATACGTGGAAGTTTGAGATAGTAGTAGTTGAACGATCGAGAGAGCGGATTCACGTTTTTTCGTGAAGCCAAGAGAAAAGGTGCCTTCCAGATCGACGTCGGTTGGAACTGGTGGTATCTTTGGAATTCGACGATCGTGCAGTGTGTGTATACATGAGAGAGGACAAGAAGAAAGGGTAAAAGAGTGGGAGAAGGTGGAAGAGAAAGAGAGAAAAAGGGTAGGGGAAACGGAAAGAAATAGAGAACTGGTGGGAGGGTGGGGAGACGGTGAAATGTGCTTCGCGGCGGCCCCTTGGAAGCTGGTGATAGCGACGCGCATCGCTTAAAGCAGGTCGCGAATTCTCGATGCCGCTGGCGGCTGGCTACACACTGCTGCTGTGAAACTCGCCTCGCGTAAAAGTCACTATCGAGAGAGAGAGAGGAGAGAAGACATTTTTCCTTCTTTCTTTCTTTTTTTTCTTTCTTCTATTTAAGTTTGTTTACTTGTTGTGTTTTATATTTCTTCTCTCTCTCTCTCTCTCTCTCTCTTTCTCTCTTTCTCTCTCTCACTGTTTGATTGTTCCAACGTGGTGCGCGTCGTGATCGATCGATCGATCGATCGATCGATATTTTCCGTCGTGCTAAAAAGTGTAAGAACGCGATGACGATGTGCTTGGATCGTTTTGGTCGTAGTTGACCTCGTTAAGTTAAAGTTTTKTTTTTTTTTTTTTTTTTTTTTTTTTTTTACCAAAAGAAAAAGTACAAGAAAAGAAGCAAATAGATTGGTAAGATTGGGAGAATGTCGTATTGCCGTCGGACCGTCGTCGACGTCGACGGATTCGTGCGTGAGTGTTGGTCGCTTTCACGAAGGAATAAATAAGAACAAATCTAGAAGAAGGTAACGGAACGTTCGCATGACAATCATCCCAGTGATTACTAATTTGTGGATTATTTTACGATCGATGCGTCGAGCGGAGGCGCGCGCGCGCGCGCTCCGGTAAATAATACAAAAAAAGGAAGAGAAAAAGAAGAGAAAAAGAAGAGAAAGAAGAACGGTACCCCGACGGTACTCGGTGATGAAACGGCAAACCAACTTGCCGACGTCGTCAAAGTTTTTTTTAAAAAGAAAAGGAAACGTTGGTCGTTTGGCCGGCACACAGCCGGCCGGCTACGAACGCCACCGCCGTCGCCGCCGCCGCTGCTGCTGCTGGAATTCCGCTCGAGAGGAATCCGAAGGCGGAGACTTTGACGTCACTTGGCTCATGATAATGAAGTATTCATGATGGCGGAGTAGCAAGGAAGGAATATATATACATAGTGCACGTGCGCGCGTGCGATCCTCGAGTAGTTTTCTTCGTCGCGCGAGTTGCGTCAGGGAAGTTGCGTCCAAGTTGCGCTCAAGTTGCGCTCAAGTTGTGTCCAAGTTGCGGCGTCGAGGTTCTCTAACTTCGAACAGGACCGTCGTCGGACTGCCGGTCGCCCCACTCCACTCTTCTACTCGGGCCGGCCCCTCACCACACCGCCTCCCGCCCCTCGGTCATTTACCACCCTCCGTATATGTGTGCGCGCGCCTCTTTCGAGCGTGTGCTCGCGCGCGCGCACGGAGATATGCGCCCGTCGACCGCCGCCGCTCGGTGATAGAGAGTTTTGGATGGATTTAGAGCGCAGTGAAATATGCCAAGGAGACGGAATGGGGAGATACCGCTACCGGAAGGGTGGGACGTCGCGCAGGATTTCGATGGGAAGGTTTACTTCATCGATCACAACACAAGGAAGACTACGTGGATCGATCCTAGGGATAGGTACGTCTGATTTTCATCTACCTTTTACTTTCCCCCCTCCCCCCCACCTTTTTTTTTTCTTGTTCTTCTCTTCTTCTTGTATTCTCGTGGAAACCAACCTATATATCGATCGCCAGCGAATCGCGTAGTAAAATGAGAGAGATAGAGGAGAGAGAGGTCGAAGGCGCCCATGCGTGTTGGTTCGCGCGCGCGCGCAGCTATCCGTAGCACACCGGCGCGAGTCGCCGCGCCCGCATTCCAAACGCCAGGGCCGCCTTACAGCTAAAAGCGCCAAGTACTAAAACGCCAAAAATCTATAACTCTTTATTTTTTTTTTTTTTTTCCTTTGCGAAAAAGAGTAATGTTGGTTGCTGGTACCCTCTGACATTGGTTGGCTGGTTGGCTGGCTGGCTGGCTGGTTGGTTGGTTGGTTGGTTGGTTGGTTGGTTGGTTGGTGGTAATCGTCGCGTGTAGTGTTGCTTGTGCCAGGATGCGCCTTCGTCGTCGGTCAACGGTGCGTGCGTGCGTGCGTGCGTGCGTGCGTGCGTGAGTACGTGCGTGCGGGAATCTCGCGTTGGTGTTTACGAACCTGCTTGGAATTTCTCGCGGCTGCGCCGGTAAGCAGAGAGCGGCGAGAGTAGCGAACCTAGCGCCGACCCTCTACCACCACCACCAGCACACCACCACCACCACCACCACCACATTCGCTTATAGTATCGTGAAATATCCTGCGCTTTCGGAATTCTTTCGGAATGCAGAAAAGACGGGGGTCACAGCGCGCCGCGTTCGCCTCGATCCACACACAGAGAAGATTCGCGCGATTCGACGATTTCGAAATCTTATCGGGTATTATTAGAACGTATTTCTCCGATAAAATTGTTATGACTTTTTTTTTTTTTTTTTTTTTTTATACGACCTTCGATGAGATCTTACTTTTGAAGGTTCATCGTTGTTAGTCAACTTTTCACTACTTTAATCGTTCCTTTAACAAACTAGTAAATAACGATAAAAGAAATAACAACAGCGCCATTCTTTGTTCCATTTGCTAATCTATTAGCGTTATTGAATATTTCTAAATATAATTTAGAAATAAATACCGTGAGAGAGAAAGAGAATGTCGTTCACCGACCACATCGCTTTTAGAAAGTAACGTTCGAATGCGCCTCCTATGTTTGCTTTTTAAACTTTACGTCGTATCTATCTCTTACTGATATTATTCCAGTCTCTCGGAAGATCGATCTATAGCTTTGATATATTTGTCATTAGATCTTTCTAACGTTGTCTCGTTAAATTTCACGCATTTGCACCAACAACGGATGGATTGCTTCGTTTCAAAACGAAGGTCAATTAAATATGGTGGATATGAAATATTCGAGAAAACGTAAATATAATATATAGCCACTATTCCTTTATATATTTATCAGAAATCCATTTTTGATGAATGAATGATTTTTCAACATTTCCGCGAAAATTTCTATCCTCGACAGGTTACTAACCTATGTGTAGTGTTGCTTGTGCCACGTCTTTGTCTTGTATACAAGTATATTTATATAGCATAATGTAACAAGCACAATGTTACGTCACATAAGAGTTATTCGAATTTTCTATTGAAATGCTTATTTATTCATAATCGAATATTTCTAAGCAAAATCTTAGTGGAAAGATCAAAAGGTGGAATGTTAATATAGTGTTTTGCACTTGAATGTATTTACATTGGAATAATATTGAACGTTTGAAGTTGCTTGCGATCGTGGCCTCGGTATTTAAATTGCTTGCTCGCCGGATTTGTCCGGAAGAAGCGCCGGCGGCCCACCATTAACCACCCGCCGCTTTCACTTTCGGTCTTCTCGCGCGCCTCTTCCACATCGCCTTTTTATCCCTTTGGTATGAAGGTTTTATTTATCTGGGCCCTTTATACAAACTCATTTCTAGTTACTTTCTTTCCATTTGAGTAAAAATACATACTTGCAATTGGAAAGGCATCCTCGTACGTTATGAACTGCTGCCACCTGGCAAAATGAATTCATTTCGATCTCTACTGTCAGCAATTCAAAAATACCGGCCAGAATTGATGAACGGAAAGGACAGCAGGAGTCGTGCGTTCCAACGTTTCAGACCACGCGCATCTTTGATGACCCGGCAAAATACGTTCATTTTCTCTAATACTGACCTTGCACCATCGCAAAAGAATGGCAAAAACATGGCAAAAAAGTAGTTATAGCATAGTCGTAGTAAAAGTCGTTGATAAATTTCCTCCGTTTGGGTTCACAGTGGCGAACTGTGTATAGTGAAATTTTGTAATCCAACCAGCAGATGGTGCTTGTCGGTAGAGGAACGAGATCGGCGTATATAACGCATGCCTTCCTTCTTCCTCGAAGCCACGTTTCATCGCGGAGGTGTTTTTCGTTGGAGCACACGGCAGCCATACAGCCTTAGTCGATACTTGCCTGACTACGTCGTCGTCGTCGTCGTCGTCCTCGTAGCCCCGTGGGCGGTAGAGTAAATGCTGTGCATCTCTCGCAGCCAGTTCCTGCTTTCTTCTTTCTCCCTTTCTCCCTTTCTCCCTCTCACTTTGCAGCTCTATACATATGCTGCGTATCTACATACGCATACGTATTTACGTATTTATACATACCTATGTATGTATGTATGTATGTATGTCTTCTTGCTGTTGCTGCTGCTGCTGCTGCTGCTGCTGCTGCTGCTGCTGCTGCCGATGCCGCTGTATATATGTACGCGCCTCGTGTGTACGACCCCGGCCGGTACCTAAAAATAGACCCAACCTGCTTTTAGTGCATTCTTCGTTGCGGCAGGGCTATTACGCTCTTCTCTTCGGGCTTCGGGAAAAGGGGAAGGGCTGCATGGTTTTTCATGCATTTATCCAGATTACTCTTTTTTCCTCTATCTCGATAATGCCATAATTGCTACGATCTATGAATCACTTTACTTTGAAAAATATTCTCGGAAAATTGTCTTCAAGATTTAAGAAATAATTGAGTCAATAATGCAAATTATCAATGATATTATTATATATAAATAGAGATATCGTCGTGGCGAATTACTTCCACGCAAGGTGCAATCCTACTTGGTAATTCAAAAGGGTCGAAGCAAATGATGGACGAACGTCCTTGCTCGAAATCTTTCAGAGATGAGTTCTACGAAGACGAATTTTCTTGTTTTCTTTTTTTGTTGTTCTTTTTTTCAAAGAATGTACGACGATGGTGCACGCGCAGAGCTAGCAGCGTCGTACCGGCGGCATCTGCTTGCCATCTGTGTTTAGAAAAATCTCTTCGCGGAATCTCTCTTTCTCCCTCTCAATGGGATCTCTCTTTTATCTTCTCTTTTTACCCGTTAAAGCTTGCTAAAAATGCACTCTGTGTTTATAGTTTAGGCATAACGATTCTTCTTCTTTAAACGCATTTACTTGAGCAGATTGCGTCATAAATCGATGGGACCCTAAGCGATGGGAATAGAAAAATACAAAATAGTATTTTTGTCTCTTTATTATCACGCACGGAGCAGGTGCAGCAGCAGTCGAATTTGAACGATAAACTATGAATACTATCTAGATAACGGATACAAGGCGCAACCGATCCAAATGTACATTTATCTATTTTCAAGAATATCTTATTTGGGGATATTACGGGTTGGATATTTAATTGTTCGCTAGTAAAGTATTTCTTCTGTTCTCTCAAGTTTTGTATTAACTATACGGATTGTTATCGCTAAAGCGATAAATTGTATTATCGAGTAATCTATTTATGAATTGATCAATTATCTTTAGTTCGTAATTACTCGGAATGAGTATATGTTCTGTTTTGATTTCTTGGAATAAGAATCTCGGTATCAGAGTTTTCATCGTTGTCATAATAAATATCATTAGTCTGCTATACTTAATCGTCCGCATCTTTGCGATGGTGGTAATTGACGTGACCAATTACCGTGACAATGACCGATTTCGATCGGTATAAATCGATTGTTCATATTTTTTCTATCTACTACTACGATTGCTATCGGCAATGGCAAATCGGCAAAAAAAATAGTTAGGAAAAATATTGGATAGTAGTTTTGAAAGGAAAAGAGGAGGAGATTAATAATTTAGTGCGTAGTCGTTTGGTTGCTTTAACAAGATAATAAGAAGAAACGGCATTCCTTTATCGTGCGCTACCACAGACAGAATGGACTCTGCGCGACTGTGCCTTGTGTTGAGTTTTCTTTGATAGTAGGGCTTCCCAAAAACACAAAATCAACGACGGACCAAAGTCGGCGGACCTATCTATATATCCGAATATTCGCGAAATTGTTTCAAGTTTGATTTTGTTGGACGTAGTTGCAGTAGCAGCAGCAGCAGCAGCAGCAGCAGCACGGTATTGTTTGAAAGTAACTCCGAAGGAAAGACTTACGAGGCGAATACTTGCGGTCGTCCCATCGCTTTAGCCGCATTCCATAGGAACGGAGGAGTTTCCTATAAACTCGCGTTACACGTACCACTTCGCCTTTTGCGAGCCAATCGGCGAGCGCACGAATACCAGTGGAATCGTGAGAACCGTGTACGCGAGCGAATTCCACTTGCTCTACAGGTACATATGGGTATAGGTAAAGGTAATAGGTGGTATAGCTATTGAAAATGGACGAACGCTTTTAACGCGTTTATCTTTATTGTTTGTTCAATACAGATACTACCTACCTACATTTTCGTAAATAATATTGAAGAAGAAAGAATTCCTTTTACTTGCATTCGTCGCGTCGTAATAGGCGCTCCTAATAATAATACGATGATGGTACACGAAGAAGCCGTTTCAACGAAATACTATTTGGAGGGGAAGCCCTCTACAAGATTATGTAATAACCTTCTTCGACGAGTAGAAAATCGATGAACGCTCGCTAGCGTAGTACTACGTTGATTTTTCTATACGTTATCTCGCATTCCTCTTTTTAAACATACAACTTTCTTCATTCGGAGAAATATCCAAATACATAATCGCTTTATTCCGGGGTGTTTTTCTTCTTCAAATGCCACGTGGAAACGTAATAGTTTTGTAATCCATTAAATCCAAGTAAGTCGATTGGTTGGTTTGAAAAAAAAAAAAAAAAAAAAAAAAAAAAAGTAAATATGCCGTATCCCCGTGCTCCGTGTCTCTGTCGATTCAAACTCGAAAATCAATATTTCATCGATCGTTATCGCTACGATCGAAACGAATTCATTCTTAAGATATGATCAAAATATGTAGTTAGATAAACCTATACTCGTATATAATAACCATTGTAAATAAGAAAATGATTCATATATTTAAAGACAAGTAGCTCGATGTAATAAACGTTGGTCGTTGTTCAGTTTTTGTGGAACAGCAGAGGTGTGTCAAGTTTGGAATGTAAAGTCGAGACGAAATGAAATCATACATATTGTAAATAATGGAATAAAAAGTGGCGTCTTTCATATCTACGAGTCAATCTCATATCTACGATATTCGAGTTACTTCGCTACATCAATTGGAATAATTCAATATCACAAAGATATTCATTAATTTAGTTCTCCTTTCCTAGTAAAGGAAAAATTCTACTTTTGGTGTGGCAAAGATAACAAATGTCTTTCGTCGTCGTCGTCGTCGTCGTCGTCGTCGTCGTCGTCGTCGTCGCAAGTATTTTCTACGTATAGACGTCCGCTAGACTTTACATCCTAATCCTTGGGAAAATATTCGAGCGTATAAACGTATAAACGTATAAACGTATAAACGGAGAGATAAGAGAAACACACACGCACACACACGCACACACACAAAAGCGTATAATTTTGGAATGACGTGTTTTTTTTTTTCTTATTGCGTTTCCAAGAGGAAGAGGGAATGATGAAATCCTCATGGAATTCGTATGGAATCCGTAGAGAATTCGTATAGAATTCGTGTGGAATTTCAGCTGGAAGGAAATCAAGCAGCAGAACGTTTGTTTATTTTGTTCCATCGTCAAATTCCAACGTGGCGAGTGAATAGCGATGAACCGTTTTATTCCGTTAAACGAAAGAACATTGAAAAATAATTCTTTTGCAAGTAATTCCTCGTATTTATTCGCATATGATCTCTTTGTTCGATAGGCTTGCGAGTGATTCATATTATAAGCATCTTTCAGAAAAACAGAATAAACCGAGAATAACAGAATAATTATTACTACGAGTTCTCGCGTCGTAGCAAACTTGAGTATTAATAATGCTCAAAGGTGTTCTAACTAATAGTTAGTAGATGATGCTTCGATGCCAACATCCAAGTGGTAGTAGGGGGTTCTATGAAATCTAGTTTCAACCAACTGTCAACCTAGTTTCATAGGGGCGCAAGGCTCCTAGATCATGTAACGTAATAGTAGATATTAATAAGAGCGGTTGAAGAAAATCGCTATGATATTAAATTCATATCAAATCAAGGTTTTCATGAGATTTTTTCTTACATCTGTATAATAAAATGACGCAACGCGAAACTCTCAGTTAGTTAGTGCAACTCGACTTTGAAAAATTCGTTAGGTTATATTTTGTCTTTCATTGTACAATCTTTCCTTTCTCTTTTTTCTTTTTTTTTTTTTTTCACAAGTATACGTAAATTAAAATGACGCTTACGTAGGTAGATGGACGTGTAAGTAGCCTTTACATAATTAAGGACGATCTAATTAATTGTTTTTCATCCATATGTCTCTATCAATTAGACAGCGGCAAATGGAAGCGTGTCATTTGGCGTGTCATTTGGCGTGTCATTTGACGTGTCATTTAAATGACAATGTCATCCACTGAGGTAATAAATGTTAATATGTACGTTATTCTTCGCGAAAGATGTAAATAATATGTTTTTGTTTAGTGGAATAATAAAATAAACACTAATATGATTAGCTATAGCGATAGATAACGTGTATAATAAATGAATAATGTTCGTTTCTTTCATTAGTTCGAAATAAAAAGGGACGTTTGGAATTTGTTAGGAATTTGGGTGGAACTGGTACGGTGTGAAAAATTGTAAGAACCTTTGAGAAGTCGTTAAGGTAGGTAAAAGGCAAAGCGGGCTGCTAAGAACCATGGGACGACGACGRCTATGGGGAGAATGTGTCTTTGTCTTTCTCGCTCTCGTGCTAGTGGTAGTGCTCCTACCACCACGTGCGGCTGCTTCCGGAAACCGTTGAGGAGCAGCCCATCCGTCCGCGGCGGCGGCGGCGGCGGCGGCGGTGTATCCAACACGACGCATTCCGAAACGCATTTCTTTTTATTCAAACTCAGGATAATGACCTTGATAATGCATCTCAAGGCCAAGGTCATTAAGCCTAATTTTGCTTTCCTTTTTTGCTACAATTTTGTTTTCCTCTTGTTCTCTCTCCTTTTGGATCGATCTACTATATATGAGTACAATGATCGTATATGAGTTATAAATGGGTGTGGACACCGATCTGGTGTCTCATTGTCAGTTAAATTACGTTTCCCTCCCTTCCTCCCTTCCTCCCTACCTCCCTTCCTCCCTACTCCCCCTTCCTCTTTCTCCTTCCATCTGCTCTTCCATCTGCTCTTCCATCTCGTCTTTCTTCTTTTCGTTCGGACGAACACGCTCCTCCGGAGAAGAGAGAATAAAATTAGGATGAAACACGTGAGACGGCGGGTAGACGCGAAGAGAGGAATTCCGTCTCTTCTTCTTTTCATTCTTTTTCTTTTTCCTCCGTAACTTGGAAGGTCGGACAAGGTCGGATATGATTATCTTCTTATGGTACCGACCCTACCGACAGAGGGAAGAACTGCGCTGTGCTACGCGCTTCATCATTTAACAATAACTATTTCTATTTTTTTATTTTTTCTCTGTGTTGTAGATTTACAAAGCCGCAAACGTTCGCCGATTGCATCGGAAACGAGCTTCCCCTTGGTTGGGAAGAGGCCTATGACAAACACGTGGGTGCTTATTACATCAATCATGTTAATCGTAAGTGTAAACTCTATTTTTCTTTTTTCTTTGTCTCTTCTCTCTTCAATTTGTTGTCAAAACATTGTCTTATTTTTGTGGTCAACTATATAGAAACGACTCAGCTCGAAGATCCGCGACAGGAATGGCGGGCAATTCAAGAAGCCATGCTACGAGAATACCTTCAAACAGCGCAGGACGTACTCGAGGTGAGTTTTCTATCTATTTATGGAATTTGTTCGTTGATCTGGATTTGTTCGTTGCCCCGATGAATTTATACGAGAGGAAAATAGAGGGGAGACGGTGGGAGCCAGGCGTAGACAGGAAGTCATTCCGTGAGAAATCATGGTACTTCCGGTCACTCGGCCGGTGCGGTGCACCCTCTACCGAGATCTCCCTAACTGAGATTAAATCGTTTTTGCTTATCCTCCTCAACCAATGTGTGTTTGCCTTTTATATTAATATATCACGGAATTTATTATTTATTTGTCATTTTTTTCTTCAACTTTCTTCTTCTTTGTCAAGTTGTTGTCACTTATCCGTTGTTCATAAAGATTCGTCTTTGGTAGGGACAATTAATCGTAGAGGGGAATTTATAGTTGGAGACACCAAGGAATTTGACGTTTTAGTCGAAAAAACGGGTCGTCGCACGAGGTATTTGGGAAAAGTCTCTGGTCGGTAGGGACCAAGAGAACTCGAACCTAAAGAGAAAGAGAGAGAGAGAGACCAAAAAGAATTCTTTGGATTTCGTGCCATGTGGGGCTAGAGAGGAGAATGTCTGTTCTGTTCTGTTCTGTTCTGTTTGGCTTGAATCCGACCAAAGTATTTCGTCGTTCCTTGTGTTGCTTCCTCCTTCTCTCTTTCGACGACGACGACGACGACGACGGACCCTCCAGATGCGAGAGGAATCTTAATTGTCATTTATTTTTGCCCGCCTCCTAAAGATAATATACAAAAAGTATACAGATTTTCCACTTATTTTGATCAAATATTGAAATATTAGCAAATTTGTACGCTCGTTAAATTAAACAGCGAGTTGTTCCAGGAAAACAAGACGAATCATTTGGTAGTTTTTTTTTTTTTCAATACGTCAATGTCTCATATTTTCAATTTGCGAATAAACAATCCATCGGCGAATTTTGTATTCGTAATGAATTTGCGTAACTGACCAGTTACAATAAAGTTTTCCTTGTCAAAGCAACGTTGAAAACTACGCGAATAGAAGTTTGTCTAGAAATAGGAACTGCCTAGTGGGCTGGTGTTCATTTAAATCTCCCCGGCAGGTGTAACGTCTACACAGATACCGAAATGTATCTTTGACATTACCCAAGCTGAAAATAGCGCTTACGGCAAAGCGGCAAAGCGGCAAGGCGGCAAGGCGGCAAGGCGGCAAGAGCGTATCTCATAACGGTTCGCGAGTCATTGACATCGGACAAATTTTCTTTCGGAAATATATACACGATAGTGTGTGTGTGTGTATGTATGTCAGATAGTAGTAGCCGTCTAGAAAATATAACATTTGAAAGAAAAGAAAAAGAAAAGAAAAAGAAAAGAAAAGATTGACAAAAACGTAGCGCCCAAGTTTTAGACCCAGACGCGCGTTCATGCTTTCTCCGAATGCATCTTCCGAATGCATCTTGAAGAAAGGATGCGGGTTTTCCGTCCTCCTTACCCCCTCTCTCCGGGTCGGATTCTCTCGCCGCTCCCGGTTGCACTGTTCTCGCGCCATGCGACCCTTTTCCCGTAGCGCGAGGACTACCGGTGTTACGCTCGTAGGGCCCCCAGGCGGTCCAAGAAACGACTCACGAACAGCCACGAGTACTCCCGAGGGCACACGAATGCAAACGTCTCTCGGACTAAACCAAGTTGCCGCCGACTTCCACGAGATTCACGAATCCAAATTGGAAACACCTTTTGTTTTTTCTTTTTCTTTTTTTTCTTTTTCTTTTTTTTTTCTTTTTCCAACATCATCCTGTCTTTCGACCTTTCACCGATTATTTATCTTACAATGACATCAGAGCTTATCTCTCAGAAGAGCACATTCTAGGGAAAGGGTTATAATAATTGTTCATTAGTCGTGACTTATCGGCGAAGGAATTCAACGAGCGCGATTATCAAAGCGTTATCAAAGCGTTATCAAAGCGTTATCAAAGCGTAGGACAACGCCCATCATCATCCATAGAACGCGACGCGCTCCGGAATTCGAGCCACATACATAAAGGGTGTTCGCGCTTAACTCGCAACGACTTCCCAAGGAATCTCGATATAATAGTCTCCGACACGTCGCTCATCTCGAAGGAATCTCACGAGGGCTCGGTTTCCGATTTCATCTTCCGACCAGAGAGAAAGAGAGAGAGAGAGAGAGAGAGAGAGAGAGAGAGATCGGTACTCGTGACAAGACCACCGCAACAGAGGGACGACAACGACGACTACGAGCGACGAATTCGAAAGAAGCTTAGGATGCGTTCTTCAGATCTGGAATTTTCACCTCCATTGTCAAAGAAGAAGAAGAAGAAGAAGAAGAAGAAGAAGAAGAAGAAGAAGAAGAACAAGGGACAATTATAAATAATTTCATTTTGGAATTTTTCTTTAAAAGCGTCCTTTAGCAATTTCATTGTATGCACAGTTGGGCAAACATTTGTCAACAATGATATGGATTCATAAGGATACACCCTATATATGTATGTAGATGTCAAGCAGTCGATTCATCGATCGAGAATCTTTATCGTCGTCGAGTTCTTTCGTAATGCATCATCCGATCGATAATATACGCGCGGCGGGGCCACGTGTTCGATAAGGACGAAAGATCGTGAATCGCGTGGCCTTGTTGCGTCTACAGGGTCTACACCACCGATTTACTTTTTGTATAAAAAATGAAATAATTTAGTTGTTACTTGGATATAATGATTGAAATAGGGAATATTGTTAAGGATTGTTTTAAGGAGAGTTATCGGTAGGTAGGTAGGCCGCGACGCGATAGCATCGCATTCCATTCATATCAGCATTGGTCCGCTCGGTTGCTCTCCCGTTGCCCCGCCTCCTCTACCCCCACTACCGGAGAACCCGCGCAAGTACAGTTGTAGGCGCTCTTTTACACGAGCGACGATCGCCATCATGGCCTTGCACGGCGCGCATTCCTCTTCCAAAATATGTTCAAACCGAAATAGTCTTTTCCACATTTACATAGATGATAGATCTACTTACGATCGATTGCAAAATTAACAAATTGGAAAATACCACCAAATTGTGTATTGTTATATCATCGTATCTCCTTCATTTCTCCCATATCTTTTTCGAAGCAGAGGGACGTGAAATAGAATTTGGTCAATGTTCTATATGGAAAAAGACAAAATACTTGCAAACAGATAATTAGATATTTTATTTATATCTTTGACCGAGACGTGAATCGATTGGTCGGCTCGATTCGGTAATTTTCGGCAAGACTCGGTCGCGCGGAGGGTCGACCGACAACAGCTGCTGCCTGCGACGGGTGCTGAGACACGGGTGCTGCGACGACTTAAGGCCCCGCCGATGTAGAGTTTGTAGTAGTGGTAGGGACATACGTAGTAAACCCGAAGACAGGTGGCCACGGCATGCTTAGCTTCCTCCTGAAATACATCTTCGCAGCGGCGTTTATGATAATTGCACGCCGCCGTGTGACTGGCGCCAGTGCCTTTCCCTCTCGTCTGTCTTTCTTGCTTGCTTGCTTGCTTGCTTGCTTCCTTCGAAAAATCGACTAGCACAAAATATGCCTTTCTAACGAAATTTGCCAATTCCTTTTTTAAGGAATTGTCCTTGTCTTGCCTTGCCTTGCCTTGCCTTGCATTACAATCCCTTGGTCGGCTCTTTCTCCCGGTTGGTTGGCAGCCACGTGCGCCTCGAGAAGCTTCTTTTATATCCTTGCTCTTTGTTCGGCAGCAGCTGTCCGCCCGAACAAATTCCTTTCCTCCCGATTCCACTACTTCGATCCAAAGTAGAAGACGTCGCTCCAAGTTTTTTATCCGAGAGGAGCCAATGCCCGACCTAAAAACATCCTTTTTTTTCCTTCTTTTTCTTCTTCTTTTTCTTCTTTTTCTTCTTTTTCTTCTTTTAAATATATATATATATATATATGTATTTATTATATAAAGGAACTTTTGTGAAATTTGTGCGCGCGTGCATAAGGATGACGAGATCGAGATTTAGTTTCACCAAAATTCTTCGGATGCCAAGAGATTGTCCCTTCCAAATATGGCCAAGTTATTTACCTTTTCTCATTGGATGGCTTACGTATATACACGCCTATAAAATACGCACGTATTTGTGTGTATTTTCTACCATCGGTAAATCGTCAAAGAGAAAATCAAAAGAGAAGGCTCAAATTTGCACAGCCGTCTTGCGTCGACTATTTTTGTTCGAACCGTATATAACGACAATACGATGCTTATCTCTTTTTTCTTCTCCTTCCTACCTATACGTATGCAAATATACGCGTATGTATACACATGGTGTTTCCTTTAACTCGACCAATTTCATGAGTTTATACTTACTTTGGATCAGAGTTTCTCAAACATAATTACACATTTTTGCTTGACTTACAAGTTTATATTTTTCTTCGAGTCATTGTTAGAGAAACCCTGCTTTATCTAATGTGACAAAATCAAATATGATATCGTTAATTGTTCTACATTAGTACTACTTTTATTTTACGACGCAGCAGTTTGATAGAATTCCAATGCCACGCGCGCCCAATGCTTTAGTATTCCTTTTAAATGGTTAAACAAATAATTTCACATTCCATGGCTTGCTTGTGCTCGCTCGCTCGCTCGTGAGTGAGTGAGTACAATATTATTGAATCAACCATTTATACAAAAAAAGTCCTACCAACAATCGGATATTGTTAATCGTTTGAAATATTGTATCGATAAGATTATATGCGTCTGTTGATCACTTTAGAGCTCCGCATTATGCTTTCTCGTCATCGTCTTGAGGTAATCGGAGCTAATCTTTTATCTTTCTCTCTCTCTCTCTCTCTCTCTCTCTCTCTCTCTCTCTCCCTCCCTCGGGAACGTGAGGCACGAGACCCATTTCATACGGAATTCAGTAGCTACAGGGCAATCACGTGAGCACCCGGTAGCATCCAGCCTCCTAAACCTAATCATTTTAATCTCCGAGCTGGTTCTCCCTTGGACGGGTTGGAGTCTAGCCTTTCAAAAAAGTAGTCACGTCCAACAAGAGAAACTTTCTGCTCGATTTTCGTTCCTCGCGCAATCAACTCTCACCGTTATTGTCGACATCCAACGAATCTAATTAAAACTATCATTTCATTAGAGAATAGAAATAAGGGTTTGTTCGTCAAGAAAATTGACATTGACCTCGTGATTTTGGTCTCCGTCTATCTGTCTATCCGTCTATCCGTCTATCCGTCTATCCGTCATCCGATTATCCTTTTCTATCCATCCATCTTTCCGTTGTACGTAGGAGCTAGGGCGGTGGTTAACGCGAGCTATAAAAGGGGCCCCGAGTCGAAGGAGTTGCCATTCGTGCTGCTTTCGATGGTGGGGATAGGACCCCCTACTCGCCGAGGCCTCACCGAGGCCTCCTTCGAGGCCTCGTCGCCGCCGCCGCCGCTGCCGCCGCCGCCGCCGTCGATGCTCCGCGTCTTCGTCCCGGCTCCGTTCAGATAAATATGCGGGAGAGGCCGGAATTCCCCACTCGGCTGCATTCCAATCCCTCCTTTTTCTTCACGACTGATCTCTCTTTCTCTCTCCCCCTTCTCTCTTCCTTCCTTCCTTCCTTACTATTACTATTACTACACTACTACATTACTACTACTACACTACTACTATCATTATTATTATTATTATTATTTTCCATTTCTGTTTCTTTTTTTTTTATTTCATGCAAATGCATGCATCTTATTCTTCGAAGAACGCTCAAACGTTCATCGTCGCCTATAATATAACATTCGATTTCTACATATTCTACGTATTTCTATTTATATTTTCTTCTTCTTTACTCAGGTCAGTCCGAGTCGCCTTTAGTTTCCATGAATTTGCTTCTAAAATACCTCAAAATCTTTGGTTAGAATATCCACGCATTGCTGAGTTCTTGGTAATTGTCTCTGGGTTCGTTTCTAGAAGAAACATTATACAAGTGAGAGATAGAAAGAGAGAGAGAGAGAGTCTTATGCTCTTATGCTCTTATGCTCTTATGCTCTTATGCTCTTACAAGGGCTCTATCAGGTCTTGATTAGCTTCGAGTGGAAGATAAAGAATAGGAGAATCTTGGTTGGAATTATCCGTCGCTTTACGGTACTTTACAGGATTGTGGTGTACAGTATTATAGTATATTGACATTCGGTATCCTTTCCATGCGAATCTTTCGAATATTCTGGCAGTACGGATTAACGCCTGAGAAGAGAAAACCTGGAAATGAAGTCGAGACAGAAGATCGAAAGAAGAAAGTGAAGAGGAGTGTTGCAGAAGAGGGAGGGTAAGAGAAATAAGGGCCTCCTTCCGCGAGGCGAGTGAACTGACTCGAACTGACTCGAACTCAGTCGAACTCACTCGATAGCATCTCTGCGGCTTCCTTCGACAATAATAGTGCGCGCAAACTAAGAAATATGCGCGTAAGTGAGCGAACCTCCATTGGGGCATGGCTTTGATGGTTTCTCTCCTGGTACTCTATGTACTAATGCCGATGCTCACAGAGTGGTATGTAGTGGTAGACCGTGTTATGTAGTGTGGGTCGGTGGGGCCCAGTCAGGGCTCCAGAAATTCCAACAAGGACAGGGCATAATGCGCGACTCAAGGTCGGTTCTACTACTCTCTGAGCTCTCCCGGAGATGGGAGCACGTTCAGCAGGGTCGTACCGTGACCTCGCCGTTCTCCCACCACAACTGGAATCACTAGCATCACCACCACCACCAGCACCACCACCAGCACCAGCACCAACACCAGCACCAACACCAGCANACACCAGCACCAACACCAAGAACACCCATGGAGCTATCACCAATACCATCATGGATGGCAACCACCATTATCATCATCCCAATCACCCCTTCGTCGCTTGTTTGCTTTCATCTATCCATCCATCCATCCCACCACAACTGGAATCACTAGCATCACCACCACCACCAGCACCACCACCAGCACCAGCACCAACACCAGCACCAACACCAGCACCACCAGCAGCAGCAGCAGCAGCAGCACACGAGGATCGCCAGTTACGACAGGATCGTGGGCTTATGCCCGCGGCGCCCTGCATTTCACATTCCACGCCGATTAAAAAAACGCGCACCCACTACACTAGAATACCAAAGGTGATCCCCAATGTTACGGAAATAATAAGCTTTATAGTAGAAATTCTTTTCTTAGGATAAGCTTTTAATCGACTCATCAAATAAGTATCCAATTGAGAACGTCTTAACATTTTCTAATCCCTTTTGTAATGTCCAATTGTTTGTAATATATGCTCGAGACGCAGTGATGATTTTTTCCTTTTGTTCGATTTGTTTGTTCCTCCCCGTCTTCGTAGTAGACGACGACGACGACGACGTCGTAGTATTCGGATAGGAAGGTGGCACGGAGATTGCGTTGGCACGGTCCTGTGGGGCCGCCGAGAAGATGAGGACCGCCTTTTTATAGTGGGTAAGAAACAGGCATTTGAGGCCGCCACGAATAGAGAGAGAAGGAGCAAAGGAAGAGGAAGAGGAAGAATACGCAGAAGAAAGAGTCAGCTGGTGTTGATGGTGGGGCGGCAAGGGAAGAAGGAGCACGTATTAAGGGAGAGAGAACTCGCGCTGCAAGAAGCGAAGCAAGAGAAGGCAAAAAAAGTAAAAAGGTGGGATCCCTTAAAAATTGAGACCCAAGAGGTGGGGATCGGAATTTCGGGCCCCGTAAACCGGCCAGTCTCGAAAAGGTCTTCGCGAAGATAAGGCAAGGAGAAGAGGAGAGCCACGCGCGTTCGAAAGAAGCGGAGGAATGGTCAAGTTGCGCCACGCAAGGAGTAAGAAGTAAACGAAGAAGAGATTAAAGGTGGAGGTGGAAATATCGCGTAGCGCGAGCTTCGCGGGGCCAGTACACGGTGTGTACTCGGCATGGACCGTCAGTACACCCTTTGTGTACTCGTACCGGCGCACCAATACCGCACGTACCTCGATAATTATCGTCACCAATATCGTCGTTTAAATCATCGATTCGTTCAACAATACCAACATCACCAACAGGAACAAATTTACGAGAACGTCGTATCTCAGTATCGGATGAGAATGTGTTATCACAACGATTACGAGAACGACGAGCAGATCCAACGTTTTTACTGGGAGCAATGTTATAAGCAGGATGATACGGATGCTACTGCTTATTATTATTGCGAATACGTAAGGAATTGCTTCCGTATCCAGTCCAAATACAACCCCCACCCCCACCCCCACCCCCACAAATTAAATCTAACTATTAATTACAAATGTATGGTGTGCGCACAGTGACTATATGACTGATAGTACTTTACAACTATTCCTTTATTATCGTTTGATATCGTTGCTCTAACGGTTCCAAAATAATAATCATCTATGTTGCAGGCAAAGAAGGAGATTTACGACGTGAAGCAACAGAGGCTGTGTCTGGCTCAAGATGAGTACAATCACCTCAACAACGCATTAACGACGCTCGGCGCATCGCGTACCAGCCGTAAGTAGTACCTACTTTGTTGATATCCTTCCTCCAACAGAATAGGCGTGATCCAAGTATTTTTCTTCATATCTTCTTTATTTCCTGCAGTGTGTTCGAGCTCGAGTTCCTTGAGTACCAAGTACGATCCAGATCTATTGAAATCCGATGTCGCGCTTGCGAGGAGCCGAGTGTCTCGGCTCAAACGAGAGCTCGAACAAATTCGAGCAGAGATGAATTGCACGCAACGAGGAGTCGACACACTTGCTAGGTACGCGCTTGCTAGCTACTACTACTACTACTACTACTACTACTACTACTACTACTACTACTACAATTGCCTATATTTGCCTATATTTGCCTATATTTGCCTATATTTGCCTATATTATTGTTGCGTGTATTTATTCAATTTGTTCTCTTTGATTCTTTGCTGTTACTACAGCGTTGAACAAAAGCTGAGCGGCCACCATGGAGGTTGTTACAATATTACGGAAGCTCAGGCAATCATGACGGAGTTAAGAAATATTCAAAAGTCTTTGAGCTCCGGTGAAAAAGAAAAGGCAGAGTTGATGCAATCGTTGGCTCAATTAAAAGACGAATTGACGAGGTTGCAGCTTTGCGAGGGTAGCCCGGAGGCTAGTACTCTTAGTTTACCTCAGGAAAAGCTCAGTACTGCTTCCCAGACAGATCTTTCCGGTGAATTGGTGCCAATTGGTACGAGACTAGCTGAAATGGCGAGAATGAGGCTACAATACGATGAAGCGAGAAAGAGGATACAACATATTCAACAACAGTTGGCCGATCTCGAAGAAAAAGTGACTCCTGGTCAAACGGAAAGCGATAAGGACAAGTTATTACTATTTCAGGAAAAGGAACAATTGTTGAGAGAATTGCGTAGCATAACTCCAAGGACGAGGACTCAACAGGATATGAAGAAGATACAGTGCGAGATACGACGTCTCGAGCAGGATCTTAACAATGCCCTGGAATTGTCGAACAAGACGATTACGGATCGAGTTAGGTTGCACGAAGAGAAGCAAATGTTGCTTCAACAATTGCGAGATGCTTTGCGTTCTATGGCGATGTTGGAGGGACAATTAAAGAGTCTCAGTGCTAGTACGCTATCGGTTAGCAGTAGTTCGAGTCTTGGTAGTCTTAGTACGACAAGTAGTAAAGGATCTCTCAGTTCCGGGCTTAGTTTTACCGATATTTATGGCGGACCGCAATGCTTGGGATCCGTTGGTACCTCTCAACAGGATCGACCCGTCGATATGGTTGATTTACATAGGCGGGTAGAACGATTGCTTAGAGGCTCAGAACAGAACAATTATATTAACACACCTTCTCCAGGAAGATCTCAACCGAGTCTTTCCCCTCGGTCGAGTCTTTCGAGCGTGAGTCCACCGGTCTCACCCCTTTACGAGAATGCTCCTATGGGTCCACCACCCGCGTACGAGCAAGTGGAATTACAGAGAAGACAACAGAGGTCGGCCTTGTCGTCGAGTCTTATGGTTTCTTCCTGTGCCCATTTGGATGGCAGTCAGCTTGAGGACAGACTGACCGAATTAAGGCTAAGTCAGCAACAAAATACTCCTCAAGAGCAGCAACAACAGCAGCAGCAGCAACAACAACAACAACAACACCACCACCACCAACAACAACACCAACAACAACAACAGGTTTCTCTTCCTCCACACGATCGTCTTAAGCTCGTCGTTGGCCCTCATCCACCCGTCGAATTACAATCTAGCAACATGTCACAAGGTAGCGGCTTGGGTAGGCCTGCTACAACCCTTACGGGATGTATCATGCAATTGCAAGAACCGCCACCTTTATCGCCTATCAGCGAAACACCACCGCCTACGGGTATACGTTCTAGGGCTAGTAGTTCCGGCACCAATACCAGATCTGTATCTGCTGCGGTTTCCGACGAAAGCGTTGCCGGTGACTCGGGTGTTTTCGAGGCATCCAATCGCCGAAGACTTTCTGGATTGATCGGAGATGCCGCTGATCCTCTTGTATCTGCCGAAATGAGTTTAGAAACGGCCCAAGTGCAGATTAAACTTCGGTAGGTATTTTTAATGGCGGAGGAACGAGCAAATAATCGATTGTTAATCGGTCCTTTTATTAATCGAAGAAATTTCTTTGCTCAGATATTCCGTGAGCGATGGCCTACTTCATATTGGCATCGAGCGTGCACGAAATCTGGCTGCCCTTTTTATACCAAACAATACACAAGTGTGAGTAATTTTGTTTTCGTAATCGAGTCGCTCTACGTATTTAAAACTGTAATGCAATTATGAAATATCATTGTCCAGCGAATCCAGCGTTGTTGAAATATTCCAAATAACAAAGATATATAATAACAATAATAATAATAAAAGTTGTATCTAATTTCAGATATATAAAAGCTGCGTTATTGCCGATGCAACCGCCTGTTAATCAAATGTGTTGTACGAAAGCAGTGACGGATCTTCGAAAGCCAACGTTCGGCGAAATATTTCCCGTCGCTGTTCCTTTGAACAAGCTCTATACGAAGACCCTGCAGGTGAACGTTTGGTGTACTGGCAACGAGTTTGAGGAGTGCTTGGTAATTTAATTGTTTCTTCTTATTTATTTTCATTATTACAAGATTTAGTTGATTTGTTAATTATTGCGTTTACATTTATACAGGGGTCCGCCCAAGTCTCGCTTGCAGACTTCAGTCCAGAATCGCCGAGCGTAAAATGGTACAACATACTTTCCTTTCGTTTTATGCAGCCGTCCGATAGTCCCAATACCAGTACTGCTAATAATAGTGCCTCGACTAGTACAACGAAACAGGCTAAACACGATAAACAAGAGTCGGACATTTCGGTTTATCGTGGAATACAAAATGCCAAGGAAGAAAGTAGCGACGAAAGTACCATCATTAGTTCTCAAACGTCGACGTTGACGAGAAATCAGGGTTGCGATGAACTTCAAACCGCTGTATCTATTAGACTAGAAGAATTGGCCAATTGTTTGGGTAGCCCGGAAGAAGAAGACGAGGACGGTGGTGGCTGTGGTGGTGGTGGTGGTGGTGCTGGTGGTGCTGGTGGTGGTGTTGGTGCTGGTGGTGACGGTGACGGTGACGATGGTTCTGATAGTGGCAGCGAAGACAGTGAAGAAGAAGAAGGCTATATCATGGAATTTATGATGGAAGATAATGTTCTGGAAGATGTTTTAGAGCACGAGGTTAATATACTTTCCTTCTTACTTGTAGAGTTAGATTTTGTTCAGCTTATTCAAACCTCTTGTCGTTATCATCGTTTTGTAGGAGGAAGAAGAGCTTAACGAAGAAACGAAACTAACTCAGGATAAGGAGACCAACACGGAATGTATTTTTATCCCAGAACAAGGGAAACAGAGAAAGCTTTCGACAGCTGGAGTAGTACAAGGGGCTATTCACGACGATAAAAATTCAATCGTGATAAAGAGGAGTCAAACGTTTTCACCGAGTGCTGCTGTCAGCAAGAATCATTACATCTGTCGTGTAAGTAATAATTGCGATTGTAATCGAATAATCATACATTTGCATTTATAATCGTAAATCTTAAATCGTAAATCTTGTTTGTTTAGCTCAATCGAAGCGATAGCGACAGCAGCATGCCACTATATCGTAGAGGTGGGCCCTTTCAACGAAACTCCGTAGAAAGACGTTCGCTTCGTTGGAGGCGACCGTCATCGGCCTTAAGTTGTAAGACAACCTCGAAAAAATCCAATCACTTGCCTCCAACTGCCAGGACATCGTTGGATCTCGAATTAGATCTTCAAGCACAACACGCTAGACTGCACAATCTTCAGGACGAACTTAACAGTTTGCGAGAATTAAAGCAACGAATGGAACAGGCACGCGAGAAGGGAGACACCGATCTAGCCAGTTGGTTACTAGAGGATCACAAGTTTGTAACTTTGATGGCACAAGCTGAGAGCGGTAGAAACGGAAAGAGTGCGGAGGATAAGAAGGTGGAGAAGATGTTGAAGAAGACGTCGAAAGAAATATATAAATTGAGAAAGACAAAGGCCGGCAAAGGAAAACCTGACATCATATCTTTTAAGTAAGTACGCGTGATATTACAAGTTGTTCTTTTTTCAATGAATTATTGCTACGTTGACATATTGCTATGTGTGTTACTTGCAGAGAAAAAATGGCATTTTTTACGCGGGTAAACGTAAACGTTCCTGCTCTACCGTCGGACGATTTATCTCCAGAAAGCTCGATACTGTCGACAGACGCGTCCTTGCAAAAGAAATACACGTCCGAACCACTAGCAGCACAAAGTGAAAATGTTTTGAGAAGTAGTGCTAGTGCCATGGGTAACGAAGTATCGCTAGTAAGTGCCGGTAGTAGTAGCAGCATCGTACATCGTTCGACAGATGTTGACACTACAACAAACAATACCAGCAACAAAAGCGTCAATTCAAAAGGCCGGCCAAACACTACGGAGAATGGTCAGAAAGAAGATGCCGAAAACTCCGAGGATAATGCCAACGGGGAGCCTAAGAGATACGAGTACGTTGTCGATAGAGTTCTTGGTGTCGAAGTTTAACATTCAGCCTGCTTTTCATTTTTTTTTTTTTTCTTTTTTTTTTGTTATTCTTTCTTTCTACATTGATCTGAACATTTGTACTGTTCAATTATATGATATTATATTGATGATCATTGATGTCATCATCAGTTGCGATCAAAGGAAATCCTCTTATCAAGCGGGTCGCTATAAAAGCGACCGACGATTACGAGGATTTTAGGCCAGGTCTTTAATCTTTTGCGTTCATCGATTTTAGAGGTGCCATGCAAAAGAATAGTTTGTAAAGAGTCATAATTTTTCTCCCCCCCCCTTTTTTTATTTATTTATTTTTTGTCCGTCGCACTCGACTGTGTAAACCGATGCAGCAACCCTGACTCGTTAACATTTTCTTTTTTTGTATTGTCTTATACGGGCCGATTTGCGGAATAGATGGAATGCGCGCGTTTAACTTTTAGAAAAAGCGTTCTGTACATATGCGAAACAATTGTAAGTTATTTAAACGACGAGATTCGTCGATATCAATCTTTAATTTAATTTTGTTAAATTTTCCCTTTCTTCGTCTTCGTCTTCGTCTTCGTCTGCGTCCCTCTTTCTGTAGTAATTTTTTGGCTGTTATTCCGTTCGTTTTCTCTGCGAATCAGAGCACACGACCCACCGAATGCAGCTGGTCTGCGATTTGAAAAGAAGAAGAAGAAGTAGAAAAAAAAAAAAAAAAAGAGTTAGTAATTAAAAATAAAAAGAAAATTGAAAAGTTATGCCCTGGTTGGCTGAACTTCGCTTTGACTCTCGGCACTGCCATTTTCTTCGTAACGTTGTTGTGTGTATTCGTTTTTATTAAAGCGGTGTTGAGAAGAGTCGTCGAGAAAAACTCGACGACGACGACGACGACGACAAAAGAAAAAGTGCCTTTAAAATAAATTAACACGCCGCTCTGAAGATGTATAATTTATTATTGTATTTTATATCGTTTGCCACTGACCGTTCTCCGAGGAAAAAGAAAACGAAAGAAAACGAAAGAAAACAAAAGAAAACAAAAGAAAAGAAGAAGAATGTATGAAAAATGTATCGATCAAACCGACTAGTTGGAAAACAATGTATATGTATGCGTGTATACTTGTAACGATCGGCCATTTGTCGAGAAGCTAATATTAGCTAATATTGTACATAGATTTTGTGATCGGAAAAATTGCGAAATGGAATTGATCAATGATGGGGATGATAGTATGTATTACGTTTGCATGTGATAATATTAATGTTGCGTCGCGCGCGTGTCAGCTCGTAATTGAATTATCGTCTGCATTACGACTAATAGCACGCGAATTGAATTGAACGATGGTACCCCCGTTGTGGCCATATAATTGCTTCGTTTATTGTAATTGACGAGACACGAAAGACGGAAGGGACATGTAGGAAAATTCTTAACAAATAATCTTAATAAATGTAAATAATTTTGTAAATAGATATTCGACAATCATGTTTTAATGCGCTTATAAATAATATACGTTGATATGTATGTATTAAAATGCGCGAGCGAGCGAGCGAGCGAGCGAGCGAGCGAGCGATTATTTCCATAGGATAGAGCGTACGTAGTGTATGACCGATGGCGAATATTGTCTTCTTCTATGTACCTCGCACTTCGTATACCTATAGACTATATTGTATTTTTTTCTCGACAGAGAGAGAGCGAGAGCGAGAGCGAGAGCGAGAGAGAAATAGAAAGGGAAAGAGAGAAAGAGAGAGAGAGAGAGAGAGAAAACTAGAAAAAAAACCACGTATTATTATTATTATTATTTTTCCTTACTAAAGTGTCCGATCTATTACACTAATGTATCGAATTAACGTTATATTTGTATTATTTAGCACGTTACTATGGAGTATAAGTACGATAATGATTAAAATCAATCATGATAACGATTAAATTAAGGAAGATTATAACGATAATGATACTTCATTTTCCTTTTTTTTTCCTTTTTTTTTTTCTTTCTTTTTTCTTCGTAAAGAAACATTACACGCATTACAGACGACATGTAAAGACTCTCTCACTGAAAGGATCACAATTACAGCATGATTTGTAAGTAACGTATGGTTCGTATGGTAATGATTAAAAAGAGATAAATATAAATATAAATATATCGTGATTTTTTTTGTTTTTATACTTTCCTCTCTTTTCTATTATATATACTATAACTGTGGGTAAGTAGTTTATGCGACACCCTGTATATAGGTAGAATTGTAAAGAGAGGTGGGGAAAGGTATAGCCAAGGAAGGGTCTTTGAGTTTAGGTCGAGTTAGGTCGAGTTAGGTTGAGAGGTTCAGTAGAGCGGTGCACGAGCTCGGCCGCTCATCGGCGAACGCGCGATGCTACTTTGGACTTTTGTACGAACAGCATTTTCCGCTTCCCTTGGTGCTGTCGTGCAGATAGTGATCTTGGTTTTACAAAGTTCCGCCACATCGAGGGTTCAAGCTACTCTGCCACCTGGTGCTGGTTAGTCATTTTGTACATTATGTAACTAAAATCTAATTACAACACGTGGGCTCGATCGATTATGTTTGTATTATTGATAAGACACATCGATTAATATTCGCATATAAAACTAGAAAGTCACAACTGTAAAGCTTAGAAAATATAGTAGGTGGACTTAAGTAATTCAACGCTTGCCGCAAGTGCGCGCCAGGTAATCGATATTAATATCGGCGCGATACCTACACGTGCTGTACAACCTACGCGGATACCTACGCGGATACCTACGCGGATACCTACGCGAATAAGTCAATCGCAAGATCATTTCGCCAATTTATAATTCCATTGACAACACTTACATTTCATACATTTCTTTGTTTCGCTCCACAATTTTGATTGATGACAAATATATTTGGTGAAAAATACACATCGAGGGACAAAAGGTTGTTGGGATTTCCATTAGGAGGGTGGGTATCTCGCGAGAGATAGAAAGGCATAACTTTACATAGAGTTAATCAAAATCAATTTCACCGATTCTCACCATAGGAACTCGCTTTTCTATTGATTTAACATCTGACCATCGCTGTCTAAAAATATCTTTGCAGGGTGGTGCACATAAAGTCGATGGTAATGTGCTGCTAAAAATGTGGATAATTTGGTTATCCAACAAATCAACGGATTCCGAGATTCGATTAAGATTTCGTTTTTCATTCGAAAAATTAGTTGGATGTTGCGACGTTGAACACTTCGCCGAAGTTTCCGGACCGGAAACGCAAACCGACCGTAAAACCAGGTCGTCCTAGTTGTAGTTCGTCTAAATGCAAAAAAAAAAAAAACAAAGAAAAAGAAACTTTGCCTAATCGAAGCGAATGGATTCGATATGGATTCGATATGGATTGGATATGGATTGGATGCCTTGCATTGTCTTCTTGCCTATCTTCAAAGATTTCTAATAAAATATGCAACATGATTATCCATTTTTGTAATATTTTTCATCACATTGAAATATAGTATAAAAGACAATTAACTGATAAAATGTTGCAATAAAATCAAACTATTACTTTTTTCTATTTTAAAGATAAGTTCTTATTCGACCCAGTTAAAGACCCAGTTAAAGACCCAGTTATCGCGTAAAACATAGAATAAGATTGCATAAAAGATACCCGTGGAAAATATACTAGCGTACACATGTGTTCACGTATCAATGATTGCATTACGGAATAAACTTTGTTCGTTCGATTTATTTTATCTTTTAAATATGTAATATTATTCAAACTGTATTGTGTCACGAAGAAAGTCAAAAATTTGGATAGATCATCATAACTTTTGACTAAAACTAATAACTCATCATATCGATAACTATTAGCTCCATTCATTCGAACGTGTGCGCGAGTTCAAGGTACTCCGAAAAGTACTTTAGCATTTGTTTAAAAGCTAATATTTTGAATGGGAGATAATGATGCAATTTTTACGAGACACGTTGCCGTCTTTCCGACGTCACGAGATCGCGTGATAAAAGGACAGGTACGCTTAGTTTCTTTCCGTGGACTTCCGTGGTGTTTCATCCCTAGCTTTGTCGTGACGACACGAGTTCACCCTCCAGGTCGTTGCTCTCTTTCGCCGATTACTATCCATATTCTAGTGGACTTGAACAACTAATGTGGAAGCATGGAAAATGAAGTTCTTCAGATTAATCAAATGATGCTCTCTCTGATTAAGCAGCAAAGGCTGCTTATTTTGTATACTTTTGCATTGAATGTTTGTTGAATTTTTGGATTTTCAGAAGACGAGATAATCTTAATCGAGCATCTACCTGGTCGTCGAGTCCATCTGCAAGATTTTTTTTGGACTGGTATAGATGATGCTCCACCATGGGTTGATCCAAATCAAGGTTTGACATTTTACGAGACTAGAACGGTTCATCATACGGTCACTATCTATTCTCCAAATGATCAAGATGATAAAGGTGTTTCGGCACCTGCACCACCCTATGGACCCGAATGTACGACTTGTATTAATCCCACTCCGCGTTTAAACGAGGACAACAACGACAACGACGACCACGACGACAACGACGACAACGACAACGACAACGACAAGGATCAAGACATTGGGGTTTTGATTGGCGAAGATCCTGGACCAAGGTTATAAATTTATCATTTTCTAAAGATCGCATGGACTACATTGGATTACATTTCATATATTTATGCGAAACAGATATTGGTTATTGACCGTTTTACGCGCCGGAGAATCCGTACCACAGAAGGTTGAGTTGAAATTGGCTCGTCTCTATCGGATCGCATTTTCAAGGCAACAACAACGTCATCTTGGTCTTCTTTCAACCGATCCTAGAGCTCGCAGAGCTACCAAACAACGACGATTCCACGAACAAATGGTGAAAATATATGAAATACTACATATGTAGTTTAACCATTATTATATTATATGTAGTTAACAATTTAGACAATGACTATTTTAGACAACTGGACAAAAATCATCAATTCCAACAAGTACTACTTCAATCGAATCGTCGAAAGAGGAAATGATTCAAATATCCAAACGCGAAAGAAAATTTATCTCCAAATTTCGAAACAATGACACTGAAATTCTCAATAATATATTGAACAACGGTTCAAATTTCGGCTTGAAAAAAATTCTACTGACAAATTTGAAGAAAGAAGAAGAAGCCGACGACGACGACGACGACGGCGACACCGACGGCGACACCGACGGCGACATATTACGTACTAATACGACAACGGGTACTAATTCATCATCGATGATTTTCAAAGATCAACGCCTAATGAACTTTAGTTCAAAGTCATCCGTCGATTGGAGACTGTCCGAAGAAAGCAATAAAGATATCAACTCTACTGTTTCATCAAAATTACGTTCCTTGGATGGAGTCGTACAGGTCAGAATGCACAATACAAGCACGATAGAGAGTGAAGGTACTAGATTGATCTATTCCGTTCATCTTGGTGGAAAACCTGTGCCAGCCGAGACAGCAGCCAGAGACATGGCTCTACTTTCCTCTCAAGAAGTTGCTCTTGAGCTTGGTGTACCTGTTATTATTCGAAGCGAACGTGAGTTTATACTGAATGAAGACTTAGTACACACGCAACACACGCAACATAACATTAGTATTATATTTATTTGGCAAATGATAACTTGGAAAATCATTTTTAGCGTATATAAAAGAGACCAGACCCTTAGCCCTTTCGAGAAAAAGAGACGTTTGGTTGCTCGTTGGAGCTGCTGGAGCTGCTGTAATCTTACTAGGTCTACTTCTTACTGGTTTAATCCTAATAGCCAAGAGAAAACGAGCTCACAGCGCTGTCGTAGCACCACCGAATAAAAGTATACTTAAAAAGGAACGAGATTATGTTCTACCATCTCCTGGTATCGACAACGCAACTTTCTTGACGCCTGACTACTCGGAAGGCAAGGTAAGAATATCAATATAAGAATAACAATTTCATCGTGTTCAAAGAATTTTCAAATACTCTATTAACTTGTACTACTAGTAAAATGCAAATAAGGCTAGAAATTTAAATGTAAATCGCAAATTATCGGTATAAAGTTCTTCCTCTTCTTCTTCTCCCTTTGGTATAATCGTAAGAATCGTAAGAAAGTACGTAAGAAAGTACGTAAGAAAGTACGTAAGATTTGATTCCGCTTGCGTGATGGAAAATGATATTCGTAAAGGAATAAGGAAAAAGGGAGGCTATTAAGAAGATGAATTTATTCTCTCCTCTCGTTGGCATGACGATATATTTTATCGATAGAGTCCAAATAAATATTCGAATTGCGTGCCAGCTCATATCCTAAATCCCCTAAAGTTATATTTTCTTGATAGATCGTAGACGGTACTACCAGTCAAAGGCAAACCCCAAGAACTCTTTCGAAAACTCCTGATACAACCGCCGACAGTCTTCATCGTAGCATCGACGAGTTTTCCACGGATAACGAGGAGGAATCTAAGAAACCTGTTGTAGCTAGTCCTTGGAGCATCGAGGACCAACCTTCGAGAAAAACAAGGTAACACGATACACAAGGATGCAATTTGCAAAATATTAAATAAGTATAATTTGGTGTTTATAAAATGCAGAGTAAGAAGTCAGGGTAGAATGATGAGAACTAACGCCATCGATCCACCAAGAACTCCGGATTCGATGGATACTATTGCTGATCATACGGAGATGTTGGAATCTCTTGAAAATGGTTACCCGAGGCAAGAAGAAGTTTTAGCCTCGCCGCGTTCTTATCTGTCTATGCCTTCTTGCAAGCAATTTCCGAGTATGCGAAGTGTAGAACCACTTTCAAGAGTCCTCGAGCCAGTAACAGTAAGAGTTCTATCTATCTATGTGAGATCTATCGTTGCATTTGCTACTAGACACGTTCGAAAAGTCTTTTACCTTATTTAGGTAAAGCATCTGGACGTAGATTCTCCCGAAAGTGGAAGACGTAGGAACAATGGCTATGCTAGAAACGATAAAGTCGGCGATTCGTTTTTAACCAGATCAAGCAGTACTTTTCGAGACCCCGGAGTCGTTGGACCTATAGTTTGGACTCTGAGAAGACAAGGATTATCTACGGAAGGTGTCACGCTTATAACCTTTTTATCCCATTCATTATATTTATACATTGATGAGAGACGAAAGCGAATAAACCGTTATCGAAAGTACATTTATCATATCATCTGGAAATATCTAATGAAATAGGATAGAAAATTTGATTGATATTTCGATTATACCTAATGATAGGTATCGGTAACGGTTTCGCCAACGAATTAAATGGAAATGATCATCCGTTCGCGCATTCTCTCGAAAGTTTTGCATTATTATCAGGTAACGGCACATCCGAAATATCGGACGTCGAACAGGTCTTCGTGGGTTCGGGTGGTCCCGTGGGTCGTGCTAGGAGACGCCTCCATGAACTCCTCGAGGACTCGTTCAGCCTCTTCGGAAGCAGAGAGCCCAAGCCTAGTAAAGAATTATTCCAAGCGACGAACACGCGTCCGAACTCTGCCGTACGCACGACGGATGCTCTCACGATATTTACCGAAGGCAAGTACAGGTAACTTTTTATTCTACACTTTGTTTTTTTTTTTTTTTTTTTTTTTTTCAAATCGTATACAAGTGCCTGTATACGCACTTGCCTTGCCATTTTTATTTGTTAGTCCAACGTCAAGAACGCTGGCAGAATTAAGTACTCGACCTCGCACGTCCGTATCGAGAAGAAATCTGGTAGAAGACATTCCTGAAACTGGTCACTCGAATCATCCACGTGGTGGTACTTGGGGTTCGAGACCGCTCAGTGCTGGTCCCTTTCACAAACCTAATCTACCAGAAGTGGATACCAAGCGTATTCTAGTGGATTCTCAACTCTCGCCGGAAGATCCAGCGGTACCTTTAATCAGCAGTATCAAAAAAGAACTGGACAAATTTTCTCCGTGATAAACGTTGATAAACTTTATTAACGACTATGAACAACATAGTGTGTGTTTATATGTCGTAGGATTGCTAATTCATTTTTAGATCGGTATCAATTTCATAACTCATTAGTATAGCATAAAACATAAAACAAACACAATATTGTTCATTAGGTTTAATCGATTAAAATATAACACTTTCATATTTTATCTTGATCAATTTGAAACATGTATCATTGTAATTACCATGATTCGATCTATTACATAAATAATTGTATGTAATTTTCAATTGACGACCGACAGCTATCGAAACACTGTCGTGATGTTTAATTAACGTTTTACGATTAAAATATAATTGAATTTGATTAACTAATCAAAGTTACTATTGTCACTATTACTACCCTAATCATTTTCGATATCATATGAAGGAATGAAATCATAGAGAGATAAAATGATATAAAAAAACACAGCGCGTATAACGAATATACTATAAAGTGCTTCTTCGTTTAAACGAATATTACAATAATGTATTTTTACAAGATCTTCGATATTTCGACAAATCGATCGTTATTGCAAAAGTCTTTATAAGTATGCTCGTAATGCAACTTTAGAGTATCGTATTTTTTCACGAAGAAACTTATATATTCCGGATGTACTGGATCTACTTCGATAAAGAGACGACCTCCTGGTTTCAACGCCTTGGCACTGTACTGTATAAGAGGCTTGATAATCTTCAGTCCATCAATTCCACCATCTAAAGCCCTTAAATCCTCGTAACTGTGTGATCCGAAAAAGTAAGAGTACAAAGTAAGAGTATACGGTTGCGTGCGTGCGTGCGTGCGTGTGTGCGTGCGTGTGTGCGTTCATCTATTCTTAAAAACCATGATAATCTAGAACTACGTACATTTTAATTTCTGGCTCTAATTTCAATATATCCTTGGTTGGCACATACGGTGGATTACTAACGATAAAAGCGAAACTTTGATCTCGTAAATTTGTTGTATTGCCGGATAATGTTAATGTTCCATCTTCTTCCAATGTTGCCTGCATTACCGTCACTCTTTCTCGCAAGCCAAGCTTGCTGCAATTTTCTTTTGTTAAATCGCAAGCATGCGGATTATTATCGACTGCTATACATTTAACCTAGAATAGTATGAAAATTTACTCCGAACTATTTTTTCGATGATTACATAAATCCCATTTATTTTAATCACCTGTAATAACGCTATAATTATTATTCTTGGAGTTTTTCACTTACTATTCATTTATTAATTCACCCAAATAAATTGTACCTTATCGGAGGAGTGTGCCAATGCTAGCGATATCGCGCCAGAGCCACAACCAATTTCAAGAATTTCATGATGAGCTTCTTGCAAATAACTCAGCCTTTTCAAAATAATATCCACTATTATTTCCGTTTCCGGACGTGGAATAAAAACGGGGGGAACTAATTTCAAGGTAATATCACGAAAGTCCCATTCACCGATTATATACTGAACCGGCATCCTGTAGGACTTCATTTTCATGAAATTACGCAATACAATGTGATATAAACAACGCATACCAAATTTTCTCATTTTTTATACTGTTATCACATTTTTTACCTGGACAATCTGCATTCGCAAAGTGACTCTAACTCTTTCAATTGATCTTCCGTAAGTCGTTTATCTCGAAAATTTGTGACATCTAGAAGCTGAAAAAAAAAAAAGAAAGAAAGAATGTTACTGATGAACTATTTCAAGTTAATTATGTCATCACTGGTTTATTTTAAAAAAGACAAAAGGCAACGCTTGAATAGTTTGTATTGAGATATAAACGGATACAAAATGGCAATGCTCCTTATAAACGAATAAATATACGAAGAATTTCATATTTTGTACCTTTTTTAAACCTACAACGTGAGCGACGATGTGCTCGATCGATTCAACGGGTTCTGGTATAGCCTCATTCTCAAACCGGTGACTCCATTTTTCAACAATCTCCCTAATGGTCGGACAATTCGTAGAACAATTGCTAGTAAAAGCACGATTCATAGTTACGTTATTCCTCGTGCGAGTAATACTCATGGCCGTGTTTTTTTCGATCACAAGAACACATGTTTTTAATATTCGACGATACAACATGTTGTCTTGAAGGGAGTTAACTCGTCGAGGCGTTCTTATCGAATGATACGTAAGAACATTATCGATTGGTAAGAAACGAAAAGGCATCTTCTTCAAAATACTGACATCTACCGGAGGACATTTTAAATCTGAAAGAACACGAGTAACTCTTCATATTAATACAATAACTTATTTACTTGTATTTTTATGAAAACGAATAAAAACAAAAAAAATAAAAAACAAAATGTGTTAAAAAAATAATCAAGAGAATTCTCAAGTCGATAGGTTATCGATCGAAGTAGTATAGAATCGAAAAATATGTCTTCGAATAACTTTAGAGTAAAAGGCGCAAGCGCGAATTCGTTTCCGTCGATATTCGGCTGATCTCGGAAATGAACGAAGCTTGGAGGGGAAGAGAATGTGTGGCGAGGATCGACGGTGTACCGGCGGCGGCGGCGGCGGCGGCGGCGGCAGCGGCGGCGGTGGCGGTGGCGGCGGTGACGGCAGTGACGGCGAGCGCACAGGTCAGTCGTTGCTGCTCTCGATCTTAAGTAGTAACTTATGCACGCCGTCAAATTTCACCTGGCCCTCCTCTAATCCTCCTCTTCGTCGTCGTCGTCGTCGTCGTCGTCGTCGTCGTCATCATCATCGTCGTCGTCATCGTTGTTGTTGTTGTTGTTGTTGTCGTCGAGGAGCTAACAATAATACAATTGTCGTGGTGAGAGTGTTCGATGTGAGGGTAAATTCTAGAGAGAGAGAGAGAGAGAGAGAGAGTGACAGAGGGAGTGACAGAGGGTGGGAGAAAGAAAGAACGAAACCGATGTCGAGTGCGACGTCGTTTTCGAGCACGAGGACTCGCTTCAACGAAAAGAGGAAGAGGAAGAAGGTGCTGTATAACGACACGACACCTCGGCGTCGCTAGTTACTACCTACCTTTCCTTGCCCATCTATATGGATGTGTACGTACGTGCATGCAGTGCAACAAACAACACAATACCTATTTGGAATACAACGTTGGTGGTGTCGCTTGGTGGTTGCGTTTCTCTATCTTTTCGATGTCTAATATCAACCTAAACGTGTGTTCATTCCTATTGTTTAAGAAAGAAAGAGTTTCTACGGTTGAGCAAAAAAACGCCGGCTGACCGGAACGCTCTCAACGTTCGGGGTTCTATCACGTACCGATTTTGATTGCTATATTTTTCTCTTTCCCTCTCTCTCTTTCTTGATTTTACTAGCCTCTCGTTGCGATTAAATGTACATCATTTTCCATCTCTCTCCTTCTCGCTTTTCACCCGACACGACGAACACGAACGACGAACGATCGATTGGCGCTGTATTTGATGGTAGTGGTGGCCGCCGAGGAGAACAAGAAAGGTACGGTGAAAAGTGACAAGTAGATAGGGGGGGAGAAAGAGAGAGAGAGAAAGAGAGAGAGGGAGGGAGAGAGAGGAAAAGCACTCTACACGTTATCTCTCTCGCTTCCTTTCTCGCGTTCTTTACGCAACGACGTCGCAGTGTATATTACGAATATACTCGAGTGGTTAGAGAATGATGAAAAGGGATAGAAAGAGAGACAACGCAAAGTGCACAGCGAAAGTTGCAATGCGAAATACATAGATGATTTAACTTGTAAGCTAGGTACGCTAGGTACGCACGTGTGCGCGTGAGTAACTGAACTCTACCAATCGCATTGTTTCGTTACTCCGGGAAAGATTGTCAGTGATATTATTTGTAGAAAAAACCGCAATTGTCGTCGCATTGTCATCGCACTGTCATCGCATTGTCATCGCATCAACGATGGCCATCATTTCCGCATAGTTCGAAAGGATCATGAAGGAAAAACAAGAGGAAATTACTCCGGCCGGTGGTTCACGCCCTTGCGGCTTTTTTTCCGTCCGCGAGAAAGCGATAACAATAACTACGATTGCAACTACAATTGCAACTAGGATTGCGAGTACGACGTTTGAGTAGCAACGATTCCTCGAATTTACCTTGTTGGCTCAATAATTACTGTACTGTATCATCTCTCTCACTCTTCACTCTCACTCTCGAAACACACGACACGCAGCACACACAGCACACACCTACCACTTCCTTTACCCTGATTCCCCACCATCCACCTGCAACCTATCCCATTCCTTCTATCGACGGTGCTCTCTCTCAACTAGCCAATGTCGAGGCGCGTATTTTGTTCGCGTTCGTGAATTTGTTGAAAGTGTGTGTACGTGCGTGCGTACGTGCGTGCGTACGTGCGTGCGTGCGTGCGTGCGTGCATGCGTGCGTAAGTGCGTGGGTGCGTGCGGCGCGTGCGTCGTCCTGGCCGTGATCGAAGCACGCGTGTCGATGACGAGTCGCGCGCAATTTTTCAAAGTGAGAAAAACGTTATCTTCGTATCGACGGTGAGTACTACGTTTATTTGTTGTGTTTGTTTGTTTGATTGTATAGATTATACCTATGTAAAGACCTATGTAAAGAAAAAGAAAGTGAATCGTCTTCTCAGCTGGTCGAACGTGCTGCATCGTCTTTGAAGTGTCGCGCGAGCGAGAAAATGTTCAATTTCATGAAGAAGGCCACGGAGAAGGACGACAAGGAGAAGAGAAAGAGGGAAAAAAAGGAAAGGAAGGATGTCAAGAAAAGGGATCGAGGGAGTATGTCTGCTGAGGAACTTTTACGGCTCGATGAGGTGAGACCTATTAACACCTATTTACATTTATATACTATATTTACATACAGGATGTCCCAAAATTAACTCTACATAAAATATAACTAACTTTTATAACTATTTCTTTTTATTGCGTAGACAAAGGGTTAATAGAATTATAATATTTTGTTTTTCATTTAAAGCATTTCAAATACGTGAGAAAACATTATCTATAATTATTATTCAGTCAGGTTAAATTACTTTTGGGACACCTTGTTTAGTACGTTATATATAACAGATATGGATATATATGACAACAAACGTATGTTCATCTGTAAGCAAATCATATAAACGTAATGTTTATGTTTAGTAAGGTTATACAGCATAATATTGTTCTCCTTTAAGTAAAAATTTAAACAAAAAAAAAAATGTTTGCCAAAATAATCGATAGATATAAAAAGACGCATTAGAAAATGTTTAGAATCAGAAATATTTTTATCAGAAATGGCATTGTCAATGGCCATTTTTATTCACGACAAATATATCAACGTAACTTTGAAATTGTTACAAATAAACCTTCTTAATAATTCTTCTATGCCTATTTGTTAGAGTATTTCAAGAGAAAATTCTTAAAGTACCATATAACACAACACATATTACTTATTTTGCCAGTTTACTACTAAACAGAAGTAAAAGAATGTCAGATTGGACATTCGGATCGTTTTATATTTATCTTTTCATAAAAAGAATTTTTCTAATATGATACGCATTCAATGACATATTTTTACGTATCAATCAATATTTTACTGCAACAAAATGGATTATTATATATGGATTATTACTGACATATAGACGTTATCGGATGTACCGATAAAAAAAGAGGACAATTATCTGATAATGTTTCCAACCTTGTGAAATCGATAGAAGTTTTTGATGATGATTTTTTCTATTATTTCCAACTTATTAGTTGGATATAAATACGTCATTCCGATATCGTTAATAATGGCAGGGAATTATGAAATGATTTCTCGAAATAACATTATTTGAAGGGAATAAAAATGGAATCGCGATGTAAATGTTAGTGCAAAATGTAAGTGCGATCTGGGAACATCATGAATGTTGCTTTAATGCGGATCTAGCGAACAAGAAAATTTGAACAATATATATTATACAAGTCGCAAGTGCTCATCAATAACTTCTGTCGAGTAAAAATGATGAAATAATCGAATAAACATACTGTAACCTTATCAATTTTTGAACGTTCAATCGGTTAAGTCGAATCGGTAAATAACGCGTTTTATGATGATAAACGTTTTGATTGTACTCACCAAACGACTAAAGAAAGAAAAAAGACAAAAAAGAGAGAATTTTTGTGTCCGGACAGGTTCGAAGATCTCTGAAGATACCAGGACGCAGAAAGGAAAAGGAAAAACTACCTAGCGGTATAACAGCCGATTATAGTGCGTCTTTCTTTGCTCATTTGGATCGGAATCTATTGGAGAACGCGCAGAACACGACGGGTGGAACAGGAAATACTACTGCGTTGGGCGGTGGTACAGGCTCGAGTTGGACAATGAGAACGCCTGATGGTTTGACACAAAGCGATTCGTCGGAGACATCGTTGACCTCTTTGAGTACAACGACGACGACGACGAACGCCGGTGTCAAAAATCTCCCTCCCCTTCCACCGAAACCACCAAAAAGAGGAATATTAAAAGGACCAAGATTAAGTATAACCAGTGGCACCATCAATGTCCTTTCGGAAGAAGTTGTTTTACCGAATGGGAATGAAGCTGGTTACCAAGAGGCTAGTAATTTGTTGGTGAGGAACACTTTGCAGAACGAAGTGATAGCCTATCAGAATGTACCTCCTACGCACTCACCAAGCTTAGGTGCAATGGCTATTGGTCTTTCAAAGGACGAAATTTGCAGTCCCTCCGAGGAGGACGCTCAATCTTGGCGAGTATCTTCTCAACAGGTTTCTCTTCATCATCAACATTTATACCACCATCAAGCAACGCAGCATCTTCAACAACAGCAGCAGCAGGAACAGCAACATCAACAGCAGCAGCAGCATCAACAGCAACAGCATCATCAACAACAGCAACATCATCATCACCATCATCCGGTCGAGTCAAAGTTACTGCAGGTATAAATGTAAATGATTGTTAATTATTGTTATCTTGCTTCTTGACGAAGTTTCATCTCGTATGATATCACATTTTAAGGTGGTAACGAGCGCCAGTCCGTCGGCCGATTCCTTGACGGACACGACTAATTCGAGTTTTGCTACTCCACCGTTCAGTCTTTCGCCAGTTGGCGAATCTCAGGGTTTCTCTAGATGGCGATCTTCTGCTTCTTTCGAGGAACAGGGAGTCGAACTTCAATTACCGGAAATCGTTCCTCTCGAACTTCCGGAACCACGAGAGCTAACGATCCAAAGACAGCCACCTCCTCGCAACGATTTTGGTTTTTCCCTTCGTCGTGCTGTTGTCGTCGAACGAGCTGCCAATGGTGTTACGCAAATGAGACCTGTTATTTTCGCTGAACCTGGTACTCTAGTCCAGCATAACAACGATACTGGTCTTCTGCCAGGTGACCGACTTATCGAAGTTAATGGAATCAATGTTGACGATAAGTCTAGGGAAGAGATTATAGATCTGATCAAAGGATCTGGCAGCAGTGTCACGGTCAAGGTAAGTCCATAGTTTGCTCCTTTTGCTATTTTTATTGAAGTGAAAACTTCTTTAGAATGGGAGTGATATGAAAAGTAAATAAACGGAAAAAGAGACAAACATAGGATTTAGACTGCGAGGGAATGAGACGGAATATAGACCTTACTACTTTTCGGAAAAAACCTTACTATAGAGGTGTTTACTATACTAACAGAGGTGTTTAGTTACCATGCATTTTTTAGTTACCAGAAGCAACTCGTCTCATTTCTTTGAATTGAGAACTTGCTTGCTGTGTAATATGTTATCTATTTATATGTGTTTTCAATAAAACGTATAATAATTTTGGAATGTGATAACAATAATATAATAATAATAATATTATAACAAATAAATTCCCCCCCCCCTTACGATTATCCTACACCTGATATTCTGCAGTCGTCTCTTTCTCTCGAAACTTAGTTTTTCGAAGGTTTCACTTCTAACACGTGTGATCTGCCCACATGATATTTTTTCTTTCTTACCAATATATATTGTACATCGCATATATTTCAAATATTAGTCCATTCAAATGTTTGTGCCACGTAATAAAGCATAATAGTTGAGACTGTAAGCATGCGAAATCGACAATGAATTGGCAGCAAAGTTGAATGCACCTTTGGGTACTAAGGATTAGCATACAATAAGCGAAAGTGATTGTTTTTACAGACTGTGATTTCTCTTGAAAGTATTTTCATATCCGAGAGATTTCTTGTCAAAACAAAACAGTTGAAATTGCAAACATTCCAAATTTGGGTGTTTCTTAGTAAAAAAAATGTCTCTTTGATATAATTCAAGACTTATGGGTTTCTTGACAAAAGATGATCTATTTTTTAAATAAAAAAGGCATATATATGAGAGCTCTAAATGCTAGTGGAATGGTTGGGTCATTGTTCAGAGATCTACTTGGTATTCGGAGAAGGGTGTTAACGATGACGATGATTTATTGCGCAAACGAAAGAATTTCTCTGATCATAGCTTTTGTTTGTTAAAGGTTAATAATAAAAAATAGCCTACTTTGAAGAATATTGTTGTATTAGATGTACTTTCAAGGAAATTGGTTGATTAATCGAAATGTAAATCGTCTGGTACGTCCCCTTCTCTTTACAATTGGATGCTCTTTAATAATACCTTCCTTCCTTTTTCCCTCGCGTCACGCGCACGCGCGCGCGCATACACTCACTCACACACACACACACTATTTCTCGTTATGTCGATTGTTTATTCCGAAGTAAAAAGTAAAATGAAGACTGAAAAAGCAAGAGAAGAGTGTCATAGTCTTTCTATTCGTTTGTTCGTCTTTTTCCATTGTTGACTCTTTGGTTGTTTCTGGATATTCGCCAAAGTAAACAATTTGGCGAGAAAGAAGCGGATATGCTATGCTCTACGTCGCTTGTTCGTTAAGTTTCTCTCGAATAGGCACAAAGTTACGACACGTTCCTTGTTATGGAGCACTCTATCGTAAAGAGTACGAGCCATTTAACTGGAGTATTATCTTCTTGGACCGTGACGGACCGTTTCTCGAATCTTTTTCATTTTCACTTTTTCCATCTACCTACATCCAGGGGAAGTAATTCAAAACATTCATTTTAAAATCAAGTAATTAATAGCCAATTGACAGTGTTAAAGTTGTATTTTTATGATATTGCAGCGAATCGAATATATGATACTCGTAAGATTTTCTTTTTCCATGCTACTTCGATGCTTGATAAGAACAATTTGTGTTTCTTAGATATCGCAACAGATATCGCAAAGGAATATCTTAAGATTGATAATATTTCACCACACCCCGTTTTTACTTTTTCCTTTTTTCATATTTTTGTTTTGTTTTGTTTTGTTTTGCTTTGCTCGTGATAATGACGGTTTAGATGTAACAACTTGGCCCAATTCAATGATTCATCGTGTGATAAATTGTGTGATAGATAGGAACCGGTTGGAGTATTACTGGATCGAGTCGAGTTTTATATTTCTTCAGTTTTGTTTTGCGTGCATTCAAGCTCGTATCCACACTCCTCGTATTCACGCTCGCATTCACGTACGAAGATTGAATGTGAAAATGTGAAAGTATACCATAAAATTCTTCAATTGTCGTCTCTATCATTTATCGCGACCACTTTTGTTTATTTAACAATTTTTTGAAGCTCGAATAGTAACAAGTCGATGCACGCAACGTGCAGCCATAAACACGTAAATAAGAGGGTGTGTGCGTGTGCGTGTCGTTATGTGAAGAGAAAAAGGAGGAAAAGAAGGGAATAAGAAGAAGGAAAGAAAAAGAAACGGTGTTTTCTAACTATTGTAAGAGGCCATCGTCGTCGTAGTCGCGTCGTAGTCGCGTCGTAGTCGTCGTAGTCGTCGTAGTCGTTGCCACTACTACCGTTGGAACCAACCGAATATAGCGGGATCATGAGTCACGTTCCGTAATAAGACTATACTTGGCAAAGTAGAATCACTTGGGAGGGACAAAGATTTTCTAAAACAACAACATCTTTCTCCAGCATCCATGAATCCTCTGATCCTTCTTTATATAATGACAAAAAGTGAGTAGAAATCAATGATATGCGTCAACAAGCTAAATCTTGTCAATTGTCAATGATTTCAAATAGAAACAAACGCGGTAAAATGGTCTTGTTGCATTTGTCGTGATGCACGTTTTAGTTTAAAGGTTAATGTTAAAATAGACTTTTTCGATGATAAGCTTTATCGTGACACGGGGACATACATATGAATATGTTACGTACGTATAATTAACGTGCCACTATTATCTCATATATCTATATGAGTACTGCTCAGTTTTGACATTAATAACTATTATAAAACGTGTCAAAGTAGTGAAAAAGAATGAAAATAGTATGTAAAAAAAAGTCACGAGTTATACGTCATCGCCATGGGAAAATAAATAAAAATAAAATTTACGCGACGTTAGATTCCGGTCTCCCCCTTGGTCACGCGATTTGCATAGGGTTACGCCTGCATTTAGTTGTCCTACCGATCGGTCGGTCGAGAGTTCTCCCTTCTCCAGTTCACATCCTGCTTCCTGCGTACTGTTTCGTACTGCTTACGTGCGTGCGTGCGTGCGTGCGTGCGTGCGTGCGTGCGTGCGTGCGTGCGTGCGTGCGTGCGTGCGTGCGTGCGTCACTTCATTCACTCGTTCGCGAGAGATACACACGACCCCGATCGCGACACGATATCATTTCTTTTTTAACTTTATTTTTCATTTGATATTCCAATATACATGTAAGATTATGTGTATAAGTGAAGCAAATGAGCGAATTCTACCAAAATTTAAAAAAGATCAATAAATATAATAAAGATCAATAAATCAGTTGTATACAACTGTACATGTAACGGCCTTCGCTTTGGCCTTCACCTTCGCCTTCGCCTTCGCCTTCGCCTTCGCATTCGCGCGTAGGTCAAGATCACGTGGGTGTAGATAAAGATGGATGTAAATTTAGGAACATTGACACCTGCCAAATGTTTATAAATAACGCCAAAATCCTTTCTTACAGATAATTAAGTATTAAACTAATAATTTGACTGTTAGGTGCAGCCAGTCGCGGAATTATCCGAACTTTCGAGACGAGGTGGAAGCGATGGACAGCAAGTCGAGCTGGCACCTGCGAATATTCGCGGTGGCACGCTCCGTCGATCCGGTAGCCTGCGGTTTCATCACAATACGGTAAGAAGTCTTTCCTTATCTATATTATAATCAACTATTACAATAATAATAAACTTGATTTCTTTTTCAAATAATCAACAAGATAATACTTTTAATAGTAATAGTAAAGAAGGAATAAAGGAAAAAAAAATATAAGGAAGAGAGATCATAGAGGTGCTTACTTTCCTCCCACCCACATTCTCTAGAAAGACGGAGTGGCATAGTAATCGCATAACGGTACTTATCCCGACTTCTTCGTACTTTTAACGCTTTGTTTCCATTGAAGCTAACGGACGTAATACTGATATACTCGTACGTACTCGTATGTACGTGAAATGAGGAGGAAAGAACCTTCCTATCTTGGTTAATTATTTATTTTCAGCGGTAAACAGAGAGAGAGAGAGAGAGAGACGGAGAAAGCGTTCAAAGTTTATCATATATATTCTTCATTTTATTATAAATCATATGAACAAGGCGTTATTTATAAGATATGTCACACACATCCGAGGTCAATACATAATCATCGGTATTAAACATTGACACAGGTCATACGTATGGTTTCATCCGTAGTGTTCTACTTGCAAACAGACATTCCATTTCCGTTTTATCAGACATTCCGAGTCTAGCTGTAATCTCACACACAAACTTTACTTTAAACTAAGACAAATATTTGAAAATAGAAATTTAGTCGCTAACATTGGCGCTTGAAATTTGAAATGATCAGTGATCCATTACACCTTTATCATCATATCTAAAAAGATAAATACATAAACTTGCTTTGTACCGAATGCCTGGCACCGATGCAGCTACACGAGTTATTTCTTTCCCTTTTCTCATGCGTAACGACGTATCGATCGTTAAGTTGATCATAGCGAGGAAACTAGTTAGTTGGCTGTGTTATAATTTGTTGGTCCCCTTTTAACCTTAAAATATTTGCATGAACAGACAATTGGGACTTGATATAAACTTGTTTTTAAGGAAAAGAAAAAGATTAAGTACATTTTTAGAGCATGCGCTTTCTTTCATCAAACACAATATTATTTGCGTTAGTTAGTAGATATAGATATTGAATGAAATGGATATTTTAGCTCTGTTTCTTCTTTTTCTCCTGTAAATCAAATAAAAGTATTTAATTAGTTGAAAGCATCAATACTATGATAGCATAATATAGTATAATAGTATAGTTGGCTCTACCGAGTGTCGGTAAGGAGGGTACTTTTAGAGACTCTAACGCGTGTAATGTTATGCCTGACGGTAACGTTCTCTAGTGGTTGCTTTTGACATTTATTCAATGAAAAGGGACTTTCTGCTATCGATTCAAAACTACATGCCTCCAAATGACATGATTTTTTGTCAAATCCTGTGTAGTTGTAGAGAATTCTTGACAATTGTCATGATTATGATGATATTATGACTAGGACTTTAGAATTCGAATGACGTTTCTAAGCTGGTTAGTATAGATAAGATCACTCGGTATGCATCGCAGTCTCATTGTGAAAACAAATTAACGAAGCGAATTCTTACTGGGTGCGCCGAGGCATCCATGCGGTATAACATAGGCCGTTCAAGGTTGCATCTAAGCTGGTGTAAAAGGGACGCAACGTATCGTTTAGTAGGGTGCGGTCGGCGACTGTCTCTCTCTTCGACAAATAATAAACTTTCCATGATTTTTCATTTTTCATTTTTCATTTTTCATTTGTAAAACAATACAAACAATGCTTAATTGCAATGAATTGCTTAATTGAATTTCATTTCACAATTATTTTTAGATCTAATATTTATTATCTTTTTCTTTCCTCTCGTGGGTTGAAAGACATTCTTAATGTAACAGAATATAGATTATACATCGACACATTGTACGTAAGAAAAAATTGTACGTATTACGTAACTCTACAATAACAGAGTACGCGTTGCGTGTAAGTGATTATGTCGCGCGTCGTTATCGTTCTTCAGCATCGTTACATTATGTATGTACTGCTCGTTTTCAAGCAATCTCCGTCAACTTGCTATGTGTCAAGTTGTGTAAAGTTGTGTAAAGTAATAATATTGAAAAGAACAAATATCTTTTGCCTCGAGCCATTATGCTGTGCATCGTAGATTCCTGTTGCAATATCAATCCGGACAATATGTACTACGTAGTAAGAGTTTCTTTATACTTTTCCTATTCTCTTTAAGCGTGTATGTGTGACAATGTATGTGTGACAAGGGAAAAATTCCGCTAATTGACGTTACGAATATGTGCAAATGTCTAATTGATGGTGTATAAGGTAAAATCGAAAAGCATTAGAGAAGGGTTTTAAGCTCAAATGAATGATTAATGTTTAAGTAATTCACGTAATAAACAGCAGCGGTGGTCATAGCGGTGGTCATAGCGGTGGTCATAGCGGTGGCCATAGCAGTGTCCTGTTTCACTTCCTATTTCTCTACAATACTTTTAACTTTTGCTATATAAAATCGAAGGAGAGAATCGTGAGGACAATTTTTCTACTTCACGGTAATAATCCCCCTGTAACAAAAATTGAAACACGCTAATAAGTATAATATGCAATAAATGAAAATAAATAAACAGAGTTTATATGAGTACGTCTTATGTACGTCTTATATGATACAGGCAATACACGGGCAACTAATTGCAAATAAATATTTATTATTTTGTATATTTTAGGTAAAAAATGAAAAGGAAGTTAAAATTGTAACGTCTAGGATATTTCGTATCGTTGATATCTAATATGTCGTTCAGCTCTCATTCACAGAACCACTCCGAGATGTCGTAAAAATGTCGTAAAAATATCGTTAAAAATAGCGGCAACAAGTGGTAAGTGCTACATGGTAACCGTGCGAAAACATTACTTGCTACTGTTGTATCATCGAGACGGGTGGCGTAAAAGATATCCGAGCCTTTGGTTTATTCTTTATCCTTTATCCTTTATGGCAAAAAAGAAGAGAACATTTTCTCTCGAAGGAAATGTAAATTGTAGTTTAAAAACACCGAGTATATGTTCGGGAGCACCGTCCTCCTTGAAATCCACCGTTAGACTGCCGCGTTGTCCTCTCCCTAAGTTCTTTTATTGTCAATGTTGTTTATATTACTTACTCTCCATTTATTATTCAATAATAAAAGAAAAAGACCTTTTTCATATGAATATGAATTATCTTCGAATGCTTGCCGATTTTTAATAATAATACCGATCTGTTAAAGTGATCCGTAAGAATGTAAACATTGCTTTTTAAAATACGAGAAGAATGAAATAGAATAATATTTTGGTTCTATTATATGTTTTCTCTAAAACGCTTAGTTAAAGAAATCTTTAATAAAATTTCTTCCTATTAAATCTTCCCTCCCTATTCAATTTCGATTTCATTTCGAGACGAGTTAGACAGCGTTGGTTTACTTTGTGAGATGAAGTCCCATGTGTTAAAAGTTTCTTAAAATAGCAAATGTCTCTTGAATCTTCACGCACGCATTGCGTAGAGCACGTGCAATGCACGCGCAGTGCACGCGCGCTGCACGCGGTTACTCCTGCTGCCTGTTACACTCTATCTCCCTCGAGTCCTCCCTCGAGTCCTCCCTCGAGTCCTCCCTCGAATCTTCATCCGCGTCGAAATCTCCCTCTTCGATATGTTCGAATTTTACGATTCGTACCAGTAATATCATCAAACACTTCATGTTAAACATTTTATGAAAACACTTTCGTAATGTAATAGTTGCTACCTAATTGAATGAACTATAGATAGACGATAACAGCCGAGAGTGAAGTGTTTCTTGGAAATCATCGTAGCCATATGTTTCGTATTTGAGTCTATTACTACCACGATATCTCGTTCTAGAGCATCGACCGTTTTAATCGGCGAATAATATTATATTTCACATTGAAATTTTATGTTTATGCATGATTGCTAAAACGATCGGTCTTCTTTCTATATTGAATACTTTATTTTATTTGAAATGTTAATATAAGCAATGTGTTTCTCTTCAAAAAAACCGTCACATTTATATATCATCAAAACGAATGAACACTTTGACGATGGATTATTATATTTGGCAGACCGTGGAAAGTTGCGTGGGCTGTGTTGTCGAGAAGATATCAAAGTGAGAGAGGGAGAGGGAGAGGGAGAGGGAGAGGGAGAGGGAGAGTAATAACGACAATAATCCATATTAAGAAAATGAATGAATAGGTTTGATTATTGAAAGAAAGACGCCGTGACAGAGATAGAAAGCGAGTTAGAGCGTATAGGAGGAAGAGGAGAAAGAGTTCCTTATTCAGTTCGAAGCGAACAGAAGGAGCTCCTTGCCTCTCTCCTTGCATCTCTCCTTGCATCTCCCCTTGCATCTCCCCTTGCATCTCCCCTTGCATCTCCCCTTGCATCTCCCCTTGCCGCCCCCTACCTCTCCTGCTGTCGCTTTCTTTTTCTCCTTCCCTCCAGCTACTCTTCTTACCGCGAGATCGTGTTACTTCAGTCGAGATTCGAGGGACTCACGGTACGCGTTCCTCGTACCCGAGAACGAGTCGCGAGTGAGTTCGATCAAGTAAAATATAATTTTGCTTTTTTGTTTTTATGACTTATATCAGAGAAAACTTGATAACTTCGAGACTAAGACCTTTCGAAACTTCTTCAAAAGAACACCAGTGGAAATAATGAATGAGAAGAAACGTCATTTAATAAATAAGACAATGAGGAATTCGTCTGTATTGGATGAAATGCTAATTAGGATCTTGACAACGTATGAAAATGAATGGTCGGTCAGTGACGGTCGAATTGACAAGTAGACAGCATTGTGTGAGTATTTATAATCGAAAATCTCAAGATGTCGGACGACTCTTCGTTAAGAGCACATTACGTATTACATAGATCTTGTCGTGGCAAAGCTCATGCAAGTGGGATCGCCAAACATGCCAATAATCGCCAGACGATCATAGCTCATCCCGAAAAAATAATCGAAAGAGCAAATAAAGTCGGGGATGAATTGACGAGCAATTCTAGAAATGATATTTTACAAAAATGCAGTAGGAACAGTACGAGTTCTTGGGATTGCAGCGATAGCGACAGCATGAACAGTCTCGAAGCGAGCAAAAATCGAGTTTCAAGTTCGATCAAAAATAGGACAACACCTTCGCGAGTTGTTCTCGCGACGCATTCTTCTTGTGTGTCTAGAAACATGATCGGAAATTCGTCAAAGAAAAGGGAAAGTTGGGCCGATACCTTGAGAGGAGGTGGCTTGGTCGACGATAGGATCAAAAGGATGGAGGAAGGTTGGGACGATAGTAATGTCATTAAATTGCCTAGGGAAAGAAAATGGCGAATGATTACTGCTGAGATTGAAGACAAATTATCAAATGGTAGAGAGATTTTAGCGTTAAAAGGAAGCGGCGGTGGCAACAGCTCTAATATCACTGCTAAAAATCGAATCAATCATTCGGCTAAAAAGATAATCAAAAGAAATCGTAGTAGCGTTTTGCACAAACCTGCCAAGCCAATTTACGATGTTGTTGAGTGGGAGGAACTTTTTGAGATGGCTCTAGCCAAAAAGATGGCTCGTGGAGGAGGATTTCGCGGAGGATCTCCAGGAGGATCTCGAAGATATAAAAAAGAGGATAGGAAAAAGGGATTAGAGGAACCAAGAGAAACGGATTATTTCAAACGACTCGAGGTGCTTCTTCAGAATAAAATGACGCCGCTAAACCTCGGGGTAGGCAATTTTCAAATTTTCGATGTAATTTCATGAAAAATATTCATTGATTTCATGTCTTTTTAACGATAAGCAGAATCTTTTCTTCCCCAGTTTAGAGAATATAATACTTAAAGAAGTACTAATGTATAGAGCATCGTAATATATACCCATACCCATACCCATACCCATATCCATTGAAGAAAGGAAAAAGGATAGAACAGATGCGAAGAGAGGAGTTCCGTGTCGTGGCTATGCTTGCATGTTTCTTCGAAAAATGATCGAGCGAAAGGGCAACGCCAGCTTCGTAATCTCACAACTTTTCTCAACTTGGAAGCGTTTATTCTTTTCATACGGTATACTAAACAATACGGACTATGTTTCTGCGTAACTCGTTGCTAACTGCTGCTGCTGCTGCTGCTGCAGTAGTAGCTTGTCCATTCTCCAAGGCTGCCTGTGATTCATGCTAATATATTACCAGGAAATTCGCTATACGTTGTCCTTACCAGGTCGAACGAGAACTCAACGAACCATCGCACACTCGTTTCTTCGAATGTTCATAAGAAAATCGGATGCGGAAATTGATACACGCGCGACTGCTATATGCAATTGCAGCTGCGCTGACAAGTGTCTTTCATAGACAACAGGGAAGCGAATATATTTTTGAAGTAGAAATAAGGAGAGAGAGAGGGAGAGAGAGAGAGAGAGAGAGGATAAAGAAAATAACAATATCCCAATACTTAACATTTTTTTACACAACTGTAACTTTCGAGAACGCTTTTCTTCATTTGTAACAACTTTTTTTTCTATTTACGAGGGCCGATCAAATACAAGCAGGATTTCTTTTTTCATTTTAGTAGATATTTTTTCCAATGTGGGTTAGGGGTTCAATTTTTGGTTCGATATTTGATTCGATATTTGATTCGATATTTGATTCGATATTTGGTTCGAACTCGAGCCAAATTGCGCGCAGTCGTCATTGGCGTCGTCCAATTAGCAACTGCATCTTTCTAATGCATTGATCGCATAATAAACGTTACAAACAGTTATTTGCAGCGTAAAAAGTAATCGTTTCACAATTAGAGTCCCGAAGCTTGCAATACAAGACCTGTCAATACCAGCAGCAGGTCAATGTGCGTGGGTGTAACGTGTCCTCGTGAGTAGTTTGATATCGGTGAGTGCTCGATAGAAAAGCAACGTGTGTAGGAAGATTGAAAGAAATGTCTTCAATGAGCGATTATCCCTCAAGATTCTAATGTAATAGATGCTCCAAATTGTCAACAATATTATAGTTGTTTCTTTTGTCTTTGCCATTTCTCTTTTAGACGAATTTACGATTGACAAGAAGAATGTTCAAGAGAATGTGGTAGGATTTTATAATTATGCACACAATACTTATTTAATTGCATATTATTATCGTATAATATAATATACTACATATATACTAATGGAATATACTAATATGGATATCTATATAATAAACTATTAGTTAATATTATGACGATAAGGTGTCCTTTTACAGGCGCGATCGGAAGAGCATCTAGCACAGGAACAGGCATGGCTAACTTCCGAAAGAATCTGGTTATTACACCGAGCCGGTTTTACTCCGGCTATGCGTTGTGGTTCAGCAGATCCAGACACTGGAAAGTTGCGAATATGTTTGACAACTTCTGGCGAGGAACTCCTCGTCGACGAGGAAGATGTCGAAAAGGTACTGATTCATTTATGATAATATTATTGAATTTCTTTTTCACAAGTCAAAGCAAATTTTTTTTCTATTCATTATTTCAACAGGCTAATCCTCCACAATTTGATAAGGCCGAGGAATTGTCTCAATTGCGATTTCTCAATGAGTCCTCTGTTTTACATATACTGAGACAACGTTATGCTAGTAATTTGATTCACACTTATGCTGGCGACAGCATGCTTATCATAAATCCTGTAGCGCCGTTGGCAATATATTCGGAGAAGGTACGTTATTTCATTATTACTAAGTCGTAATATAATTTTCGTTGGCATTCAATTGAAGAGCATATTTTTTGATTTATATGAAAATACAGTACAATAGTGGTTTGAATCTTTGATCGATTTTTAGGTCGCTCATATGTTTCGAGGCTGCAAGAGCGAAGATATGCCGCCTCACATATATGCTATGGCACAATCGGCGTACAGAGGGATGTTGGCTACTCGGAGAGATCACTCTCTTGTTTTTCTCGGTCGTAGCGGCGCCGGAAAAACTACAAATTTCAAGCACGCGCTGCATTATCTCGTACTCACTGCAGGCACTGTGAATAAGGTAGGTGTGAATGCTTGGATTACGAGCATTCCTCGAATATTTTATTTTTTATTTATCAAATCTCTCTGTCACATTTTCATATTTCTTCTCTTTCTCTCTCTCTCTCTCTCTCTCTCTCTCTCTATCTCTCTATCTCTATCTCTTTCTCTCTCTCTTTTTCTCTCTTTCCCTCTCTCTCTCTCTCTCTCTTTCCCCCTCCAGATATTAACCATAGAGAAGTTGAATTCCTTGTTCACCGTACTTGAAGCCTTTGGAAACAGTCGGACACATATGAATTCGAATGCAACGCGTTTTACGCAACTTTTTAGTCTGGACTTCGATCAGTCTGGACAAATTGCTTCGGCGTCGCTTCAGGTAAGATTAATTTTGGACTATTCTTAATAGACGCGAACTTATAAACGCGTTATAACGAACAATGAAATAGAACATTCCAAGAAATGGGCATTTGTGATGCACAGGTGCTGCTTTTGGAAAAATCGAGAATAGGTAGAAGAGCAAACGGTGATCCAACATTTCATGCTATTTATCGTCTACTAGCAGGCGCAGAAGGTGCCCTAAGAAAGGAACTTCACTTGACGAATCTAGTCGCCGAGAACAATCCATTCGTCACACCTCTGCAAAAGCACGAGGACAAACAACGTGCCATGGTGGAGTTCAATCGTATCATCGCTGCTTTCAGGATATTAGGGGTTTCTGAGACCGATGAGAAAGTCATTTGGCTGGTATTAGCTGGGATTTACCATCTAAGCTGTGCCAGTGCAGTCAAGGCCGGTACAACGTCACAAAGTCGTTGGCAATTTGCGAGAGTGGAATGTGCAGAAAAAGCAGCTAATTTGTTGGGTACGTCGGTGGAGGAATTAAGTAGGATAATATTTTCCTCTAACGGAGGCGGTGCTGGTACACCAAACACCCCGAGGCCAGCTTTAAGAACGCCCAGTCCAACCGAACAAAGCAGAGATGTTACTGGACTCGATGCTCTCGAGGGTCTCCTTATTGGCCTTTACTCGGAAGTCTTTCATTGCGTTGCAGCCCTTATTAATAAGTTAGTTCAAAAAACAAACAAAACAAAACACTCGTAATAATTGATCGTAATAATTGACCGTAACAATTGACCATTATAATTAACATTAATTATCTATATTGTCTATATTGTCTATATTGTCTATATTGTCTATATTATGGACTTTATTCAATTGATTTGACTTATTTTCTTACATTTTGACAGATCTATATCATCGTCAATGCACACAGTATCCTCTCTTTTGTTGTGCGACTCTCCTGGTTTTCAAAATCCCGCCTCGTGTGGCAGACAAACTGGAGCATGCTTCGAGGATCTCTGTCATAATTATCTGCAAGAACGTTTGCAATTACTTTTTCATCATACGACATTGGTAGCACCGAAAGATAGATACGTTCAGGAAAGTATTGATGTTGATTACGAGGATGATTACGACGAAGATGGAATTGGATCTCCGCAAAGTTTGGTCTCTCTTTTGGACAGGGCAAGTTCTCAGAGTGCTACAATGTTACGTACGAGCCAAAGCGATTTAAGTGCTAGCAGACAAATGGAACGGAAAGGTTTACTTTGGTTGTTGGACGAGGAAACTGTTTGCCCGGGTGGTAGCGATGAAACTTTCTTGGATAGACTTTTTTCTTATTACGGAGACAGGGGTAAACATTTACTTAAATGCTTTTATTTACGATAAATAACCAACAATTAATATCATTTATGATTTTTATCCTTTTTATTCATACAGATCATCAAATGCTTTTGAGAAAGGCACCGGGTAACAATCAATTCGTACTTCAACATTTGTTAGGTACTAATCCTGTTTTGTATACTGCAACTGGTTGGTTGAAGGCTACGCGAGAAAATTCTGTGGCCAAGAGTGCAATTACGATTCTCCAAGAGAGCTCAAGGTATTATTCATGATGAAAAGTAGTCATTTTGGAAGTTATTCAATCCTATTACTTCATCGTACACATTTTCTATATTTCTCACGTTTATTTTGTTTGTTTTTATAGAGAAGATGTTAGTATGCTATTCGTAAGTGCACGAGGTGCTGGTGTTTCCGGTGCTTTATGCGGTTCCATGCCTGGTTTGGAAGGGTCCCAATCTTTAAGAAGAGCTTCGAGTATCCGAAGAACATTCACGGCAGTTAAAAGGAAAAATATTTGTTTGCAAGTTAAATTTACAGTTGTGAGTATATACGTAATAAGTCTCAGAAGTATTCCTACCGATTGTCAATTGTCAATGAAATGTATTTTAGAATCGTTCCATTTTTACTGCGAAATAGCATTTTATCATAAGAGAAGTAACATTTTACGTAACTAATGAAATATATGGTTCTCAATTCTGATTAAAATTTTGATTGCAATTCTGGATGCAATTCCGATGCCAAATTCTAACCAAGTATTACTCGGAAAAATAATCATTGTATTTTCTTTTTTCTTTTTTCCATCATAAAATGTTTCCCATTTAAAAGTTGAATAATTCTAAAATAAGTTTATTTGTACGAGAATATATATATATATATATATATATATATATATATATATATATATATATATATATGTATAATATCGCTATTTTGTTTTTGTAAAAAAAAAAAAACAATTTGTTTTACATTCGAACCGAACTATAAATAAATGATTTGATTGAACAAGGACAATGTTAGTTTGCTGCTTATCATTACATCATTCATTAAAGTACTTGGCAGTGTCAAAGATCGACGCTATATCGCGAGATAAATACTTGTCTCATTGCCGATTAATGATCTTTAAAGAGAAACACGTTCGTTTACAAGTTCGTTACTTGAAAATGTACTACGAAATATATTTCATTTATTGTCATATACTATTTTTAGTGCTTTTTTTCGTGGGATTTATATGTTTATTTCGAGTACGATAAAAAAAGGCGCTACAAGGAAATATTGAAATGAAATTAAAAATTGACATTTATTTTAGGATGGCCTTATCGAGACCCTTCGTCGGACTCGACTGAAATTTATCCATTGCCTTCTACCACAACATAATGCCGGTTGTACCGACAATAAAAGTTTACTATCCGTAAAATCTAATCAAAATGAAGATAGTGTTATAAACGTGCCTCTTTTACGATCACAGGTAAGCACAACAAAATGTATTACTTCATTAGATATTTTTCATATTATTTCTGTATCGAAAACATGTATATCTCATAAATATTATAGATCCGAGTGAAGGACGTATTTTTCATCACTTTTTGACATAATATGAGGTTTGACAAAATCTCGGTTAATCACATATGTATAAAGATATAATAGACATTGCATAATTGAATGGCTTACTTGTATGCATGTATGTGTTCCAGATTCGCGGAAGTCAGATAATAGATGCTGTACGTTTACATAAGGTCGGCTTCCCAAAGTATATGGCCTTAGGCGAATTCAGACGTCGATTTGCTTTATTATCCAGCGACGCAAATGCTCGACCTGGCAGCCCCGTTGCCGATGAACGTCGCGCGGTCGAGGACATGCTTCTAACCGTTGACGTTGATCCCGCCTCTTATCGCGTTGGCCAGAGTCAGGTGAGTACACATATTATTGTATTTTATCCTTTTTCCTTTTATCTTTCTTCTCTTTTTTTGTTTTGTTTTGTAATTTACAATTACACACAAGGAAGAATTCCAATGATATTCTCTATTATAAGTGTTAATACTTGGATACATATGTCGCACTCTGTATACTTCCTGTATGAATTAAGCATTAACTTAATTATTATTACTTTCACTAAGGATGAAAGGAGCTATTTAAATGACATTCATAAGAGAAAACATGCATCGTGCATATTTTACCAAATTCGCAATTCCTACAGTTGTCCGTTCTTTTATATATTCTTTTGAAATTATGCATTATTCGAATTTTTCTTGTTTATTTATTAGTTTTTTTTTTTAATTAGTTGTCTCTGCAAAGAAAATATCTAAAGGAAATGGTAGGATTGAAAAGTATTGGAATACTAAGCGAAAGATCGTATGGGAGATAGAAGGAGGTCGCACGCGTATTAGTCCTTACAGAGTTTCGCCTACGGAAATATTGGCATCGAGTCGCTTTCGAAAAGGTTGGGATCGTATTCACAGGTGCCACGCTAGTCTTTCTTTTGTATACCATACTTATGTATTAGCGTAAATAAGGCATTTTTGGGAAAGTATATTGTATTGAGCAGTAATCGAAAGTAGTCCGCCTTAAAGCGTACATTTGGCAGTTTAAGCGAATCCGAGTTTTTTTTTTTTTTTTCGGAAAAGGTTTCTATGTAAATCCAGTTTGATGGAGGAGAAGTCGATAAACTAACTGCCACCGTGCCGTGCCATGCCGTGCCGTGCCGTGCGTGACCCACGCTGGCTATTTAACGAGAGCAAGCACCGTCACTGGCCGAGATTTCTTTTCCATTCGCTGGACGAGAGACTCCTCCAACCTAGATCACAGTCTTTAACTAACAGTCCAATATTATCTAAATAATCATCATTTTATAATTACTGATAGCCATAATCGTATTTATTTATTTAATTTATTTCTATTTTTGTCGTATCTATCGATATGTAAACCAAAATGCAGCTTGGGTTACTTACTCGAATGCATGCACGCGAGATTGATCTTCGATCCTCCTTCTCTTCGTTTGATTCTACAGGTGGCCATGGCTACTACGGACTTTCGAGTTCTAAACTGGGACGACTTTCATGCAAACTTCTTCCTCTTTTATTTTACCTCGTCTTGTTTGTAAAATTTCATCGTTGCTAAATTTACTGTCAAAAATACGATTTTAATGACAGTATAACTATTATCTATTACTTTTTTTCTTTTAACTTTGTCGACATAATAAAAAGAATCATATCAAATCAAATTAGCTAAAAATAAAGATATATTACATTAATATCAGGTTGCAGAAAAAGAATTCCTCTTTTTGGATTTTTCATTATTTTAACAACTTGACTCAATTATTTCAACAATGTAGTTATTTCGAAAGTAAAGTGTAACGAATTTCGAAAGTGTTACAAATTTCGATCAGTTCGACAGTCGTCTGAAATGCAATAGGGAAAGTTTTCAAGAGACGTTCGCTCTCTTTCCATTATTCTCTATTGTCCTCGAAGAGGAAGCATATACGTATAACAATATAGAACGGAAAAAACGAAAAAAACGAAAAAAACGAAAAAAACGAATGAATATTATCTAATTGTATAACTTACAATTAGATAATAGTTAGTATATAGTGTTGATTAGTGTTACGCGTGCAATTTACGTTGGCAAAGAACTTGACTTCTGTTTAAGAGCACGAAAAAGGCCAACTTTCTCTTTGCATCAATTCGATAATGATTCCGTTATCGAGTAAGTGGGGTGAAACATCGAAATCGACAAACTTGATACAACAGATATTAAAATGATACGTAGTATTGATAGGAAGGTTAATAGATATTGTAGTATACCATGACTCGCTTTAAAAGTTTCCATCTCATGAGGCCGTCAGCAATCGCGATTTTTTGGTTATCAAACTGCACACAAAAGTAGATACGAATAATTCGAAAGAAGAAAAAAAGACGTGTGCGTTAGACTTTCTCATGGCCCACATTCGTAGTTTGGACTTGACTTGACTTGACTTGACTTTCTGTTCGGCAAAACAGATAATTTAGTAAGTAATCTTCTATACTTGGCCCTATGATACACGAAAAAGTGCACTTTTATTTGTTAATACAAAAACGATGAGTGTTTAGTTAGTAACGAGTTATAATGAAGATTCTACTGTGATTAACATTTCAATAGTATCAAAATATCCAATAGAGTCTGCGTATTTGAAAGAATTCGATTTGATTCGATTTGATTCGATTTGAGGTATCCGGGGTAACCTTTCCGCAACGGAAGTGAGACCGCTGGTCGTACTCGCTCATGCCACATCAGACGTGCTATCGTATCATCGTATATAGTATCATCGTATGTGCGTGGAAATATAAATGAAGAAGATTATACGATACGCCGAAGCAAATACACACATGTATGTATTATGGCGCCAGAGAGAAACGACTCCTCCTAACATAAGATTTATTGAAAATATAAACACATAAATACATCTCTTTTTAGGGATACAATTGACAACTTGGAATAAGATAAAGCAGTCACCAGACTTGTCATGATTAACAAACCATGAGCCTATGTAAAAAAGAAAAGAAAGTAATTAAAAGTCTCATTTAGGAATAGAAATATTATATTATATAATACAATATACTTGGTATCTGAAGAATTAGAGATCCTTTGAAGCTAATCAAATAATCGATTAATGATAGTTAATGAATTAAAGGACCAAGTAATTTCCGTAATGACGTTTACTTGGGAAAACGGTAACTAGTGACTAGTCACATCGTTCGTGTGTATCCTAACAAACGACGTGGTAGGTCAGGTTCACACGATGAACGTATAAGATTGAGATCTTGAAGCGTCTAGTGACATGATTCTCCTATTATTTTTTCTTTTATACTCATCTCGGTACAATACAATACAAATAAAACAAATAGAAATTTTGGCGTAATCTAATTATTACTTGGCACTTGGAGAGAGAGAGAGAGAGAGAGAGAAAGAGAAAAAGAGAGATACGTACAGTAATGAGAAGGGCACCTATGATGGCCGAGAGAGACGAGTTTCTCACACGTACTGTTTTTCTTTGCCACTTTGAAAAAGAGGGGAAGCGGAAACGTCTCTGAGCAAACCAGCTAGCAAGTGTCGACTTTCGAGCTGGTTGTTGTTACCTTACCGAGTAATCGGCTTAGAGCTTGGATTCCTTCTTTCCACCCTGCCCCTGGTTGGTTCATTGCCGCGTAAGCTAGACATTGTTACATCTTGAGACGTTTTTTAGATTTCCCCTCTTTTCAATTTCGAAAAACTTCAACCTCGACGCGCGTTCTTGGTATAATGAAATTATATGTTATTTATGAAAAAAGTAACGCGCGCGCTTAATAGAAATGAATTGAATCATTTGAATGTTATCTAGTGGAAAATCGAAAGTTCTTGAGAGAATAAAATTCATGATTCAATAAGATATATCGTATTTATAGTAAGGTAAGGAAGCCTCGTTCGTCTTCATCTCCTTTCTCCGTTCCGTCGGAGTAGGCCAGCCGACGACGACGCATATTTGACGACGTTGACGGGTGGTTGCTTTCGAAAAGGACAAGAAGAAGACAAGAAAAATGAACAGGCCAGAAGTGGAGCCAATGTATATCATGATTTTTTTCTCTCTATTATATCCTCCTCGTAACCGGCTAGCAAAGTAGCGACTTCCTACTTTCTTCTTCTTGAAATTTGACCAATTCAAGAGAGAGTTTTTTTATTTTATTTTTATTTATTAATTCTGTTTGACACTGATATGCAATATGTTAAAAATAAAGAAAAAAGACCAGTGACTCTCCTCTCAATGTACACTTATACTTCCTACAAGAAGAGTGACAATAATGAAGAAGAAGAGGAGGACAGGGAGGAGGACAGAGAGGAGGTACAGAGTAGGAATAGGAGGAGAAAGAGAAGATGAGGCCCCACTATTTGAGTCAGTCAGTCCTCCGCTGGTCATGCTCGCGACCGTTTTGCTTGCGATCGTATTGCTTGCGATCCTTTTGCTCTCGATTTGAAGCAAGTATTTCTAGAACTACTACGAGTGTTCCATCCTATTTTATTGTTTCATTATTTTTTTTACTCGTGTTATTTGTGACTTGTGAATTTCCATTTCATCGACCTATCATTCCAATATATTTCTTAATATATTCAAATTGAACCAACTCTATAGAACACCGAATATTATAATTTCGAATTTAAATCTTGACACGTTAGTGTGAATTGGTATGCGCTTAAACACCAACCGGTACTTTCGACTAATTTACTGTATGAATAAACTGTAATTCTAACTCGTTCGATACCCCGAAGGTAAAGTTCCAAGGGACAAATCATTAATTATGTGTCGTGTGTCCTACGTGAACGTGCTATTTGAATAAGAATCGAGGAAAGAGGGGGGAGAAAAAAAGATGGAGATGGAAAATCGTCGATTTCTTAATTAACCTACAAGAGAAAGGGAAGAGAGAGAGAGAGGGAGAGAGAGAGAGAGAGAGAGGGAGAGAGAGAGAGAGAAAGAAAGTCTGTGACCACCGGTACCTGTTTTCTTCGATAACGGTAAACATCATCGAGCTCTGGGTAAAGTACCTGCCGGACCACTAGTAACGTCTCTGTAGTAGTATTTGTAAGTGCAAATACAACGAAATTAAATATTCATATTCATATATATATGTATATATGAAAGAAATTTTGTTTGACAAACTCGATGAAAAACTTGAAAACAAAAAACAATTGCTGAATGTAATTAATTAGATTAGAAAATAGGTGAGGGGCGTTGTTTTCGCTAAAAGGCTCGTTAATGAAGATTACAGTGAACCGGCGACACGCGTAGCTCTGCTGAATGCAGCTCGAAGAATAACGATGGTCCTTTTAAATACCTCGACGATAGCTTAGCTTCTCCTTAGACTAATTGTAAGAGATTATTAATGTCTTTTCAAATGTTAGTTGTTTATTCGACAACACATTTACGTAATAATCATAATCGAACGCGCTCAATTTTAGATACGTCTAAATGAATATTGTTGTTGTTGTTGTTGAATAATATAGAAATATATAAATTCATTGTAAAGAAATAACTGTTTTATTTACATGCAAAGAAATACAAACTGTTGTTTGATTGAAAATGATAAGCGAATATTGAAACGATGTCTGGCTGCATCTTGCCGAGCGCAAAGATCCTTGCAACCGGCTTGAAGATAATCGCTCGCTCTCACTCCCCTCTTATTTCCCTTTCTCTCTATATCACGTATCTCCTTCCGTTACGTCTCCGTTTCTCATCGAGCTCACCTTTATGCAGCTTTTATGGCACTTAAGTTAGTCTCGGCTTGTTCGTGGAAGAATCTTTCCTTCGCTCGATCAATTTCGCCAAAATATATGAACGTTTAAGAAATTCACATAGTATTATAAATAAAAGAAAAGAGATAAGGATATGATAACCCGATATGATAACCATTGGATAACCAAGGATTTATTCAAAGGAATAAAGTAAGCAATGGAATTCGACGGACTAAGAATAAGACCGGTTTATTAATGATAAGGAAAAAACATTCGAAATAAAAGTGAATTCTGACAAGTTTTTGTAGATTTTGGACATCTATTTGGCATTGTGTGTTGAAAATGTTAGACAACGCTGCAAAGTGGATAAGTAGTGGGAGCTCAGGATTGCTCAAGGCCAAGAGTACTCCAAATATTTCTAATCAAAAGATGTCACCGAGTAACAACAGAGAAGCAAATTTACGATCGAAAAATCTATCTCGGTCGAACGAATCGACTTCGATAAATAATAATTATAAGATAACGTCTCGAATTAATCGTTCAATTTCGAGGACACCTGGTAAAGGTGAGCAGATAACATCACACCGGGTTGTTTCATCAACGAATTGTGATTCATTGAAAACTAGAGAATCGATCTTTAATAAGAATCGTCGAGGGATTTCGGAGAGTCAAAAAAATGATAAAAAAAAGATATTAGTGAAAACAAATTTATCGTCATTCTCTTCCTGTACCATATTGGAAGACAGAAGTCTTCTGAAAAAGGGACTCACTTATGCACCTGCTAAATTACCGAAAAAACCGGAACTTTTGAGGAAGAATCTAGATCGTTCGATCAGTTTGTTCAACGTCCCAAAGGAGATCAGTTGTTCTTTGGTTGTTCGAGAGCCCATCGAGAAGAATAAGAAAGATGAAGGAACAAAAAAGAGACAAAGTATGAATAGATCAATTAGCATGTGGAACGTCCGGTCGAGCTCGAAGATGGAGGCTTGTGGTAGCAATAATCAGTCCAGGAAGAGTATGCCATCGAGTACAACGTTGTGCTTAAAACCAAGCAAAATACCATTATTAACTGCTAGAATATCATCCAGCTTAGGTCGATCTCTCGCCGATCTATCGCAGGTGGATCGTAGCGGAGAGTCGACGCTTTTTCAAATTACGAAAAGGAACGTTGTCGACGTCGAGCATGATCTCGATCGTTCCATCGACGAACGTATTTACGAGAATTGTCGCGAGGCGATTGGTGACAAAATTTTACCCAACGAACAATCTTCTTTTCATTCCATCATCGGCAGTAATTTGGAAGAGCGAGCGGCTCGTTTGATGGCTCAACTGGACGATGACGAAAATGCCGACCAAAATGCCGACCAAAATGCCGACCAAAATGCCGACCAAAATGCCAACCAAATTGTCGATGAACCAACGACCAGAGAAGAACAAATCAAAGAAACAATTGATTCTGTCGATAATGTCGATTTTGTCGATTTTGTCGATTTTGTCGGTTCTGTCGATTCTGTCGATTCTGTCAATGATATCGTGAAAAACAACGAAAAGTCCCATTCAAAAAATAACGATATGATGAAGTTATCCGAGAATAATGAAAAGAAAATGGAAGAAACAAGGATCGATAAAGAAAACTCGGGAAATATAAAAGAACTCAGATGTAATTGGGAACGACAGGCAAGAGAAGAAATTCAAATAAAAAAAGAAGAAACGAAAAAGATCGAAATTTCGAGTGATTCTCCGGATAGTAAAAGAAAGCTTCTTGGCAAGAGAACGAAAGAGATTGAGCAATTGGTTAATTTTTTTAACTGTAAAAACGCTGAATCTACATCAAGAAGCGAAAACTTGCGAGATTCATGGATCAAATCGAAAAACAACTTTGTACCGCCGGGTTATTCCTCGATAGAATCGAGCCTGAAAAAAAAAACGAAAGAATCAAAGAGTGCTGTTAGCGAATACAACGGTTACGTTTCCGATGGTAATTGTTCAGAAGACAGTGGACATATAAGCAACGAGAATGACGTTGAGTGGAAAGATGGTGGTCAGAGTGAACAAATTCGGAATAGCTTGGAGATCACTCCTAACGAAGCAAATCGCACAATACAAGTATTTGATTCTTCTGCAGATACTGTACGTAGATTCGTTCTTTCGGAAAACAAGGAAGTAGTTATGGTTAGCAGAAATAGTAGTCCTTTGGCGTCCAGCATCAAAGCTAGTAGTAGCATTGATAGTTGCAGAGAACATATGCCTGAAGCCATTAGTGGATACGAAATGTCCAGAGATTCTTGGAAAACTCCCAGATCTACATATTCGACTGAGTCCATCGTTTCGAGACAACAGGTCTGTCGTCAGGTTATTATCATTGTGTACTCGGTAACGCTCGCTAATAACCTCGAACAATTCAAATTAGATCAATTTAAAACGTATAAACTCGATGTGATCGCCTATGATGATCGCGTTGCAGCAGCGCGAGTCTAAGTATATTTTTATCTTTCTTATTTTATTTATCTTTTACTTTTACGAGTCACTTGGAAAAATTCTTTTCTTGGCAAATTCCCTACGTATGTATAAATTATTTAGAAACCCTGACAACGAGATGATTATAATTGAATGTGTTAATATTTATTAAATTATCGTCAAAGCAAGTCTCACTCTTGTTTTATTTTTTTTATTTATTACAGATATTCTTCAGATCTGGGACTTTAGAAAGATTAGAAGCTCAGAGAGACGATAAGCTCACGGGACATATAATTCTCCTTCAAGCTCGATGCAGAGGATACCTTGCTCGTAGAAAACTTAACACATTGAAGGTAATGAGCGATTCCTAATCTTCTTCTTATTAGTAATCTAACCTGGTGGTAACCTTCCCTGGTATGATGTTAGTAAATACTCTTTAGATGATAATACTTCAACAAAATATTATATATACGTATTTAATGTTCAGTGATTTGTCATTTACATAATAAGATAAAATAATCAAATGTTACTATTTTTCTACAGCTGCAAGACCTCGCGGTGAGATGTATTCAAAGGAATGTAAGGAAGCTGATGTCTGTGAGAGAATGGCCATGGTGGAGATTATACGTGAAAGTCGCACCTCTCTTAAATGTTCACCGGACCGAGGACCAACTAAAGGCGAGAACGGTAAGAAAAAATTCTAATCATATTGTATGTGAGTAAGCTTATTCTTTCAAACATCTGCCTTAAGTAATAGTAATAATAAAGTCTTAAACCAATATGTAATTATATAAATATTAATCTAATTAATTTAGTATATGTTTTGTTTTTATATCATCAATAGGAAGAATTGGAGGTTCTTCGGGCGAAAGTCGAAAGACTGGAACAGGAACGGAATCATTTAAAACACGATAACGATAAACTCGAGGCAAAGGTGAGTAAGATTTCTCAAGTTTTACCTAGATAAATTATTCATCGTACTATTGTCAGAAGTATTTTCGAAAATTCCATGATTGTTATTATAGGTTTACTTCATATTTTCACTTTCACCACTCCTTGACTAATCTCAAGCGTTTGTTAATGAAGATGTTAGCGGTTTCGAAGTAATAACCTTTCTTTCATACTGCAGGTTTAGCTTAGTTAGTGAAAACTGGCTGCGTATCGTATAATTAGGTTAATTGTACGCTCCGCGATGCGTGCTACTATAATATAT